CGATTATGGAAAAATTGTACGAATTTTCGAAAAAACAACCAAAAACAACATCTGGAGATCGAAATCAATAAAGGAATCCCTTTTGGTAATTTCGAATGTGCTTGAAAAAAGTCAAAAATTTGATACAGGTTCTCAAAAATTGCCATTTTTCTTCCGTCGATTCTGCAAAAAATGTAAGAATTTTCAAAAAAATTGAATCCAAAACGATTTTTGGAAGAAATCGAGATGAACAAAGGAATTCTTTTGGTAATTTTCGAAAATGCTTGGGAAAAGTCAAAAATTTTATATGGGTTTCCAAAAATTGAGCTTTTGTTAAAGTTGAGAAAAAATTCTGAAATACACATCTCGACGAGTTTAAAAAAACATGACATGGTTCCGTACCAAAATTTTCGAAATATTTGGTTTCGAAGTCGGATTTTTAAAATATGTACTAAACATGCAAAAAAATAAACTCAAACAAATTGGATGTTACCTATATGGTCACTACACAAATTTTTGGATGCAGTACAGCTGTTTGTGAATCTACATTCTCTGTTTTAACCAGCATTTTAACCAAGTACCGTACTAATTTTTTGGACTTCGACAGGTTTTTACGAAAATTTAGCGTGAAAAATCGACGTTTCCAATTATTTTAACGTTCTTTCAAATATAAAAACTCAGAAAAAATAAAGTAGTTATCTGAGTGTATTATTAAAATATAAATATTTACATGAAGCCCCCTCTGTCGACAAACTTGCCCCCCCTGAATAAGTTTTCTAGCTACGGGGCTGGTAACCTATTTCTCGATTTGTAGCGAGTTTTTAGTTTCGGTTCCATTAACTGGATAACCAAGCGACTCTCTCAGAGCACACCGAAAAGTTCGCACCCTCGTTTTAATTTTCAATTAAATTAATTCGTGCACTAGTTTGACTCGGCGTTTGCACAGATCTAATAAAGTTCGAGTCGACCGTCATGCATTTGTGTACCGTGCAGTCAGAACAAATACCCTTTCACGCCAGCACCCTTTCATCACCCGCAACACGCCGAAACGTCTTCTCCTCCACAACGATAAGAATTTATTAACATGTTGAAGTTGCCATAACAATCAACACAAAAGCCTTTATCAACCACCTGTTGAATCCTTCGGGCCGTGGCATTAATCCAGAAATTAGATATTTAGATGCATATCGACCGTCGCACTCGCAACAGGGATTATTAAGGCGGCGGCGCCACTTTTGGCATGATTTTCCCGGTCAAGGATAATAATGCTGAAAAAACGACTAGTTGATTTTTCAACGCGGCGGGCGATTATTCCAGAATTCGATTAATCTGTTGTGGAGGGAGGAATCGTAAATGGAACACCTTTGTTCTTACACGTCACGTTAAACAATCATGCGCTTGTCATTTACATCAAAGCGAGGGTAATTTGCGCCCTTAAAAGTCAAACGGCTATAGGGGTGGTCTAATTGAAAATTTTCCGCTATAATGGGAGGGTTAAAGTAACAAGTAGCACTCGATGACAGGTGTGGGCATTAATCAAGCCACAATGACCCGGTCTGCCCCCATGTTGAACGCGAGAGAGCGATCTGATCCCCTTGGGCATAAATCGTCGTGTCTATCTTAGAGGCTTTGCCACATGCTGCCCTCGGGATCCTTCATTTATTTCTGTATCGCACATCACTAACCGTTAACAACGCGTCAAGGTGTTTTATGTCTTGACTCATTTGTTAAAAGATAGGGGAAATTTACAACCCTTTCTTTCAAAAGGATATGAAGGGTTTAAAATGTATATCCCCGAGAAGGTTTTACATTTTTAAAAAAGATAATTGAAACCCCCGAGAAGGTTCTACATTTTTAAAAAAGACAGTTGGGACCCCCGAGAAGGTTTCATATTCTTAAAAAAAAACATTTGACGCCCCTGAGAAGGTTTTATATTCTTAAAAAAGACAGTGGAACTCACGAGAAGGTTTCACATTGTAAAAAGCATTTGGTGGTTTCGTTTCTTTGATTTTTTATTTTCTCAATTCGAGATTTAAAAATTTTTTTTTATTGTCAATTTTTCGATTTTTCCGTGTTTCGTTTTTACATTTTTCGATTTTCAGTTGTTTCGATTTTTTAATTTTCAGATATTTTAATTTTGCGATTTTCAAAATTGTTTTTTGATTTTTCGATTTTCCATCTTTTTACAATTTTTCGTTTTTTCGATTTTTCAATTTCTCAATTTTTAATTTATCACTTTCAGGTTTCAATGTTACAAATTTTAGATTTTATGTTTTTATTTTTTTTCAAATTTACAATTTTGTAATTGTTGTTCTAATTTGCTTTTTAATTTTTCGATTTTCTATCTGTTGAATTTTACAGTTTTTCGTTTTTTCGATTTTTCAATTCCTAGATTTTTAATTTATCACTTTTTCAGGCTTCAGTCTTAAAAATTTTCAATGTTACGGTTTTTTTTTCAAATTTACAATTTTGTAATTGTTTCATTTTTAAATTTCCTGATTTTTAATTTATTCACTTTTTTCAAATAATTATCATTAGGATTTTTTTCAAGTGTCCCTACAATTCTTGGCTTTTCAATTACCCGATTTTTCAGTTTCTGTTTTTTTTTCAAATGTTCGATTTCTCGGTTTATAAATTTTTCAGTTTGTAAGTGTTTCGTCTTTTCGATGTTATAATTTGTCAATTTTTCCATGTTTCTTTTCCGGTTTTCATTTTAAAATTTTTGGATTTTGAAATTAACTTTTTTTTTCATTTTTGATTGCATAATTTATAGTTTTTGAAGCTTTTGTTTTTCGTTTTTTCAATTTTTCACATTCTCGATTTTTAATTAATCAAGGTTTTCAGGTTTCTTTATTACAATTTCTCGATTTTTCAATTGTTTTTTCAATTGTCCATTTGTTTAATTTCTCATTTTATCATTTTTCGATTTGTCAATTTTAAAATTTTTCGATATTTCAAGTTTCATTTTTCAGTTTTTAAGTCTCATTTTTTCGGTTTTGTCAAGTTTTCTTTATTTTTTCAATTCTTCGATTTCTCAATTTTTTCATTTTTCAATTCAATTCAAAATTTCGGTTTGATAAATTGATCCTTTTGTTGAACAATTTAAAAATGACAAATCGAGAAAATGAAGAAATAAAAATCGAGAATTTGAAAAATTTTATATCGAAAAATTGCAGAATTGTTTCTTTTTGTCGCTTTTTCAATTACTCGATTTTTAATTGTTTTGTTTTTTGATGTTTCAGTGTTACAAATTTCCGGTTTTTCAGAAGTTCAGTTTGAATAAATTTGTCCTTTGTTGAACAATTTAAAAATGACAAATCGAGAAAATGAAGAAATAAAAATCGAGAATTTGAAAAATTTTGTATCGAAAAATTGCAGAATTGTTTCTTTTTGTCGCTTTTTCAATTACTCGATTTTTAATTGTTTTGTTTTTTGATGTTTCAGTGTTACAAATTTCCGGTTTTTCAAAAGTTCAGTTTGAATAAATTTGTCCTTTGTTGAACAATTAAAAAATGAAAAATCGAAAAATGAAAATTAAAAATTGCGAATTTGAAAAATTTTATATCGAAAAATTGCAGAATTGCTTCGTTTCTCGATTTTTAAATTTTTCGATATTTCAAGTTTCATTTTAAAATCTTTGGATTCTGAAATTAAAAATTTTTGTATTTTTGCTTATTTAATTTATAGGAAGTTTTGTTTTTCGTTTTTTCAATTTTTCAATTTCTCGATTTTTAATTAATCAGGGTTTTCAGGTTTCTTTATTACAATTTCTCGATTTTTCAATTGTTTTTTCAATTGTCCATTTGTTTGATTTCTAATTTTATCATTTTTCGATTTGTCAATTTTAAAATTTTTCGATATTTCAAGTTTTATTTTTCAGTTTTAAGTCTCATGTCTTCGGTTTTGTCAAATTTTCTTTATTTTTTTAAATTCTTCGATTTCTCAATTTTTTCATTTTTCAATTCAATTCAAAATTTCGGTTTGATAAATTGATCCTTTTGTTGAACAATTAAAAAATGACAAATCGAGAAAATGAAGAAATAAAAATCGAGAATTTGAAAAATTTTATATCGAAAAAGTGCAGAATTGCTTCGTTTTGTCGATTTTTCAATTTCTGGTTTTTTAATTAATCAGGGTTTTGAGGTTTCAATATTACAATTTCTCGATTTTTGAATTATCCAATTCATTTCTTAGTTTTCGATTTTTTAATTTTTCGATATTTCAAGTTTCATTTTAAAATCTTCGGATTCTGAAAATAATGTTTTGTATTTTTGATTATTTAATTTATAGAAATTTTTGTTTTTCGTTTTTTCAATTTTTCGATTTTTCATTTTAAAATTTTTTCGGTTTTTTCAATTTTTCTTTATTTTTTCAATTCTTCGACTTCTCAATTTTTAAATTTTTCAATTTTTCAAAATTTCGGTTTGAATAAATTTGTCCTTTTGTTGAACAATGAAAAATCGAGAAAATAAAGAATTAAAAATTGAGAATTTGAAAAATATTAAATTTAATTGTTGTATTTTTTAAAGTTTCGATGTTACAGTTATTCGATTTTGCAAAATTTTATTTTGATCAAAATTGGAAATCAAGAACTTGAAAACTTTAAAATTTAAAAATTGCAAAATCATTTTTTGATGTTTCAATTTCGGGATTTTCTGTTTTTACATTTTTCAATTTTTCGGTGTTTCGATTTTTTAGTTTCTCGATTTTCATTCTGAAATTTTTGGATTTTTCATTTTAAACTCGTTGTATTCTTTATGGTTTCAATGATGCAATTTTCCGATTTTACAATATTTTAGTTTGGATAAATTTGTTCTTTTGCTGAAAAATAAAAAACACGAAATTGAAAAATGAAAAAACTAAAAGTTCAAAACTCAAAAAATTGTAAATCGAAGAACTAACAAAGCAAAAACTGGAATAATTTTGTCTAAAAACATCACTTTAGTCACTATTAAACAAAAACTTGATGTTAGAGTCGTCTTATAGCAAGAATGGATATTGACCTGTTTGTTCTCTTCCAGTCGGATACACAGCTCAGGACGTCCTGTACCGGTGGAACAAAGCCAGACAGGTGGCCATCGCCGACGACATGAAACTGTCACAGTTCGACCTGATCGCGACCCCCGCAGCTAACCACACCGACACCATCGTCAACAGCGATACCAAATCAGGTGTTCGCCTTGTTGACACCTTTGAGATTAGTAAGAGTTGCATGAATTTACGCGGTTTTCAGTATAACTGGCGTCCCGAAAGGCCTCACTTGTTTGCTTAATAGGATCATTTGCTAATACCTGATAGTTAGTTTGCGCTCAGCCTAAACCAATTTGACCGGTTGATGAGACACGGCGTCCTGCTCAAATCCAAATTGTCAATTTTCGGACTGTTTTACTCGACGGGACAAAGGTTCGTCGGGGGATAAGCCGCCAAGTTCTGAGGTTAAAATTTAATCTTTGCTTGTTTGTTGAAAAATGGCTTCAGATTCGTGATTAAAATGATTTGTTTTTCACATATATCGAAATGTAATATTGCAAAATCTGAATAATTAGTTCTTTGCAATCGCAATCAATAGTCACGCGGGAATAGAAACTAATTACATTATATTGGCTTTCCATTTGAATAAACATCATCACCACGAATTAAAGTCGTTAGTGTTGGTCACAAAAGAATTGTTGCCTGTAATTCCGAACACTACACCACAACCTTTACAAAAAATTCAAACCCACGAAGTAAGACCGATAACCCAAGCCGCAAAAAATTCCGTGAATTTATTCCAACTCGAAGTACAAAACCCCAGCCAGTCCACGTGGACAAAGTTATCTACAAACAAAACATACGAAATCCTTTCGAAGCGCATGTAAAACCCAAGGATTTCGTGTGCCATGGTAATCTCTTATTGGACGTGGAAAGTCATAACGTACAAAACTAGTCGAAAGAGGATCACGACTTGTTAAAACCTGGCTTATTTTGTTTTGCGACCATTTTTGTATGTAATTTCTGCTTCGTAAAAAGGATCAAATTCCTTCTCTTTCAATGACATGAATGATTCAGTGATTTGTTTTTAGTTGAGCGACAACTGATTGCATAATTCATTATATTAGTGTTGATGGTGGCATTTCAGCTGAATATTCAATGCTTCTTGTCAGTTTCCACTTGCAACGGCATATGGGAAACTTTCTCATTCAGGTGTACGGCCCTTGCGTCCTCCTCGTCGTGCTTTCCTGGGTCTCGTTCTGGCTCAACAGGGAGGCCACGGCGGACAGAGTGTCCCTAGGTGAGTATTTTAAGGGGACTCGCTAGACGAGGTATAACATTTTTTTGATTTTTTGTATGAAAAAATGATATTAATATAGATGTATCATACATCAAACTGCAGCTTTTTTCATATTCTAGAGCGCGTAGACCAGTTCAATCAATTAAAAAAATATGGCTGAGAAATATCGTAAAAAAAGCACCATTGTATGTTTTCTTTTCAAGTTTTTTGAGTCATAACCATCATAGAATCGCTTGAAAATTCGCACATGGATAAAACATCACTTTTCACAGGGCGCAGAGTCATTAAATGTTTGTTAGTGGTACAATTTGTTTAAATAATAATGTGTTTATCAAAATCAAAATATACCACAAATTAATGCAAAACACGTAGAATAATTTTAACAGGAATATCAGAGGAAAATTAATGATCTATTGGTTAGCAGAGTTTTTAACAAAAACTAACAATTATTGAAAAAAATGGGAATCAATTCGACAGATTTTGAGCCGTTAGTTCAGTACTTTGCCGATAGGAGCCCCGCTAAAATTTACGGAAGCGACTTTCCAGGTAAAACCCTTATCGCCTGCTCTACCATAAGCTGATTGTTAGAGTTTTCGACTGATTTTTCTAATTTATGCCAAGGAACTCAGTTTTATAACAAGCCACCAGGACCGGCCGTAGTAATCTATTGTTAAGGAAATTAACTTTTACGCAATGAGCTACTATCATAAAACCGAATTAAAACTGGGGAACTATAATATTTTTACTCCACTCAGGATCCTGAATTCAATACACATGATTACTAAAAATTCATTGTAATATTATTGTTAATATATATTTTGCTTTGTTAATTAACAAAACTAATAAACATATTTATAATAATAAAAAAATATATATAAAATACAGCTTTTGTTTAACACGTATAAGCAGCTAAGTGTATCTACTACTACTTATCCCAGAAAGGAGGTGTTTTAGAAAAACTTTACGCCCAGTAACTTCTCCCTTCATTGTTTACTCGAAAAAAGTGCTCGTATATGTTTTCATTTGCCGAGAGATCATTTTCAAAATATATTTATAATAAAAATATGCAAGTCTTGGTGATGAAAAATGTACTCGTAATAAATTATTAAAGTACATAAAAAAATAGAAACAAATTTTATTTATTTTAAAAAAATCTCTCGCAAAGGCAGGTTCCTCTTTCTTCTTAAATCAATTATTTCGGGCAATAATGCGCCAAAGTAAAATCTGCCAAGTTTATCTGCCATCGTTTTACATATTTCTTCGTTTTTTTCTATATTAATTCCTTTGGGTGTCCACACAACAAAATAAACTTGTGAAATACCCGTAACAAGCATTGGACTTGAAAGTAGTAATCATGATTTTTTTTACTTTCAATTCTCCGTCTGTCAATGTACAAAATTTGATAATTTTTTTTCTAACCGCTTCTTCGGAAGACAAATCTTGCGATTTTGAAGGGCATTTAATTTCGACTAATGCACACTTATCCTCTAGAACCCTGACTGGACTAGTAGCCAAGTAAGGAAATTGTTTTGAAATAAAGCCACACCGTTCAGTTTTTATATTTTTATTTATTTCAAAACACTTGACAGCTTTTTCTTCACTTTGTTGTCCATACTATGTATGACTATTACCTCTAAATGTACTGTACAACAGATACTCCACAGTTTTAGCTATTGCTGTAGTAGGTCTAAGTTTGTAAATACGTCCAAAATTTGAAGCCGTAACCCTAATTTCTCTTTCTTTTGTCCAAATGTGCCTGTTGCCTTGTGTCTATTTCAATTTGGTCTAAATTCAAAGATAATTTTCTCAAAAAAACCTCTTTGGCTGTCACAAATGTTTCTACATCCATGTCAGGATTATCTAAAAAATACTTAAACCATAATCGCAATCGGGACCAGCATACGTACATTTTTTACGACATATTTTTTTACGAATACTTTGTCTAAGACGAGCTTGTTTCATAGACGAACAATATTTATTTGTTATTAAACCAGGACCGTTTTAATCATAATATATTTATTTATCCCCTCTAAAAAATTCATGACGTCACCTCGAAATTTTGCTGAATAAATCCTGTCTAAAATGTACAAAATATGATGAGTCTCTTGCAATTTATCATTCCATTCATATTTTTTGGATTCGGATATATAGGGTGACTCAAAAAATTTAATGAATGCGCAAATTTATTTTATTAATTTAATCAGGAACTACAAAACCGAATGCTTTGAAATCTTGGAAATGTTTTAAATTTAGCATAAGCATGGCAAATTTTTGATCAAAATATGTATATTTGCTCATCCCTCCTAAAAAATGGATGACGCCACCCCAAAATTTTGCTGAATAAATCCTATCTAAAATGTATAAAATATGATAAGTTTCTTCTTGTAATTTATCATTCCATTCATGTTTTTTGGATTTGCATATACAGGATGACCCCAAAAATTAATGAATGCGTAAATTTATTTTATTGATTTAATCAGGAACTACAGAACCCAATGCTTTGAAATCTTGCAAATGTTTTAAGGTTATAAAGAGCATAATAAATTTTTAGTCAAAATATATTTGCTTATCTCCTCCAAACAATTCATGACGTCACCTCAAAATTTTGCCGAATAATCCTATTTAAAATGTACAAAATATGATGAGTCTGTACTTGTAATGTATCATTCCAATCATATTTTTTGGATTCCGATATACAGGGTGACTCAAAAAATTTAATGAATGCGAAAATTTATTTTATTGATTTAATCAGGAACTACAAAACCGAATGCTTTGAAATATAATGTGAAAAAAAAACATAATAGACATGCAGTCGTCCCGTTTCCGATAGCGAGGGAAGTACTGTCTAAACTCTTTAGACCGATTTTTTTGATTTTCCCATTTCTCCATTTCTCAAATTTTCAATGTTTCAGTTTGGGATTTTTTCACTGTTTCGATTCTTTAATTTTCCTTCCAATTTTAGGTTTTTCAATATTTCAGCTTTGGAATTTTGCAATATTTCGTTTCTTCAATTTTTCAAATTTTTGATTTTGTGTTTTCTCGGTTTGTAAATGTTTCGATATTTTAATTTTTCAGTTTTTAAAGTTTTAGGTTTTTAGATTTCTCACTATCTCGACTTTTCGATTTTTCAGTTCCATGATTTTTCAATTTGTCGAATTTTTAAATTTTAGATTTTTTGTTTTCTTTGATGTTTTGAGTTCTCGATCATTCGATTGTCTGAGTTTTCAGGCTTGGATTTTTTTTGTTGTTCAATTCTTGGATTTTTAAAATTTTTGTTTTTTAAATTTTCCTATTTATCAACTTACTGGGATTTCAATGTTTCGATTTTTTTATTGTTCAATTTCTCGATTTTTTGAATTTTTAGTTTTTGATACGATTTTTTTTTCAAAAATTTTCAGTTTTTCAATTTGTTAACTTTACGATACTTCAGTTTTGCTCGATTTCGATTTCTCAATTTTTCGATATATTACTGCTGGGATTTTTCAATTTATCGATTTTTCGATTTCTCGATTCTTCATATTTTCGGTTTCTCGAATTTCTTCATTTTTCGATTTCTCAATTTTCCGATGTTTCAGTTTTACGATTTTTAAATTTTTTTATTTTTCAGTTTTCAATTTTTGACGTTTCTAAATTTTTCGATTTCTCAATTTTTCGATTAACTGATTTTTTTATTTTCCCATTTCTCTATTTCTCGATTTTTCAATTCTTGCTTCAATTGTGATTTTTCAAATTTTCGATTTCTGAATTTTTCAATGTTTCAGTTTTGGATTTTTTCACTTTTCCGATTCTTCAATTTTCCTTCCATTTTTCAGTTTTTCAGTATTTTAGTTCTGGGATTTTGCAATGTTTAGGTTCTTCAATTTTTCCATTTTTTGATGTTTCGGTTTCTCGGTTTTTCAATTTTTCGATAGGTATTTTAATATTTCAATTTTTAAGTTGTAGATTTTCCGTTAAGTTTTTTGACTTCCTTGATGTTTTGATTTCTCGATTACTCGATTTTTCAAGTTCTCGGTTTAGATTTTTTGGTTTTCCAATTCTTCGATTTTTAAATTGTTTAATTTTTAGTTTGTTCAATTTCTCGATTTTTAGATTTTTCAATTTTTCGGTTTATCGATTTTGTTTTCATTTAAAATAGTTCAATTTTTCAACTATTAACTTTTCGATTTTTCAATTTTGGTCTAATTTGATTTCTTAATTTTTTTATTTTTTGACTCCTTACTGTTGATGTTTTGATTTCTCGATGTTTCAGTTTTTGAACATTCCGATGTATCGATTTTTCGACTTTTTGGCTTTTCGAGTGTTCAATTTTTTGATTTTTGAATTTTAGATTTTTGTTTTTTTGATTTTTTTGGTGTTTCGATTTCCCAATTCTTCAATTTTTCGATACTTTAATTTTTCAATTTTTCGAATTTTTAAATTTTTGATTTTTCTTTACTTTTATTTCTCAATTTTTGGATTTTTTAAGTTTTACATTTTTCAATTTTACTATTTTTTGATGCTTGGATTTCTCAATTTTTCAAGTTTTCACTACTCAATTTTTAAGGATTTGAATATTGAGAACTTTTCAATTTCTGGATTTTCAATTTTCAGATCATTTAATTTTTTGATTTTTAAATGTTTCGATTTTTGGGTGTTTTGGTTTTTCGATTTTTCGATTTTTCCGATTTGTTGTCTATTTTAAGTATATTTCATTTTTCAATTTACGCCTTCTGCGGGAGTATTATTTGTTGTGCTTTTAATTTCATTGTATAAACCGTTTGAAGGTATCACGACCGTCTTAACCATGACGTTCCTGGGTCTGGAAGCCAGGACGGACCTCCCCAAAGTCCCCTACCCCACAGCGCTCGACTTCTTCGTGTTCCTGTCGTTTGCGTTCATTTTCGCTACTATTATCCAGGTAAAAACGCACTTAACTGACCTAGTACGTGAAAAGCACGCAAACAATTACCGTGACGAACACGTTTACTCGAAACAATGCCAATTATTACAGTTCGCTGTGGTCCACTACTTCACGAAATACGGTTCCGGGGAGTGCTACTTCAGCTCGGATTTCAGTTCCGATTCCAGCAGCGACGAGGAGGATTGGATTGAAACCACAGACAACGCGCCGAAGGACGCCACCTCGCACGTGAGTGTTCGAGTGTTTACTTAACTAACTGGTGAGGTAATTAAAAAACACTTATTCATCCCCCGCAAAAAGTGATGACGTCATCACGAGTAATATATTTACAAAGCAGCCGTGTTTACAAATAATTAAGCCACCTTTTTACGCATTCAAGGTCCCCACGCACCTCATAAAAATGTTTCGATTCAGCCGAAAGGAGGGATTTGAGTTTCACAATAATAATAATTATCGAATTCAAGGTTGAGCGAATTCGCTTGCTTTAAGGATTTTTTATTAACAAGAAGGAAAAAATAAAACCAAATAAAGTTTAACGATGCGAAAGCACGAAACATCATCATTAGGGCGGCAGAAAATTCTGTTTAAATTTAAGAGGAATCGTCAGCAGATGGAAAAATTGGCTGAAAAAGTGGGTATTGGATGAAAAATGGAATTTTAACTAATTTCGGGGCAGTAGATTTGACTGAGTTGAACGACGGATTGGCAGACGTTCAAGCTTTGTTTTGCAAATTTTGGAATTTGCGGATTTTCAAAATTAGAAAAAGATTGAAATGTTAGAGTAAATAGCGAATGTAACGTGAGAGTTAAATTATTTGAGCTCAGGTAATAGTTTATCTAAAATGGCAAGTTATAATTGCTAGGAGAGTTTTAGTGAAAGCAGCTGCAATCAATGTTTGAAACTGATTAAACTATGTATAATGTTCATTAAACTGAAAGTTTTAATGATAACACGACGTGATTAATGTGTATTCTAAGTACAAAAAAAATGGCACATTTTAATGGCATTTCAGAGAGCTTATATAATTCTCGAGTTTATCCAAGCACACAGTTCAAAAAAAGCCAAATTGCTTATTATTATACTTAAAATTTTGTCAGTTCCACTCGAATTAATGTCGAAATTTTTTATTTAAATTAACATTTGCTAATTGTAAGGCAACTTTCTGGAAGCCTAAATTTTTTTTTCTTACACTATTACCACTATTACCTACATTTTTTTATATGTAGAAGTTATCACTCGAGAGGCGATTTTACTGCACAACTTTGTTCGCACTCTGATCAAGATCGCACGTTTGCATACACGACAAGTGACGACTCGAGATTTTCGAGATGGTGGGTACTCGACGCCCACGTATAGGTGATTATTGCACATGAAAAACAGGAAATAACAATATAATTTCTGGATTTCTAGGAGTTCTCGGATTCTTGGATTTCCTAAATTTCTTGGTACAATTGGGTTCCTTCATGTTATAAAATTTTGTCCCAAATTTTTACTTTTATATTTTATAAATTCCTGGATTTTTTTATTGTTTCGTATTTTGTGGGTTGGTCGAATTTCTTGATTTTTTTAAGTTTCTTAATTTAGGGTTTCTGGAAGTTTGGTCCAGATTTTTGGCTTTTTGATTTTCCTTGATTTTTTGGATTTCTTAAGTTTGTTGGACTTTTTGGGTTCTTGGAGTCTTTAAATTCCTTTGATTTATTAGGTTTTCCAAGTTTCTAAGGTTTCTTGAGCTTCGTGGGTGTTAATTTCTTTTTCGGATTGTTTATAACTTTCAAAATTTTGGACTTCTTAGATTTTTTCAATTTCTTGGTCTTCGGTTTTTTGTGTTCCAAAATTTCGGTTTTTTGGAATAGTTATATGTACTTTTTGTAGAGTTCCTGGATTTTTTGGACTTTTGGTGTTTTGAGAGATTTCTCGGATTTATTGGAGTTTTTTAAGTTACTTAATCTTGTATTTTTTCGAGATTTAAAAATTTGTTCCAGATTTTTGGATGTCTTGAGGTTCTCGGATTCTCAGATTTTTTGGATTTTACAGATTTCCTGAATTTCTTGGGCTTCTAGGATATCTTAGGATTCTCGTTTTTTTAATAATCTGGGTTTCTTGAGGTTCTTGAAGTTCCTTCGATTCCTTCGATTTCTTGGATTTCTTGCGTTTCTTGGCTTTTTTATTTTCCAAGATATTTTGGGTTTCTTTAACTCAGTGGATTTGTTGGTTTTCTTGGACTATTTGGGCTCTTGGATTCCTAAAATTTCTTTCTTTTATTATATGTATTAGTTATTTTTTTTAATTTTCAGAATGTTTATAACTTTCAAAATTTTCGAATTCTTGAATTTCTTAAATTTCTTATCTTCGGTTTCTTGAGGTTATAAAATTTTGTTCCAAATGTATGATTTTTTGGAATGTTTACAAGTATTTTATAGATTTCCTGAATGTCTTGGATTTTCGTTTTTCGCAAATTTCTTGGATTCTTTTAAATTTTTTGATCTTGAGTTTTTTCACAATTTAAAATTTTGTTCCAGATTTTTGGTATTTAGAATGCTCATTAGGTACATTATATCTTCATAATTTTGGACTTATTGGAGTTCTCGGGTTCTCATATTTCTTACGCTTTCCAGATGTTCAAGTTTCTTGAATTTCTAAGATTTTTTGGGATTCTTGGGTTTTTAAATACCCTGGATTTCTTAGGTTTCCTTGCCTCATTGGATTTTTTGAGTTTCAAGAGATCTTGGATTTCTTCGATTCCTTCTGTTTCTTAGATTTCTTGGATTTCTTACATTTCTTGGGTTTTTGATGTTCTTATATTTTTTGAGTTTTCTTAACTCAGTCGATTTCTTGGTTTTCATGAACTTTTTGGCTTCTTGGAGTCCTGAGATTTCTTTCTTTTATTAGGTTTTTCAAGTTTCTAAGGCTTCTTGAGTTTCGTGGGAGTTAATTTTTTTTATTTTTCAGAGTTTTTAGAACTATCAGATTTTGGACTTCTTGGATTTCTTAAATTTCTTGGTCTTCAGTTTCTTCGAAATTTTGTTCCAAATTTATGATTTTTTGGAATGTTGATAAGTATTTTATAGATTTCCTAAATGTTTTGGATTTTTCGTATTGGTAGATTTCTTGAATTCCTTGGATTTTTTAAATTTCTTGGCTTTGGGTTTCTTCAACATTTAATATTTTGTTCCAGATTTTTGCTGTTTAGAATGCTCATTATATCTTTATAATTTTAGATTTCTTGGAGTTCTCGGGTTCTCATATTTCTTGAACTTTTCAGATGTTTCAAGTTTCTTGGGTTTCTAGGATTTTTGGGATTCTTGGGTTTTTAAATACCCTGGATTTCTTAGGTTTCCTTGCCTCATTGGATTTTTTGAGTTTCTTGAGATCTTGGATTTCTTCGATTCCTTCTGTTTCTTAGATTTCTTGGATTTCTTGAATTTCTTACATTTCTTGGGTTTTTGATGTTCTTATATTTTTTGAGTTTTTTTAACTCAGTCGATTTCTTGGTTTTCATGAACTTTTTGGGTTCTTGGAGTCCTGAGATTTCTTTCTTTTATTAGGTTTTTCAAGTTTCTAAGGCTTCTTAAGTTTCGTGGAGTTATTTTTTTTTATTTTTCAGAGTGTTTATAACTTTCGGAATTTTGGACTTCTTGGATTTCTTAAATTTCTTGGTCTTCAGTTTCTTCGAAATTTTGTTCCAAATTTATGATTTTTTGGAATGTTGATAAGTACTTTATAGATTTGCTAAATGTTTTGTTTAGGTTTCCTTGCCTCATTGGATTTTTTGAGTTTTTTGAGATCTTGGATTTCTTAGATTTCTTGGATTTCTTGAATTTCTTACATTTCTTGGGTTTTTGATGTTCTTATATTTTTTGAGTTTTCTTAACTCAGTCGATTTCTTGATTTTCATGAATTTTTGGGTTCTTGGAGTCCTGAGATTTCTTTCTTTTATTAGGTTTTTAAGTTTCTAAGGCTTCTTGAGTTTCGTGGGAGTTATTTTTTTTATTTTTCAGAGTGTTTTTAACTTTCAGAATTTTGGATTTCTTGGATTTCTTAAATTTCTTGGTCTTCAGTTTCTTCGAAATTTTGTTCCAAATTTATGATTTTTTGGAATGTTGATAAGTATTTTATAGATTTCCTAAATGTTTTGGATTTTTCGTATTGGCAGATTTCTTGAATTCCTTGGATTTTTTAAATTTCTTGGCCTTGGGTTTCTTCAACATTTAATATTTTGTTCCAGATTTTTGCTATTTAGAATGCTCATTATATCTGTATAATTTTGGATTTCTTGGAGTTCTCCGGTTCTCATATTTCTTGCACTTTTCAGATGTTTCAAGTTTCTTAGATTTCTAAGATTTTTTGGGATTCTTGGGATTTTAAATACCCTGGATTTCTTAGGTTTCCTTGCCTCATTGGATTTTTTGAGTTTCTTGAGATCTTGGATTTCTTCGATTCCTTCTGTTTCTTAGATTTCTTGGATTTCTTGAATTTCTTACGTTTTTGATGTTCCTAGATTTTTTGAGTTTACTTAACTCAGTCGATTTCTTGGTTTTCATGACCTTCTTGGGCTCTTGGAATCCTGAGATTTCTTTCTTTTATTAGATTTTTCAAGTTTCTAAGGCTTCTTGAGTTTCGTGGGAGTTTTTTTTTTTATTTTTCAGAATGTTTATAACTTTCAGAATTTTGGACTTCTTGGACTTCTCAAATTTCTTGGTCTTCGGTTTCTTGAGGTTATAGAATTTTGTTCCAAATTTTTAATTTTTTGGAATGTTTATAAATATTTTATAGATTTGCTGGGTAGACATCTTCGATTTTTCATATTTCGCAGATTTCTTGTATTTTTTTTTTAATTTCTTCGTCTTGGGTTTCTTCAAGATTTAAAATTTTGTTCCAGATTTTTGGTATCTAGAATGCTCATTATCTGTATAATCTTGGATTTCTTGGAGTTGTCGGGTTCTCATATTTCTTGGATTTTTCAGATGTTTCAAATTTCTTGACTTTCTAGGTTTTTTAAGATTCTTAGATTTCTTAGGATTCCTTGCGTCAGTGGATTTTTTGAGTTTCTTGGAGTTCTTGGGCTCTTGGATTTTTTGAATTTCTTCGATTCCTCCGATTTCTTCTATTTCTTGTGTTTCTTGGATTTCTTGAATTTCTTGGGTTTTTTATTTTCCAAGATTTTTTGAGTTTCTTTAACTCAGTAGATTTTTTGGTTTTCTTGGACCTTTTGGGTTCTTGGAGTTCTGAGATTTCTTTCTTTTATTCGGTTTTCCAAGTTTCTAAAGCTTCTTGAGTTTCCTGGGAGTTTATTTTTTTTATTTTTCAGAATGTTTATGACTTTCAGAATTTTGGACTTCTTGGATTTTTTAATCTTCTTGGTCTTCGGTTTCTTGGGGTTATAAAATTTTGTTCCAGATTTTTGGTGTTTAGAATGCTCATTATCTTTCTAATTTTGGATTTCTTGGAGTTCTCGGGTTCTTATATTTCTTCAATTTCTCAGATGTTTCAAGTTTCTTGGGTTTCTAGGGTTTTTGGGATTCTTGAGTTTTTAAATACCCTGGATTTCTTAGGTTTCCTTGCCTCATTTGATTTTTGAGTTTCGTGAAGTTCTTAGGCTCTTGGATTTCTTGAATTTCCTCGATTCCTCCAATTTCTTCTATTTCTTGAGTTTCTTGGATTTCTTGAATTTCTTGGGTTTTTTATTTTCCAAGATTTTTTGGGTTTCTTTAACTCAGTGGATTTTTTGGTTTTCTTGGACCTTTTGGGTTCTTGGAGTCCTGAGATTTCTTTCTTTTATTAGGTTTTCTAAGTCTCTAAAGCTTCTTGAGTTTCCTGGGACTTTATTTTTTTTATTTTTCAGAATATTTATCACTTTCAGAATTTTGGACTTCTTGGATTTTTTAATCTTCTTGGTCTTCGGTTTCTTGGGGTTATAAAATTTTGTTCCAGATTTTTGGTGTTTAGAATGCTCATTATCTTTCTAATTTTGGATTTCTTGGAGTTCTCGGGTTCTTATATTTCTTCAATTTCTCAGATGTTTCAAGTTTCTTGGGTTTCTAGGGTTTTTGGGATTCTTGAGTTTTTAAATACCCTGGATTTCTTAGGTTTCCTTGCCTCATTGGATTTTTGAGTTTCTTGGAGTTCTTAGGCTCTTGGATTTCTTGAATTTCTTCGATTCCTCCGATTTCTTCTATTTCTTGAGTTTCTTGGATTTCTTGAATTTCTTGGGTTTTTTATTTTCCAAGATTTTTTGGGTTTCTTTAACTCAGTGGATTTTTTGGTTTTCTTGGACCTTTTGGGTTCTTGGAGTCCTGAGATTTCTTTCTTTTATTAAGTTTTCTAAGTCTCTAAAGCTTCTTGAGTTTCCTGGGACTTTATTTTTTTTATTTTTCAGAATATTTATCACTTTCAGAATTTTGGACTTCTTGGATTTTTTAATCTTCTTGGTCTTCGGTTTCTTGGGGTTATAAAATTTTGTTCCAGATTTTTGGTGCTTAGAATGCTCATTATCTTTCTAATTTTGGATTTCTTGGAGTTCTCGGGTTCTTATATTTCTTGAATTTCTCAGATGTTTCAAGTTTCTTGGGTTTCTAGGAATTTTGTGATACTTGGTTTTTTAAATACCCTGGATTTCTTAGGTTTCCTTGCCTCATTGGATTTTTTGAATTTTTTGGAGTTCTTGGACTCTTGGATTTCTTCGATTCCTTTTATTTCTTGGCTTTCTTGAATTTCTTGCATTTCTTGAGTTTTTGATGTTCCCAGAGTTTTTGGGTTTCCTTAACTCAGTCGATTTCTTGGTTTTCATGAACTTTTTGAGCTCTTGGAGTCCTGAGATTTCTTTCTTTTATTAGGTTTTTCAAGTTTCTAAGGTTTCTTGAGTTTCGTGGGAGTTAATTTTTTTATTTTTCAGGATGTTTATAACTTTCAGAATTTTGGACTTCTTGGTTTTCTTAAATTTCTTGGTCTTCGGTTTCTTGAGGTTATAAAATTTTGTTCCAAATTTTCGATTTTTTGGAATGTTTACTAGTATCTTATAGATTTCCTGGGTATCTTGGATTTTTCTTATTTCTTGGATTTCTTGTATTTTTTTTTTAATTTCTTTTGTTCCAGATTTTTGGTATCTAGAATGCTTATTATCTGTATAATGTTCGATTTCTTGGAGTTGTCGGGTTCTCATATTTCTTGGATTTTTCAGATGTTTCAAGTTTCTTCGGTTTCTACGATTTTTGGGTTTCTTGGGTTTTCAAATAACCTGGATTTTTTAGGTTTCCTTGCCTCATTGGATTTTTTTAGTTTCTTGGAGTTCTTCGATTCCTTCTTTTCTTGAGTTTCTTGAATTTCTTGCGTTTCTTGGTTTTTTGATGTTCCTAGATTTTTTGGGTTTCCTTAACTCAGTGGATTTCTTGGATTTCTTCGATTCCTTCTATTTCTTCGATTCCTTCGATTTCTTGAATTTCCTGCGATTCTTGGGTTTTTATTTTCCTAGATTTTTGGGTTTCCTAACTCAGCGGATTTGGTCTCCTGTTTCTTGAGGGAATAATATTTTGTTCCAAATTTTTTATTTTTTGAATGTTTATATTTTATAAATTTCCAGGATTTCTTGGATTTTTCGTATATCACGGATTTCTGGGATTTCTTAGCTTTTTTTCAAGTTTCTTAGTTTTAAGTGTCTTCAAGATTTAAAACTTTTTTTGAAGTACTGTCTATATTTTTGCGATAGCCTCTGTAAATTAAAACCATACTTCCTTAGCTTACGCTCAGGAACGGGAAATATAAATAATCACAGTTATCACAAAATTTTGATTCTTTCATCCAAAATCCGGATGCTTAGGGTAAAAAATCAAGGCGGATTCATATACCACATAGAACTGTATGTTATTTTATAAAATTCGTATGACATGTAAATTTTTTTTTAGTTTTACTACCATCTACATGATATTCCTAATACACATCCAAAATTTGACAACAATCGGTCCAGTAGTTTCGGAGATTATCTATTTAATAAAAATGGACACAGACGCAGACAGACCACAGACAAACGGAAACGCGAGATCCGTTTTTTCGTGATCTAGGGATCATGAAACTTCGAAAAAATATGAAAATAGTCAGTCGCCCTATGCAAATAATAATACGCCACTGTTCACTGTCCATATGGTTCGGAAGTGACGTCATAGACTTTTTGAAGGGGGAAACCTTAGATCATACAAATAGCATAAACGAAAAGAAGACAAAATTGGGGAAATTTCTCTAAAGCTCTTGACCTGACTTAATACAACTAATCCGACCCGACCTGACGTGACCCACCCTCCCTCTACCTGAAGCTTGGAAAATTTTCAAAAATATATAACACCGAATTGCTAAAATAATTTATCCGATAACCATCTCCCGAGTCGAAATCGTCCAAAACCGCCTTGGAAACTTTCCAGCTTCCCTCCACCCCAGACAAGCAAGCAATAACGCCGACTTTTTTCACTCTTACAAGAAAACCCTCGCACGTCACCCCTTAACCCTTCAACTCTGCTCGTAGGTGTCCGGTTCCCCTGTTTGCAAGAGCTCGAATTTCGACAGCTCGAACGGCGGCGATCCGCATTTCGTCGAAGTAATTCCGCTGTCGGCGTGTTCCATTCCGGTGGCTTCGATGAGGCGGACGTCGCAGCCTTGGAGCAATCTCTCCTGCATCAGCAGATCCCAAGAAGAAAAGAACTTCGTGCCGAGTCCGGCCAAGTCCGCCGGAAGCCAGAAGTCGCCGTGTCAGAACCAACGCCACAGGAAAAAGAAGAAGAAAAGAACGCCCCGGTTTAACTCCGTCTCGAAAATTGATCGCGCATCCAGGGTAGTCTTCCCCGTCCTGTTTGTTACCATTAACTTGTTTTACTGGTATTCGTACCTGTCGAGGACCAAGCGCATTCAGAATCTGAGCGTTAAGTAAATAACTGTCATAGCTGTGATGTTCTGCTTAATTGGTGTCATAGTTCCTGTTTTTTTCGGTTTGGTTTTATTTCGTGAGGGGTGGAATAGCTACGTGAAACTGCCAAATTTATGTCGCGGGGGAGGGACTTGATGATTTCGGGAAATTACTGCGGAACCAAATCATTATGTAGCGATTTATTATTGTACGATAATAAAACTATATTGTCGTTTATTATTATTATTATTATTAGACAGGAGGAATTATATTTATTGTTGTTATTTGTTGAAAAGTCTATAGTGTTAGAGATAATAAATTACCTATAATTTTTTTCGTAAGTGTTTTATTTCAAACTTGTAGAACGTTTTGGGTTTGCTTTTTTGCAGGCATTGATTAAATACATATAGATAGACCCATGCTATTGTTTGGAGCGAACAGGCCAACGGCCGGCGAACAAGAGATGGCGCACCAACAGTCGGCCGTCAAACGCCGGCGAAAAGCTTGGACACCAATCGCGCGCGTAGATAACCCAAATCGCAGCAACAATACATTTAATAAAGCTACCACTCGACAGAGGGCGACGAAAACAATGTGTAAAAATCTCATAGTAAACATTTATATAATTTGCAACGTTGCCAGATGAGCCTAGCACAACTTTGCCGTTATTTCTAGTCGATTAGATTTTATTTCGTTTAAAAGTTTCTGGTGAATAAATGGAATTATTATAATGAATAAACAATACAAACAAATTATTACTTGTTATTTTAAATACTTGTTAGTGTTGATGAAAACATAAATGGTAATTAAAGTTATTCTAAATACGGTCCGGTCCGGTAGCTCAAATTTTACAGTACGAGTGATATGTTTCAGGACGAGTAGGTAGCCGAGTCTTTAATTTCGAAACGAGTACTGCGAAAAGAGTTACCGGACGTATGTTGTTATGTATTTTATTTCATACTGTCAACATACTTTTTTATTCGATAAAATTATTATTATTTTGAGAAAAAATCCAAATCGAGTCACTTTTTCTGACATCGTTAGCAACCGCTCTTTGGTAAATGTTTTAATTTGTTTACTCGTGCAAATCAGCATCATATGTTTAAACACATAGTACTTATAACACTTTACAGGACTTATTGTTTTGTATAATCCGACTCGATGGACGAATGTTTTGTGCAATCCGTCTCGAAGGACCAATGTTTGTGCAACTCGGCTCGTCCTACCAGTATTTTTTGTAATCTGGTTGATACGACAATGTGATACCGAATTGTACTTTGATATTGCTCCAAGGACCTTTGTTTTCTTGCGTGCGAGATAAAGACAGCGTTCGGTTTCGATGTTTAATACAGGACGGTTACAGAAGTACTAAATTTACATTTGTATTTACAATAACAGGTAAAGCAAAAGAGACCCAAAAGGGTCAGTGGCCGCTTCCGGAAATGGAACACTTGTCCTTTTTGGCTCAATTTTATCGGACTTGTCCGTTTTTTTGATTTTACCGGAATCGTTCGATCCAGTAAAACGTCAAACTTGACATAGTATAAAGTAAAATAAATAAATTTTATTCAATTTTGACATGTAAACAAACGTTTATTTTGCCGTCAGTAGGCCACTAAAGCTTTGGTTTATCCGGTAGCACCATAAAATTTTTAAACCGCTAGCGAAATAAAATTTTTATTTTGCTGTTTTAAAACCATGGTTACCATTTCTGTAATTTCTCCAATGCCTTGCTGCTCTTTCCATCTAAGGAACTTTTGATACACTTTCTGATTTGCTCTTTTTTGGGAGCAAGTTTTGCCGTTGGAATCTTGCATGATTTTGCAATTTTTCGATAATTTTAGTTTGTTTAAAATAAACAAACACCGTCGCCAGAGTCACATACTACACACACACCTGATATTGTAACCTAAATTCTACGCATATAAAACTTTTATTTGGTCGCTGTCAATTCTGACGTTTCTCGAATGTGAACTTTGAATCACCAATTTTTTCACAATTTGGGACTTGGGGTTGTCAAAATTGAATAAAAGTTTGTATTACACTCGCGGTTAAAATGAATGTGTAACTCGTGGTCTTAAGGCGCTCTCGCCTTAAACTGGCCGCTCATTAAACATTCACTTTAACCGCTTGTATAATAAATAACTATTATGATGTAAATACAATTAAGTATATCGATAATTCGCTACTGAAAATTTATTGAAATATAATTTGTGTTAAAAAAAGATTTTTGTGGTTTTATGGTTTATTAACATAATTTACTTATTTGAAATTACATATTTTTAATACATAGCACAAGTTCTTGATATTCTTTATTTTTATTCCAAGTAATAATTGTGTTTCCTTTAGTTTTAATCAAGAAAATTTTTCGGTTATTATCTAACATACTTTTGTACATTAAGAAACTCCATTCCACGTCACAGGACGTTACAGGACAATATTTAAATAAATAAAGAAGTCGTTTTATGTGTTTTAAAATTCACTCTGATTTCCGGACTTTAGACTTTTTGGTGTTTCACTTCGGCACAAGAACTAGTCGTATCTCAAAGAAAACAAACAGTGGAATATAGCGTATTGTACCTATATTTCATAGTAAAAATGTCTAAATTTTTTTATGAAGAGACAGACTGTTCTAGGAAACTTTACTAAATCTTTTCATTTACGAGCTATTGAAAGTCCGCCGGTCTCACTGATACTTCTTACTTGGCTCTTACGAATGAAGCGAAAAATGCACAGATTGAAAATATAGTAAATGGGGTAGTATGTATGCGTGATATGTCGTTAGACATTAAGTATTTTGCAAATAAAATTTATTTCATTGAAAACAGAAACAATAAAAAACATATCTGTACAAGTTTGGAATCGATATGGCCAGTTGTTTAGAATATGCAAATATGCTTTTGTTCGTATTTACAATTATTACGAAACAGGTTATCAAATAATCTATTTTCACATGGCGAGACTTTCAAGCGGCCGAAGAATTAAAAACCATAAATTTTCATTGAAGAAACAAACTCTTCCAAGAAAATTACCAAATCTTTTAGTTTACGCACTATTGGACGAGCACTCCTTAAAACGGTCAGTATACCTAATCGCATTATTCCATTGATACCTACCTACCGAAAACGTTGCCAGATGAGCCTAACACAAATTTGCGGATATTTCTCGTCAACCAGATATTATTTCATTTAGAAGTTTCTGGTAAATAAATGGGATTATTGTAATGAACACATAAAACAAATAAATTGTGATTATTATTTGTTGTTTTAACCCATTAGACGCTTATAGGCTTATAAGCATACTTTTCTTGAAAAATCGGTAATAAATTCAGTGAAACATCTTTGTGCCTTAATTCCTATTGGTAAACTGGGATTTTGAATAGAGGTCGCAGGAAAATTTTGTATGGTTTTATGGTTTATTTACATAATTTTCTTATTTACAATGAATGTTTTTGATATATAATACAAGTTCTTGATATTATTTATTTTAATTACATTTAATAAACCATAAAACCACAAAAATCTTTTTTTAACACAAATTATATTTCAATAAATTTTCAGTAGCGAATTATCGATACACTTAATTGTATTTACATCATAAAATTTATTTATTTTACTTCATACTATGTCAAGTTTGACGTTTTACTGGATCGAACTATTCCGGTAAAATAAAAAAAACGGACAAGTCCGATAAAATTGAGCCAAAAACACACGGAGGTAGAAGAGACACTCTTCTACCTCCGTGGCCAAAAAGGACAAGTCTTCCATTTCCGGAAGCGGCCACTGACCCTTTTGGGTCTCTTTTGCTTTACCTGTTATCAGTGGCGGCTGGTGGGTCAAAATTTCGGGTCGGCCAAATATTTTGAGTCTACACCTTGGTGTTATATATTTTCGTAATGTATGGCTGCTACTCATTAACCACTGACATTTTACGTGCCAGGATGTACAAAACATCTCAAATGTTTCGACCTGTTAAAATAATTTTTTATAGGAAATTGACAATGTCAGTTTGATTCCAAATACTATTAATCCTTAATTCTACTTGTTCTGCTTTATCATTAATTGAGAACCACCGAAAACATTATTTTTACTGAGTTCCGCGTCGACCGGCGGCTATACGGCTTGCCGACCCCGGACATCCACAATTAAATAATAATAATTAAATAATGACATGCAGTTAAAAAATATAAAAAAAGTAATAATAAAAGTACCAACTGTTAACTATCTTCATTTACATTTATTTATTTTTAATGTATATGACAAATTGTCAAATAAATTAATTGAATAATTGAAAAATTAAAATGATTTAAAACTTTAAATTCGTTTCTGAAATATCTGAAAACGCTTAGATGCTAAAAATACAGAAAAAGCGCATTTATGTTGTAGCTAAGTTATGTACGAAAAATAAAATTTTAGATAATTTAATGTAATTTTTTTCGTTTATTATTCATACACAGAAAAATGTATTAAATCGACAATTATTATTTAAAAAAAAATAGTATGCACTGAAGAACATCGAAGCCGTTATTGTTTTGTAATTTGGTTAGCTATCTTAAATATTAAGCGTTTTAAAAACTAAATTCGCGTTGCTGGGTACGGCGAAGGAGGATTTCGCCGGACCTGGCACAACATACGTTCCGCCAGGTCTTTGTCTACTACAGTGTACTAGACAAAGAGAACGATGAAACCGTAAGCTGCTACGAAGTCGAAACATCGAGCATAATGCATTCCTGGGTACGGCTTGCCGAAATCTCGCCGGCAAAGCGTGTTTATCAGCATTTAAAATTAGCAACAAATGCTTTATTTTGTACCTACAATATAATAAAATATATTTTTAATATATATGATCTATCCTAACGTACATTCAAACTTTATTTCTTTTTTTATTTTCTAATTTCAACGCTTACTAAGTATTTTAAAATGACTGGTACGGCGTGGCCGACCCTGCCGCCCCTGACCAGCCGCCCCTGCCTGTTATTGTAAATACAAATGTAAATTTAGTACTTCTGTAACCGTCCTGTATTAAACATCGAAACCGAACGCTGTCTATTATCTCGCACGCAAGAAAACAAAGGTCCTTGGAGCAATATCAAAGTACAATTCGGTATCACATTGTCGTATCAACCAGATTACAAAAAATACTGGTAGGACGAGCCGAGTTGCACAAACATTGGTCCTTCGAGACGGATTCACAAAACATTCGTCCATCGAGTCGGATTATACAAAACAATAAGTCCTGTAAAGTGTTATAAGTACTATGTGTTTAAACATATGATGCTGATTTGCACGAGTAAACAAATTAAAACATTTACCAAAGAGCGGTTGCTAACGATGTCAGAAAAAGTGACTCGATTTGGATTTTTTCTCAAAATAATAATAATATTATCGAATAAAAAAGTATGTTGACAGTATGACATAAAATACATAACAACATACGTCCGGTAACTCTTTTCGCAGTACTCGTTTCGAAATTAAAGACTGGGCTACCTACTCGTCCTGAAACATATCACTCGTACCGTAAAATTTGAGCTACCGGACGGCTATTTAGAATAACTTTAATTACCATTTATGTTTTCATCAACACTAACAAGTATTTAAAATAACAAGTAATAATTTGTTTGTATTGTTTATTCCTTATAATAATTCCATTTATTCACCAGAAACTTTTAAACGAAATAAAATCTAATCGACTAGAAATAACGGCAAAGTTGTGCTAGGCTCATCTGGCAACGTTGCAAATTATATAAATGGTTACTATGAGATTTTTACACATTGTTTTCGTCGCCCTCTGTCGAGTGGTAGCTTTATTAAATGTATTGTTGCTGCGATTTGGGTTATCTACGCGCGCGATTGGTGTCCAAGCTTTTCGCCGGCGTTTGACGGCCGACTGTTGGTGCGCCATCTCTTGTTCGCCGGCCGTTGGCCTGTTCGCTCCAAACAATAGCATGGGTCTATCTATATGTATTTAATCAATGTTGCAGGACATCGATAGATTAAAATTTAGGTTTGGTTGCGACCACGCGGCGCCGAAGGGGCTGTCGCCACAAAAAATCCCTAAAAAAACAGATCTCTCCATTAACCTACTTTTATTAAATAAACAAACAATGATATGCAAAATTAGTTGTTTAGGTAGCACCGACGAGGGCGGAGATTTCCGATTCCGAATTTCTTATTTACATAAAAATAAAACTGTCCTTCGGGAATAGCAAATGTACGGGGTTTTTCTGGAAGCCAACGAAACTGATAGTGAATCAAGAGGAATTTCACTGACCTAAATTTATACAACTTTCAATCAGGATACTCAATCCGTTTAATACGAAGTGACGAATATGTCGCCATTGTGTTCTTCTCACAATATTTCCACTCTACTACATAACATTAAGTTTTTAATTTTACGTTTTTTGGTGCGTTTTGATTTCAAATTAACGAGGACACAATTAAATAATTTCAAACAAAATATACTTTACAATTTTTTTACTGTGAACACTTAAATCACATTAACACAACTCCACAAACCTGAAATTAAATTCAAAACTTTCAAATTTGTATTAAAGATTTTTCCAATACAAAATACAACAAAATTAAATTTCTAATGCACAGTCTTTCAATGTACAAGATTGATTTATTTAAACAAGAAGCTGAAACAAACAAGTTAGATACACTCAACCTGAAAACCAAAACTTACCTGTAAGGATAACCCTGAGTTTTACTCCTGAAAATCGACAACAGCAACGAGAAAAACACAGATAACAAAATAAGACCCACGACTGCTAAAATTTTTCTCTTTTTGGGGTCACCCTTGCCCCTCGCGGCCTCTGTGAGTAAAATCATACCCAAAACAACAGCGCCATCTATGAAAAATTAAGGAAACACTAAAATCGAACTTCAGGGCACCAAAAACCCTAAAAGGATACTAAGAACCATGACGATGTAGGTCTCCACGACGAACTGGCCTTGTGACGACCCATGGACGTACATTATTTGCCCGCTCTGACTCTTATGGACAAACGGGGGCCCCCTTATGTGGTTCCACATCTGGCCTGACACCATCGCAAAACAAAAGAACAACGAGCCCATCCCCCACATTGACTTGTTGTACAAGAAATCCAAGTTGTTGCGCCTCAAGTACAAAAATCCGGCGACGAACGCAAAAAGTACCACTAAAGCTAAAGTCCCTGAGTAGTTGGGTGGACGGAACACGCGAATCTATCCAGACAAAAATTACAACTATGCATAAAATAAATAAAAGCGACCATTACTTGAATATCTGTTCTTTCAGCAATCCATTTGGCGATGGCTTCGGCCGAAAAACCGATCCGCGAAATATCCATAGTGTCCGCATTCTTTGGTTTTCCTTTAGGCGGGAAATGCATGAACACCGGGGCTGTATTAATCCTCAACTACAAAAAAAACCTAACCTCAAAACTTCAAGTACCCGACTTATACCATCTGGAAAACGTCGGAGCCCTCGTCGAAATCGACCACCGCGAAGAACAGCTTGTTGGAGTAGCCCTGCGAGTACCTGAAGGAGTTCGCGACGATCGTGAACTCGTCACTGGCGTGTCGACACACCACACACTGCCGTTGAGCAGCCATCGCTGTGAACATCACGATCACCGAGTAGCTCCTGGGGGCTGCTTTGACGAACTCCCGGAATTTGTTGCCGTTGAAGCGCAACACCGCCTTTTTGTTGGACATGTCTGTGAGCTGCTGCACTCGTTCGGCCAGAGTGAGACCCTTGAATGAAATTGTGACGGAGGTGGCCATGGGTGCTTACACGTACCTGCTTGCGGGCCTGACCATCCACATGGTAAAAAAATACGGAGGAAATTACGAAAAGTGATAAAATTAGTGTTCTCATGTTGATTTTCAAAAATATAAATTCACCGGTTGACTTGGTAAAACGTCAACGTGGACGTGTATTTTGGTTTGGTCACGTGATCACGGCAGGTGTCTGCTTTACCGACGCACAGGACCGGGTCACACTTTTGATGGCCCGAAATTTACAATTTTGCACGACTAACACCAAATTCAAGTGGGGTCTTACGTTTATTCAGCTCTATTCAGTGGCGTAACTACCGGTGTTCCATGTGTTCGCTGGAACACGGGCCCGCTTCGTCAAGGGGCCCGGTCCGGTCACACGAAAATTTTTTTTTATTGGATTTTTTATATTATTTGGCAAATTACATCCCGAAATAAAAAATTCGAAAATGTGCGGTGATGCCAGGATCGGTCGTTCATTGCTATTTACGATTTTTTGCTGCAAAGGGCTGGACCTCTGGCGGCATCTCAGTATAGATTAATATAGATGCGACATACAATCTGATTTTGCAAAACCACCCTTATTGACATTGGAGTCCTCAACCGCCAAAGGCAAGCACCAAATTTAAATAGTCGATGCCAATAAAAAAACTTGTTTCACTACAACTTGTCGCCTGAGAACTTGTTTGATCTACAGCCCAAAGCGCGCTCAGGCCATTATCGACTCTAAGCGTTCAGAAGCAACTTGGTTGGTTTAGACTATAATTTCTGCGGGAAATAGTTGTTTAATCGGTTTTTATAACGACTAGGTGAATATTTTTTGTACATATTTAGATGATTTTACATATTTTGTTTAACTAAGAATTAATTCTTTATTTGTGTTTTATACTAGCAAAACGTCTTAAACTAAGAATATTGTTGAAATCGTAATAACCCAATGGATTTTTTTCGGGAAAATGTTTTGGAAACACTGTGTTCTATTTTGTATGAATTTTTAAATGTTTTAGTGACAATTTTTGTAGTTGTTTTCAATACACTGTATGATATTGACAGTGAGAAAAAAAATGAAAAATTAAAATAATCGAAAATTTGAAAAATCGAGAAATCTAATAATCGAAAAATCGAAACCTTAAAAAATCGTAAAACCGAAACATTGAAAAATCGAAATATCGAAGAACTGAAAATCGAAAAATGAAACATTAGAAAATCGAAAAAATGTAAAATTCAAAAATCTAAAATTTAAAAATCGATTAACGAAAAATTGAGAAATCGAAACTCCCCTATTTAAAAAGTCGGATAACTGAAAGATCGAAACATCGAAAAACTGGAAAATCGAAAAACCGAGAAATCGAAAAATCAAAAAATCAAGAAATCATGGAGTCGAAAAGTCGAAGAATTGAGAAACCGAAATAGGCCAAAATCGAAAAATCGAAAAGTTAAAAATTGAACGATTTATAAATTGACAATCAAAATATCGGAAAATCCAAATCTCGATAAATCGAGAAATCAAAAAACTTAAAATTCGAAAAATTGAAAAATTGAGAGATTGAATGATCAAAAGAACGAGAAATCGAAAAGTGATGAAGTCGAAAAATTGAAAAATAGAGAAATCGACAAACAAAAAGTTAAAAGTTGAAAAATTGGAAAAGCGGAAAAATAAAAAAAAACGAAAAAATGGTAAACTGGAAAAAATGAGAAACCGAAATAGGCCAAAATAAAAAATTGAAAAACTGATAAATCGAAAACCTGAACAATCAAATCTCGATAAATCGGGAATGAAAAATTAACAAATCGAAAAATTCTAAAACCAGGAAGTCGAAAAATCGAAAGACTGAGAAATATTGAAAAACTAAAATATCAAAAGATTGAACAATCTAAAATTTGAAAATCCAAAAATTGAAAAATCGAAAAAGTAAAACACATCGGAAAATCCAGAAGTCAAAAATAGAAAAACCGAAGAATTGAAATATTGAAAAATCCTAAAACTGAAATATCTAAAAACTGAAAAATCGAAAAATCAAAAAAATGAAGTCGAAAAATAGAAACCTTAAAAAATCGAAAAATTGAAAAATCAAAAACCTGAAAAATCAAAAAATTAAAGAATTGAAGAACAAAAAAATCGAAACACTCGAAGGTCAAGAAATGGGAAAATCAAAACATCGATTAATTGAAAAATCTAAAAATTGGGAGTTTATAAAAGTCAAATTTGAAAAATTAAAAAATCGAAAATTTGACAAAATGACATGTGAAAAACAGAAAATCTAAAACCGCGAATTCGAAAAATCAAAAGATTAAGAAATCGAAATATTTGAAAAATTCGAAAACTTGAAAAATTGAAATATCGAAGAACTGAAATGAAAAATCGAGAAATCGAAAAATCTAAAAATTTTAAAAATTAAAAAATCTAAAATTTAAAAATCGAAAAATTGAAAAGTGGAAGAATCAAAATATTGAAAAATACCAAAAGTGCGATATCGACAAACTGAAAAATGAAAGAAAAACTGAAAAATGGGAAAACCTGAAAAATCCGAAAACTGAAATATCCAAAAACTGAGAACCTAAAAAGTCAAAAAATTGAGCAATCGAAAAATCCATAAAGTGAAGTCGAAACCTTAAAAAATCGAAAAATTGAAAGATCAAAAACCTGAAAAATCGAAAAATTAAAGAATTGAAGAACAGGAAAATCGAAACACTCGAATGTCAAGAAATGGGAAAATCAAAACATCGATTAATTGAAAAATCGAAAAATTGAGGGTTTATAAAAGTCAAATTTGAAAAATTAAAAAATCGAAAATTTGACAAAATTACAATTGAAAAACAGAAAATCTAAAACCGGGTAGTCGAAAAATCAAAAGATTAAAACATTTGGAAAATTCGAAAACTTGAAAAATTGAAATATCGCAGAACTGAAATGAAAAATCGAGAAATCGAAAAACCTAAAACTTTAAAAATTAAAAAATCTAAAATTTAAAAATCGAAAAATTGAAAAATCGAAAAAGTAAAAAAATCGACACATCGTAAAATCCAGGAGTCAAAAATCGAAACGTCGAAGAATCAAAATATTGAAAAATCCCAAAACTGAGATATCGAAAAACTGAAAAATGGGAAAACCTGAAAAATCCGAAAACTGAAATATCCAAAAACTGAGAACCTAAAAAGTCAAAAAATTGAGCAATCGAAAAATCCATAAAGTGAAGTCGAAAAATCGAAACCTTAAAAAAACTAAAAAATGAAAAATCAAAAATCAAAAACTTGAAAAATCGAAAAATTAAAGAATTGAACAGGAATATCGAAACCCTCGAAAGTCAAGAAATGAGAAAATCAAAACATCGATTAATTGAAAAATCGAAAAATTAACAGTTTATAAATGTCAAATTTGAAAAATTGAAAAATCGAAAATTTGAAAAAACGACAATTGAAAAACAGAAAATCTAGAACCGGAAAGTCGAAAAATCGAAAGATTAAGAAATTGAAACATTTGAAAAATTGAAATATGGAAGAGCTAAAATGAAAAATCGAGAAATAGAAAAATCTAAAATTTTAAATATTGAAAAATTAAAATTCAAAAAAATTGAGAAATCTAAAATTTAAAAATCGAAAAAGTAAAAAGTCGACACATCGAAAAATCCAGAAGTCAAAAATGGAAAGTCGAAGAACAGAAATATTGAAAAATCCCAAAACTGAAATATCGAAAAACTGAAAAATGAAAAAAAAACTGACGAATCAAAAAACTGAAAAATCCCAAAACTGAAATATCCAAAAACTGAGAATCTAACGAATCGAAAAATTGAAAAATCAAAAATCTGCGTAATAGTAAGATCGAAAAATTGAATAATAAGTGAACTGAAACATCCTAAAACTGAAATGTCGAAAAACTGAGAAATTAAAAAATTGAAAAATTGAGAAATCGAAAAATCAAAAAAGTGAAGTTGAAAAATCGAAACCTGAAAAAATAGAAAAATTGAAAAACCAAAAAACCTGAAAAATCAATTAATTGAAAAATCGACAAATAAAGAGTTTATAAAAGTCTAAAACTGAAAAATCGAAATATTTAAAAATCGTAAAATTGAAGAGAAAAACTGAAAACCGAGAACTTGAAATATTGAGAAATTAAAAATTAAATAATAAATAGGAGTAAACTGAAAAGTCCCCAAACTAAAATTTCGAAAAACTGAGAATTCGAAAGTTGAAACAGCAAGAAATTATGGTCGAAGTCGGCTAGGATGTATATCAGATCACGGACCATGGCTTATAAATCAAATCGTTTCCGAACGCTTAGAGTCGACATTGGCCTGAGTGCACTCTGGTCTGTAGATCAAACAAGTTCTCAGACGACGAACTGTAATTCGTGTGACCTGAATTACAGTGAAGGAAACAGTAATCAGCTTGTAATATTCTGGTAAATCTAGTGTCAATTCAGCGAAAAGATCTTTTTCGAAACTAAAAATGACTAAATTTTTTTTAAGTAACACAATGGGCCAATGCAGATTATCTTCACTGGCTTATTATCTCACTTGAAAAACAAATTGCCAGAAGCTTAGATGTGTCAAATCTTGTATCAACTTGTGCCCATTGGAAAGCAAGAAAAAAACAATTTTGAGATAAAAAAACGGGCATTTTTATTTCTAATATACATTTTAATTATATGTATTTAGGTGGTTATTATATTTTGTTTTTTAATTCAGTGTTTCAGGTAGAATGATTTTAATAAAACGTAAGCCCTAATTGCAATATACTCATACTTTACTCATTATACTCGTATTTTTAAATAATTTTTATTTCGCTGTTCATTAGGGGCCCCACAGTGTTGTAGAACACAGGCCCGTAGAGTTATTGTTACGCCACTGGCTCTATTGTGTACAAAAACATTAACCTTATTTTTTTAGAACGTCTATAAATGTTTCTCTTGGTAAAGAGATGTTGGCAACCATTCTCATTTTCTTTTTGCCTGCTGCTTGTTGCGCCAGGAGTTTCATTCTTCGAGTGACGTCGCCCCCATACTAGATTGGAAAATACAGCAGTTAATACACTAAACACAAACTAATTCTTACCAATTTTGCTGTGACGTCTTTCCTATAAGCTCTTATATTTTCTCTTGCTAATATTTTCCCGTTGCACACCGCCTGCACGGCAATTTGGACCATCTGTCTCGGTATTATATCCTTCAACTTTAAAACCATCCGCCTCCCGATAGTTTGCGCTTTCGTGATATGAACAATATTACTGAGTTCCTCCACGACTACGCCATTCAATAAAATACCCAACTGCAAACACAAACCGTTACCTACAAACAACCCAAACCAAGCCACCTACTTTAACTAAACTGCTACTTTGGTACCCGTTATCTTCATAGTCAAAACTGGCATACCCCGACGAAATCGTTTTCAAACTATCATGAAAATCCACAATTATCTCACACAACGGTAAATCATACTGCAACATCACCCGTTCATTGTCAATATTCGTCGCACTCCTCTGCACCCCGCGCCTCTCCATACACAACGAAATTATCCCCCCCAAGTACTTATCAGGAGTGATAATCGTCCCGACAACCATCGGCTCAAAAGCCTCCTCGATTTGCATAAAATCGGGAAACAAAGCTGGATTATTAACGAAAATCTCGCGCCCAGTCTTCACGTTGTGCTTATTCGGCTTCATCCGAAGCTTATAGGTTACTGAGGGCGCGGTCAGAATCGGCTCCGCCCCGTATTCTTGTTGCAACCTCTGCGAAAACACCTCTAAATGTAAAAGTCCCAAAAATCCTAACCTCCAACCTTGCCCCAAAGCCGGGCTGCAACATTTCGTGAAATAGGTGTACACAAGTGGGAAATTAAGTAAACCTTGAATCGACCTCAACAGTGACGGCGGAGTCGTTCAGAGCCAACTTCTCGATCGCACTGCGCAGATTGACGTGCTGCGATTGGTCCATCGGGTACACGCCCGCGAACACCATTGGTCGAGAGGGCTCAAAGCCTTGTAAGGGCTCAACGGGACACGACGGGTTGTATATAGTATCACCTATGTGGGCTTCTTTACTAGAGCGCATATTACACCCAACTAAACCTATCTGACCAGCGACTCTACAATATTATTTTAATACACGCTACTATCAAGACAGACGTTATTACAGTTGTGTGATAGGGTCTTCCTGCGGTCTTAACAAAGCTAGCGACTTTACGTTGTAAGTTTTCTTGGTGTGGCACGACTGGATTTCATCACCGACTTTGATGTTGCCGTCTTGAATGAAAATTAGTGAGAGGGCCCCCCTGTACTTGTCGAACCAACTGTCAAACAAGAGGGCTCTGAAAGGGGATTGTCGGTTCACTGCAGGGGGAGGTATTTGCTCGATTATGGCTTCTATCACCGCTTTAACCCCAATTCCTAACTTGGCTGAAATCTGGTGGAAAAAATTATGTTGGTAACTAACTGTGTGGCACGAATTACCCGTAAAACGTCATAAGGTTCTATGTCAAACAGCGACTTTAGCTGTCTCGTGACTCTGTCAGGGTCGGCATTTTTCAAATCGATTTTGTTGATTACGGGTACGATGGTCAAGTCTTTCCCAAAAGCGAGGTAAAAGTTGGCGACGGTTTGTGCTTGCACGCCATCGTTAGCATCGACTAATAAGACTACTCCTTGGCACGCCGATAGTGACCTGGATACCTAATCTCATTGGGTTATATACAACTGAGTTTCACCTAGGGTGGCCAGATGTGGATTAAGTTACACAACTATGTAACATCTGATCATCCTAGTTTACTTTTTACCTCACTTGAAAAATCTACATGGCCGGGTGTATCAATCAAATTTAATAAATAATTGTCGCCCTTGTACTGATACAACAACGACACACTTTGTGCCTTAACCGTGATTCCTCGCTCCCTCTCGACTTGTAGTTTATCCAAAATCTGATTCTGCCCACTGTTCTCTCTAATTGCTCCCGTAAATTCGAGAAGCCGGTCCGCAAGCGTACTTTTACCATGATCTACGTGTGCAATTATGCTAAAATTGCGAATTCGGTCTACTGGAATTTGTGTAAAGTCGACGCTGGTGGGTCCTTCGGTTTTACAATACAACCTAATAAATCGTTGCCTGAAAAATAATAATCACAAAATTGTCACTAAAACTGGCCATAATTACAACGCAAATATTTTTCTCCGGGTGTGTGTGGATCTTCCATGTAACACCAACACACTTCTTGCAAGATTTAACATTTTTCGAACCACACATTTGCTGTTTTGAGGTTACGTCAAACTATTGTGAGGTTATGTCCAACTTTTGTGAGGTTATATTTTTATTTCTATGGTTTAGAAATTTAACATTCTCGTCAAAATTTGAACCATTTTTACACTTTTCAGAAAACCAAATTTTATGTGTTTGATAATCACAGTCAAGTTTCGGTGACGATATTTGTCTTTGGGTTAACATGAAATAAGTTTCCACTATGTCCGGTCTTTTGCAAAGTTTCCGTATTTTATGCAAAGATTTCCACAAGACGCGGCTACCCAAAAGACTGAGCGTTGCGTTGTTTTCAGCGAAGCCACCCCGGCAAGGCATTGTCAAAGAAACAGATCCCAAAACTGGAACTCTTAAAACGAAAAAAACCCCCATAGCTCAAAAAATCACCCTGGTGTCTCAAGCTGCCGTCGATGTAATCACGTTACAAGAAGCCGAGAATTTGTCTAAACGTCGCGACATGAAACTGGTGAAAATTGTAGACGCAGATGCGAAAACGGAACGACCGGTGTATAAGTTGATGACTGGGGCTGAATATCACGCAGAGGATTTAAAACAGAGGGAAAGGAATAAGCTGGAGAGACAACAGCGTAGTACTAAGGGGGAGAAAGTGCTCTTGCTTAACACGAGGATAACGCCGCATGATCTGATGATACACCTACGGAAGGCCTTGAAGTGGATAAGAAAGACGTATGAAGTGAGAGTGATTATAAGTGGAGGTGGGAGCAGTGCAGAGGCTGCTGTAAGTGTAAAGTTTGACGTAGGCTCATTTGGTTGGTGGTTGCTTTTAGGAAAAAATTTACAGCGATATTGAGCAATACTTTAAAACGGAAGAGGGCGATGCCAAGCTGGTCCAGAAGAAGTGTAAAGGATCTGATATTAAGTTTCAGATAACGCCGCCGAGACATAAAGACACGACCAATCAGTTATGACTAGTTGCAGGAGTCATTGGAGTGTTAATGATTGTTAAATATTTGATTTGGGGAAGACTGTACAAAAAGTATATTAAAAAAACGTAATAAAGATATTTTATTAAAAGTGACGTACGATGACGCAATGTTTTGTTTGTGACGTTGCAGGGGTGGACGGAAACGCCGCACTTCGATATCAGCATCAATTTATTTACAATGTATTGTTAGGGAGTATAAATATAAGAACAAATCGTACAAAATAAGTTTGAAAAACTAACTTTTCGTAATAATTGTATATAAAAATATTTAGCAAAGTGTCTGGCGACAAAACAATCTCCTAAACATCCAACATTATTTCTTATTTGATTACCACGTTATGACATCACATTTCGTCTAACTAACCTATCACTTTTTCCTTGAGTTATCTAAATTAAATCAACGACTAGCTAACATCTTCTTATTTTGAGTAATTTTTGATTCTTCTAACTACGGGCACCGAAATGGAAGATTCTTACAACGAACGAAAATGGCCGTTCCGAAATGCACAATTACCTATCCCTCCCTTATCACATCTTACATCAGTCCAAATGAAAAAATATTGCTGTATTCCTTCCTAACTAAAATTAACTAATCACTGGAACTGTGGCACTTGCTCCAATTCACAATTAACTAAAAAAGTTCACATGCTGCTGCTGGAATCACCTGGAAAATGTAAAAGATTATCACTGTACGACGGCGTCGGCGATGCTCGACTCGCTGAACTGAAGCTGCTCGCCGAACTTATATCTTCCACGTCTTTGCTGTTCAACTCCGCCGACTGTTCGCCCCCTGCAAGCACTCAAAAATTTTAACTACGAAAAAACTAAACCAAACAAACAAAACAATCAAAAGCCACGTAGGATGAGATCTTTTTTATTTGCTAGTTTTTCTTTAGTGTAATGAAATACAGTTTCACAATGACTCACTTAAATCAACTTTAAAATTAGAATATGTACAATTTTACAGAATTTTGTCGAATTGAGGTGAACACATTTAATACTTATACGTTTTATATACCTATAATAAATTGCAAATCCTAACCCAGCACTAAAATTATAGTTACGAGAGCATTTAGAGACTCGTCGGATCCACTCGATTAACCGCAGTCCGCGCTTAAACCAAGAAATATTGTCGAAATCTGCCGCCAAACTGCCACCCCAACGAAAATTATTGCGTTTTATTTTGCTTTTTTGATAGCTGCCACGAGATGGCGCGCCGAACGTCCGCCATTTTGGTCACTGCGTCAAGTAGATTTCAAAGGAACAAATTTTTATTATAAACTATTACGAACAATAATAATGGGCTATTTATTATAAAGCAAAAACATGACGTCATAACTGAAACATTAAGTAAGAAGTGAGAGGAATGTATGTACCGAAATTAAGTTGATGTCACTTCCCGCCAAACTGCGCAACCAACTTGACGCAGCGACTTATCCCGCTCCCCTCCCAATGAGCATTCACAATGCATCTCAAATCGGAATAACGCCAAGTGTAAAACCAAAAGCAAAACCAAAAGCTGTTGTGATTCATTCCAAATGTGCCGGTGACGTCATTCCGACGCCCCCTTAACCTCTAAGTCGTCAGTTCATCCACCACACCCCACTTTATTTACGTTTTTTCTTCGATTTCCTCCTCGAGCTCTTCGAAGTCTGTACATTCTGCGTACTCGTTACGTTCTCCTCATCCTCTATAACCGCCGGTACTTTACTCGAGTCGTCGCTTTCCGTCGTCTCCGCCGGCGAACTCCCGTTCTCGTCCGACGACTTATCCAGCTTCATCAGGTTAAAATCGTCGGCTAGCTCGTTCTTCGCGTTCGCCGTCTCCACGTCGATATCGATCAAGTTCTCTTTCTTCGGCAACCGGAGCGTGAAAGTCTCCACGCACTCGATCTCGGGAAGATCTATATCTATGATCTTCTCTTTCGGTTTGGAAGCCGCCACGATATTCCAGGAGCGCTTCGGGGGGTTCAACGAAGCCTCCTCGACCAGACTCGCGTTCTCCTTCTCCTTCGTGATCTTCACTCCGAGTTTCGTCTTGGGCTTGCGGGTTTTCCGCGTGAGCTGCTTGTCGTCCTCGGACGAACACATAATCTCGCCTTCGGGTATTTTCGACTCGCTCTTGTTTAAGGCGTTCGTCGCTTTTTCGTTGCTGGCACAGTCTTCGGCGTCCTCGAACCTGAGAATGCTTTCGTAGAGAGGCGAATCGGAGCTCTTTTTCGGCGGCTCCTCGATTTTGAAATCGAGAGGGGGCAAGTCACAGGTGAAACTGTCGAGGACGTCGAGGGAGGTCTTTTCTGATAAGCAATCTGAAAAATTATACGATGATAATACTAATAATAATAATAATAATAATAGTAATAGGTGTCGCTCACCTTGTTCTTTGTCTTCCTTCTTCTTCTCCTTGCTCTTGGCTTTGGGCGCCCCCACCCCGTCCCCGTGCGTCCTCCCCCCAGCCGCTTTGTTGTCCTTCGCCCTGACCTTCGGCGAGCCCTCCCTCGACCTGTTGATATGTTTATTGGCGAGCCTGTTGTTCTTCTCCTTCTCCTTGCGGTTGATGATTTTGACCGCGACTTCGGTGTTGGCCTCCAGGCTCTTGGTGAGGATGTGCTCCGGCGGGCAGGGCTTGGGGCGGTTCTCCGCGTAGAACACCGCCTTCGGCGCCACCACCGGCCTGAAGAGCGCCTCGTCGCAATTCTCGTGAATCACCACGTCCTCGACGACCTCCTCGGCGTCGTCGTCGTCGGACTGGACGGTCACCACCGTCCCTAACGGGTTCACAACTTTGGCAACTGTCGCGGTCGGTTTCATCGACACGATCACGCACCGCCCACCTGAACAGAAAAAGCCAATGGCAGGTTATACTGAGGCGTGTTCACTCAGCTGTACAAGAACAGAATGCGATAGAGGAAATGAAAAAAATAAAGGTAAATAAAGCATGCACACATGCACCTCGACCGAAGTAAGAGATGGAATGAGTATGCGTAGGGTTAAGGGTGCGTTTGTTATTTTAATTTTGGACGCATTTTTGAAAGTGGTCAGTTTGCCTGCCGTTGGCTAGTTCTGGTGTGAGGACGCGGAGGAGCAAAGCTGGACGGAGGCTCGTCGGCTTTTTTTTTTGTATTTAGTGCTATGTAATTGAATGAGGTGGAGATTAGACCAATCACCAAATGCGGAAGCTGTTTATAGACGATGGGGCGGTTAGTCCATCGTGGAAGGAATGGCTTGTAATTTGTGTCGTCGTTTCGAGGAAAAGTCAACCACTTTAAAACGGTTTTTATTGGAGAGACCACAACACGGTCTCCCTTGGCTATCGCTCAGGGGATGAAAAATGTCATTGTTCAAGTGTGCTGTGGTCTCGAAAGTTTAATGTCAACCACGGTGGTAGAAGTAAGGTGTGGAAACCTCATTCATAACTTTCCTCAAAATCATTGGTAGAAAACACAAATCGCGTGGTTTGGATTATATGTCATTATCTGTCCACACCGCAGCGACGTCTAGAGAGATCAGTTGAAATTAAGTAATAGAAAACTGTATTAAATCTTTGACATTTATGCCAATGTCATTTATTACCCAATCACAAATGTCGAATCATCCACCAATCACACGATTCACACCAAAGACCAACCACAAACCGTAGTGCTGTGATTTATTTTCCCTCCAACGAATCTGTCACTTATTTCATTCATAAATACACTGACAAGTTGAAATGTTAATACATAGATGGACATACTGTGCTGCATACTATTTCGTAGTAAATAAGCCTACTGGGATGCGTGTTTTATTCAACAAATTGGAGCGGCTTGTTTCCACACCTTACTTCTACCACCGTGATGTCAACTGTCAGCTCTAAACGTTTCGCCACCAAGATTAACATCAACAGGGTGAAGTCGTGGGATGACTATGAAATACAATATGTACAGCAAACGTTGCTAGTCAAGCCCCCTTCAAAATCAAAATCTTCAAAATATTCGACGACCTTCCATATCTTGTTAATTATTACTAGAAATAGAAAAAAATCAAAGACCAAAGTTGTACGGTTTGTTTTTCGACTTTTTTCTTTTTCAAACAATTAACGAGATATCGAGGAACGCGCGCTTAGTGACTCACCCTGTATTTCTAGATGCTCTAAAACACCTCGAAATAATTTAAACAAAAAAAGATATAGACAGCTTCGTATACTGTAGACGTTAAATATTGCAAACGCAACTATTAGTAAACGATAAGAAAATGCGCAAGACTAACAGTGCAATAATATTACACTACAAATAATATTAATTTCTATTAAATTGTCCATACAAAAATAAATAAAACACAAATTATATACTAGCGATACCATTTTAGTGACCAAAAACACAAAACCTACCGGTGTCCCTGATGCCCGGCGACTCCAACATGGCATCGGCCAGATCTTCCTTGAGCCTAGTCTCCCCAGCACTGCCCACTTCTTCGCAAGCTTTGTGATATGTATCCAGGAATAGTTGTTCGCAGCTGCTCGCTGACCCCGACTCGATCAAGATGGCGTTGGCTTTGCTCACCGGCATATTCACCGGCTTGGAGCGTCGCACGTCCACGGCTCGCGTTTCCAAAACCGTCCTATAAACCACACATCAATTTATGGACGAAACGAAAACGCGGACCTACTCTTCCATACTCTAGACGTCTTACAACGTCAGGGGTGCGATTTTGTTTCTCGATCGAAGTGATCAATTATCACTTGCGATAAATGTCATTGCGTAGCTTTTAAATGCAAAAGTGCATGTATTCTTTACATATAAGCTTATAAAATGCTCAAAAGTTTACAATTACCTTAATTTTAAGAGCTTATAACTCAGAATTACGATTTTGAACTTCTATTTTGTCATAACTTTCGAGGTTATGTCTCCAAAATTTATCACTTCACTCAGAGCTATCGAGAAAATATCACTCCATGAAGACTTGATTTCGTGACAGAATCGAGAAATGTGACAGAAATATCTCACCAACTCAGCCTCTCAACCAATCAGCAAACGAGATTTTATCGCTATCAGAACAAAAAACTTAAAACATGTTTAAAATGGTAAATTCTTCTAGACAAATATGGATCTTGTAATTAAGCCCCGCCCCTCAATCTAACAATGAATGAAAAATTCATCACAATTGAGAATTGAGATCGGGGCGGGTATGGGCGGGGCCTAATCTTTAGCTTTGTTTTTCTTAATATACATAGTTTTCTTTGAACAACCCGATACTCAAATACATGTTTTTAATTTCTCGTAGAGAAATAAGGATTTTGCAGTTAAGCTCCGCCCGATTAGTTCACTACGAATAAAAACAAATAATCACAATTGAGATAGGGTGGGTGGGCGGGGCTTATAGTTTGCCTGTTTTCTCTTAATGTACATAGCCATCTTTACACAAGAAACTAAAAACATGGTTAAAATGGTACAATTTTGCAAGGAAATGTAAATTTTGCAATTATGGGTCGGAGCCTAATTGCAAAATCCATATTTCCTTATACAAATTTTCCATTTTAAACATATTTTAAATTTCGTGTTGTGAAAAGAAGTCTACGCATATTAAAACAAAGAGGCAAAATGTAAGCCCGCCCACCCGCCCTGTCTCCATTCTGATGATTTTTTTTATTCGCCGTGAATATTTTTTACAAAAAATTAAAAACATGTTTTTGAGTATTGTGTTGTTCAAAGAATACTATGTACATTAAGAACAAAAAGGCAAAATATAAATTCTCTTAATATACATTGTACTCTTTGAACAACACTACTCAAAAATATGTCTTACATGGCAATTTCTTATAGAGAAATAATATGAATTTTGCAATTAAATTCCGCTCCATTGGCTCTCGACGATTAAAAAAACATCACAATTGAGATAGGGCGGGTGGGCGGAGCTTATATTTTGCCTTTTTTCTTAATACACGTAGCCGTTTTTCCAGAACACGAAACTTAAAACATGTTTAAATTAGTAAATCCTTATAGACAAATATGGATGTTGTAATTAACGCCGCCCCTCCATCTGACAACGAATGAAAAATTAATCACAATTGAGAATTGAGCTCGAGCCAGGTATGGGTGGGGCCTAATCTTTGACTTTATTTTTCTTAATATACATAGTTTTCTGTGAACAACCCGATACTCAAAAACATGTTTTTAATTTTTCGTAGAGAAATAAGGATTTTGCAGTTAAGTTCCGCCTTCTTGGATTACGACGAATAAAAAAAAAATCATCACAATTGAGATAGGGTGGGTGGGCGGGGCTTATATTTTGCCATTTTTTTCTTAATATAGATAGCCAACTTTACACAACAAGAAACTTAGAACATGGTTAAGATGGCACAAGGAAATATAGATTTTAAAATTATGGAGCGGAGCCTAATCGTAAAATCGATATTTCCTCATTCAAATTTTCCATTTTAAACATATTTTAAATTTTATGTTGCTAAAAGAAATCTACACATATTAAAACTAAAAGACAAAATTTAAGCCCGCCCACCCGCCCTAACTTAAAATTTATCACTTCACTCAGAGCTATCGAGAAAATATCACTCCATGAAGACTTGATTTCGTGACAGAATCGAGAAATGTGACAAAAATGTAGCATCTCAACCAATCAGCAAACGAGATTTTATCGCTGTCGAGTTTTTTTCGATCGAGAAACAAAATCGCACCCCTGAAAACATATACGAAAAGCCATAACTCACCCGTTCGTGATCGTGTACGTCTTGAACGTGAACTGGGGTCCCATCCAGAGCCTCCTGTGGGGTCCTAAATGCGTGACGATCTCCACCTGCGACAGCCAGTGGTCGTCGTTGTGGTCCGGCTTCGTCTTCTTATACAGAGGCACGCTTTGAGCGATCAGGTTAAGATTCTCCTCGGACATCGGCAGCGGCACGTCGACCGCGTTCACCCTCCGATGCAGCGACCACTGCGCCTTGGCGCACACCTTCAGCTCGATCTGCGTGTCGTTGCACACCCGCTCCTTCGGCACCGAGGCCGTCGGGTGCGGCTCCAGGTCGTACTGGATCAGCGTGCCGTAGCACGACATCACGAACAACGACTCCACCGGCTTGACGTGGGGCTTGTGCGCCGCCTCGCGCGGCCCCTTGGCGTCCATCCAGGCGCGCGGCGGCGCGAAGCTCGCCACCACCCGCAGCGCGATGTTCTCCTCCGACGACGACGACAGCCGCTGGCGGCCCGCCGGCCGGCCCGCCGCCGCCGCCGCCCCCTGCACGTACACCGGCTGCCGGATCTGGGCGAGCGGGTGCACGACGGCGGGCTGCGGGTACGGCGGGAACCGCGGGTTGCGGTAGGGGAACAAGCTGACGGGCGCCTCGGCGAGCGACACGGGGCTGCTGGAGCGGCCCTCGGAGGTGAGGCCGGCGGAGCGCTGGTAGCGCGACATCTTGTTGACGACGTGGGCGGTGGCGTGGGTGCGCACGCTGATGTTGCCCCCGTACGGCGTGACGGGGAAGACGTGCGTCGTGCCGCGCAAGCTGGACACGGTGATCCAGCGGGAGTCGGGCGAGAAGCACATGTCCTGGACCTTGGCGGAGGTGTCGCCGCGGTGCAGGATGTAGAGGTGGTGCACGGCGGCGAGCGCGGGCCCGCCGGGGTGGGGCTGTATCCGGAACACGTGGAAATCGTGGCCGCGCTTGTCGCTGGTGAGGAGGAGCATGCCGCTGGGGTCGAACGACAAGCAGACGATGGCCTCGGTGTGGGCCACGAAGTGGGCTATCACAGCGTCTTGCGGAATTATGTTTTCTTTAGGGTTTATGTTCTTGTTCTGGAAAATGGAAGATTGATGGGGGTCATTTGTATCCGTCCACTCAATAAAAAGTTGGGTTGGCACCATTGTCACCTAGCAATTTTTGTTTTATACTATTGGCAGTTATCTGCCTCACCTGACATTTTAATTGGCTTGACGGGCGCACTTACGAGTCGCCGATTTTTCAATTTTATCTAATGCGATTGCTACGTTAATTGAAAACGGTAGTCGTTATATGTAATGACGAGTTAAGATTCGTTTGTCTATCTGCTACCATGGTACAATCGCACGCAAATGTTTTGAGTCTATGGGCGGATCGTTTTTGCCTGCCCTCACCGAAGAAGGCGGTCCAAATCCTTCAAGGGCAGAATTTGTAGGTAGGCTCAAACTACAACGAAATTTACATTTGGTAAGAAATATTTATGGCTCACACCAGTTCTCTCAAATTTGTCGGAGAAGATTTAGCAGGTAGTTGTTCCCATAAAATCATGGTCACTTTCGATCGTGAGTAACGATGGTCCGGACAGGAATTATTTTGCTTTCTAACATCTTTCGACCAATTGATCCGTATACAAAATGTCATCACTTTTTCAAATAAAATACTCTTAAATGTTCATAATAAATAAATAAAAAAAAAACGATATTGTCGTTGAGTGACATGTAACTGGCATAATAATAAAAACGTGCCACTTTTGTTAACTGATATTTTTTTCATACATGTCGCAAAATTATTAAATTTGTCTAATCATCCCCACCAATAATGTGATGACGTCACTTCAAATTTATGCATAGGAAATGGGTTTTAAATTGTATACAGGAACATAGTCCTACACATGTAGTTCATGACTCCGTGTTGAGTTTTTATCCGAAACGTCCAGATTTTTAGAAAAAAAATCAAAATTATAAAACAATATTTTGCAATTTAATTTTGAATTTGCAAAATCGAATACTTTGAAATCTTGCAGATGTTTTAAAGTCATGATAAACATGATACATTTTTAATTAAAACATATTTGCTTATCCCCTCTAAAAAATTTATGACGTCACCTCAAAATTTTGCAGAATAAATCCTATTTTAAATGTATAAAATATGATGAGTTTTTATACTTGTGATTTATCACTGCATTAATATTTTTTAGATTTGGTTATACAGAGTGCCTCAAAAAAGTTAATGACTGAGTCAATTTATTTTATTGAAGAAATCAAGAATAGCATAACTGAATACTTTGAAATATTGTAGATGTATTGAAGTTTTTGTAAGCATGGTAACTTTTTCGAAAATTTGATTAATCAAATATGCGCAAAATCAAAAATCGGAAAAACTGAAATTCACTAATGCAAAAAACAGAAAATCGAAAAATACAAATCGTAAAAATCGAAAATCTAAAAATGGCTAATCAAAAAATCGAAAATTCAATGAATCAAATACCTAGGTCGATCGAAAGGTGGAAATTCACAAACCTCAAAAATCGAAAAATCGAAAATTGAAAAACGGGAAAACCAAAAAATCGAAAAGTCAAAAATTTGTAATATTGAAAATTAAAAAAATCAAAAACAAAAATTAAAAAAATCGGAAATTAAAATAATCAAAATATATAAAGTAGAAAAAATTGCAAAGCCTAAAAACTGAAGCGAACAGAAAAATCGAAAAAGCAAAAAATTGGAAAAACAAAAATTCGAAAAATCTAAAATCGAAAAAGTGGAAAATCGAAAATCTGAATAAAGAAACTTGGAAATTCTGAAAATTGGAAAATCGAAAACCAAAAAATCGGGAAGTAAATAAATTGAAGTCTAACAGTTGAGAATAGAAAAACTGAAAAACCGAAAATTCTAAAAATCGACAATGGATAAATTGAAAATCGCAAAATTTAAATTGAAAAATTGAACATGGAAAAATCGATGAATTGAAAAATCGAAAATTCGACTACTCAAATTTTCTAAAAATCGAAAAATCATAAAACTGAAAAATCCAAAATTCTAATGATCGAAAGTCTGAAAACTGAAAATCGAAAATTCCGAAAAGCGGAAAATAGAATATCGAAAAATTTAAAAGAAAGAAAATTGAAGTCTAAAAACCGAAGAATGGAAAAATTGAAAAACAAAAATTCGAAAAATCAAAACCGAAAAATTCAAAGATTTAAAAAGAAAATCGAAAAATCAAAAATCTGAAAATTGAAACTCGAAAATTTGGAAAATCGAAAAGTAAAAAAATTGAAGTCTAAAAGCTGAAAAATGAAAAACTGTACATTCGAAAATTCGAAAATCAAATATCGAAAAATCGAAAAGCCGAAAAATCGAAAATTTGATAAATCAGATATGCGAAAAACAGAAAATCTGAAAATACAAAACTGGAAAATCAAAAATTTAAAAATGGAAAAACCGAAAATCGAAAATTCAATTAATCTAATACATAGGTCGATCGAAAAACTGGAAATTCACAAAACCGAAAAAACGAAAAATTAAAAAATCGGAAATCGAAAAATGAAAAAAAAATCGAAAATTCAAAAATCGAATAATCCGAAACTAAAATAATAGAAAAGTGGAAAAGTAAAAATTGCAAAGTCTCAAAACTGACGAACAGAAAAATCGAAAAATCAAAAAAAATCGAAAAATATCTAAAAATGGAAAAATCGAAAATCGGAAAATGGAAAAACCGAAAAATCGAAAATCGGAAACTCGAAAAATCGAAAATTCGATGAAACAAATACTCGAAAAAGCGAAAAGTAAAAAAATTGCAAGGCCTAAAAATTGAAAATTAAAAAAATCGGAAAAATGAAAATCGAAAAAACGACGATCGAAAAAAAATAAAAAAATCGAAAAGTGAAAAATCGGAAAGTAACAAAATTGAAATCTAAAAGCTGAAGAAGGGAAAATTCTAAAAAGCAACAATCGAAAAAAGCAAAATTAAAAATTGAAAATTTGAAAAATGGAAAATCGAAAACTCGAATATCGAGATTTTGAAAAATCGTAAAAATGATAATCGAAAAATCGAAATGCTCAAAAATCGAAAATTCGATTCATCAATATTCTAAAAATCGAAAAAACGGACACAAATCCACAAATCTGAAAAATCGAAAATCGAAATATGTACGAAAAATTAAAAAACCGAAAAATTGAAAAATCCCAAATCGAAAAATGGAAAAACCGAAAATTCAAAAATCGAACTATTGGAAAGTAAAATAATTGAAAAATGGAAAAATAAAACAAATTGCAGAACCATAAAAACTGAAACAAACAGAAAAATCGAAAAACCACAAAAGCGGAAAAACGAAAATCGAAAAATCGTAAAATCAGAAAATGGAAAATCGAATAATCGAAAGTTGAAAAATCGAAGGTCGAAAAATAAAACAACCGAAAAATCGAAAAATTTATTGAATAATGGAAAATCGAAAAATCGAGAATAGAAGAATTATAAAAAACTGGAAAATTGAAAAATGGGAAATCGAAGAATTAAAAACGTAAAATCGAGAATTCAAAAATCAAAAAAATCGGAAAGTAAAATATAATCGAAAAATGCCAAAAAATTGCAAAGTCTAAAAACTGACGAACAGAAAAATCCAAAAATCTAAAAATGGAAAGACGAAAAATCAAAAATTGAAAGAATGGCAAATCAAAAAATCGAAACATCGAAAAATCAAAAAAACGAAAAATTAAAAAATCGAAAAACGAAAAAACTGAAAACTCGAAAATTCAAAATACCGCAAATTTGAAAAGTCAGAAAATTGGAAAGTAATAAAATCGAAAAGTTGATAGAAAAATGGAAACTGAAAAATCTAATTCGATGAAATGGTTGGTCGAAAATACGAAAAATCGAAAATCGAAGTGACCTTTTTTTGAGACGGGCTGTATAAGTAAATCTAAAAAATATTACTGCAATGATAAATCACAGGTATAGACTCATCATATCAAATTTTGCGATGACGTCATGCATTTTTTGGCGAAGATAAGCAAATACATTTTGATCGTGGCTTTGTATATTTCAGTGGTCACAACGAGTTCACTAACTACGCTGAAGTATGCGAAGATTAAATTTGTCATCGAAAAGATGTCGGTCGAAGAACGTTCGGTCCGGTGTTACACCTCGACTCAAGAGAGACCGCAGTAAAGGATAACAAATGAAACGGATAAAATAAAGCGTCAAACATGATTGATCAACTTTAAACCAAAATTATGAAGTTTATAAACTGAACATTTTTTTTGTTTTTTGAAATGTAGTACTCTTCAAAAAATGTCCGTGACTTATTTTAATGTGAATTTTATAACTATGGTCGGCACAATTAGACCTAATATTAGTGTGATTTTGAGCATATTCTCGATTTTATTAGAGCAGAACAGGTTTTTTTTCTAATTTTATAAGTTACGGAAACTAATAGCACATCACAGATATTGCAAAAAAAAATGGGCTCAGGTTACAACTAATTGTCAAGATTTCAAAGTATTCAGTTTTGCAATTCTTGATTTCTTCAATAAAATAAATTGACTCAGTCATTATTTTTTTTGAGTCACCCTGTATGTATAAACAAATCCAAAAAATATAAATGGAATGGTAAATCACAAGTATAGACTCATCATATTCTGAACATTTTAGATAGGTTATTTATAAAATTAAAACTGTACAACACATGGTTTTCTCTTCCAGTGGATGAATTTTCGTCTGCTTTGCGCACCAGCCACGTCACGTCACGTCACATTGCCTTGAAACGATTTTTTGACAACTTCGAAAGCTGTCAAATGTCAATTTATAAGTGATGTGTGAGGTTATAACGGCGGTTGAGATACAGTTAAGTTGAGGTTCTATTCATGCTTTAATCCATGGATTAGCTTATCTTCAATGGTGATAAGTTGAAATCAAACGTTAATAACATTTGTTCAAAATTTGGTATTGTAACTGCAGAGTTTTTGATCCAATAGTACCCAACAAAAAACCTGTTCTACGCGATACCAAGCGAAGAGTTTTACATTTGTTTGTAAACCATGTTTATAACAACGAGAGATAAAAAGTTACAATTACAACCGAGTTATGTGTGTTAATCCAATTTTACGCACTCCGGCCCATATCGCGTGACATTATACGATCAAACATCGACATAATGGAATAGAAATAATCGTGTGCGAGCACCGCTTAAACTTTATGGATATTGTTAGTTTTGCACTAATTGTCGCGATAAAACCTTAATAAATCTTGTTTTTGTAGGCGCGGTCCATTATTACAACACTTTACCAATCCTCACCTCTATATCTAAAATTGTTACTATGCCCTTCTGAGGAACATCCGCCGCTCCTCCCGCCTGCGGACTACTCGTCGAGGACCCCGGCCTAAAATTGGGATTCCCAGTCAGACTCCCCGCCACCGATTCCGTAAACTCCCTAATCCCCCGACCCAACGACTTCGCCGCATGCAAAACCGTAGCAGTGTAACTCTGAAACTTCAACAATTACCATAGAAACCCCCATCACCCTATACATACTTGTACTCCTTCCCCCTCGTTCCCTCCTCCACTCCTATTCCCCGCAATCAGCTTCTTCTCCGCATACGCCAACCACCTAGCTCCTAACGCTATCGGATTCGGTTGAATACCAGGACTCAAATAGCAAGTCGTAATGCTTACGCGATTTTCTAACGTAAACGCGTCGAAAACGGCGATCTTCTCCGCAAACGACACTACCACCGAGTGCCTATTGGCCAAAACGTTCAAAATCGAAGTTTTGAACTGGATCTGCTTGACCTGAAACAACGAGAGTCACAGTTACTCCCACCGCGCCACAGTTACACCATTGTTTAAGTATATTATAGTTGGACAACCTATACGGACAATCACTTTCCCATGTAGAAAAGAATGAATATATATTTTACATCTCACTCGCTTCACTATGAAGTGGCGGTACCTTACGAAAGGGGGTAAAAATAGTCCGTAAGCACGTGATGTCGATAAGGTAGTAAACGGACGTATTAATCAGTACGTTGTACGGGGAGCAGTCACAAAATAAGTAAACGTACGTGTTGAAGACTCTACTGTAATATATGCGTCCCTTCGTCCACTTTAAAGGTATACGAAATTAAACGACCACTACTTTAATTAATAAGTAACAAGTCATCTAATTTGCCTCCAGAATAACATGGATTATCATCAAAGTATGAACACCAAATTAATTCAATATGAACATCTTCTTACGTATTTTTTTTATTAACAGTAGTCAAATCATTAAATACATATTATTTTTGAAACTAAAATGCATTTTATCCTAAGATTGTATCACAAAATATTCATCACCATTTAAATATATACGATTTAGACATCAAGAAATAAATTTAGAATTGCAAAAATTATACTAAAACAGCCTTAAATGTGTCTTGTATGGACGTGCTTATCAGTATGTAGGCATTTTAACGCACAGCAATAATCGTTCTTGATGAGTAATGACTGATGACTACTGTAACACAGTAAATCCTCGAAATCGAAAATTTAAAACACTGAAAAATTCAAATATGGGAAAATTGTAAAATCGAGAAATCGAAACATAAAAAAATCAAAAAAATAAAAATTGGAAAATCTAAAATTTAAAAATCGAGAAATTGAACAATCGGTTAATTCAAAAATCGAAACATCGAAAAATTGGAAAATCGAAAAATAAAAAAAAAATGGACAATCGAAAATTTAAAAATTCCTAAAATTGAAAAATTGAAATATAGAGAACCGAAAACTCAAAAAATCGAAAAAAATTAATAATTTCAAAAATTGAAAAGTTAAAATTGAGAAAACGAAAAACTGAAAAATCACAAAATTGAACGAAATATCAAAAAATTAGGAAATTAAAAAATTGAGAAACAAAAAAGTCAAAAAATCAGAGTCTAAAAATCGCAACCTTAAAAAATCGAAAAATTGAAAAATCAAAAACCTGAATGATCGAAAAATTGAAGAACTGAAGAACTGAAAAATCGAAACTTTAGGAAGTGGAAAAATGGGAATATAAAAAAATAGATTAATTGAGAAATCCAAAAACTAAAAATTCAGAAACGTCAAAATTTGAAAAATAAAAAAATATTGAAGAACTAAAAAATCGAAAAATCTAAAATTTAAAACACTGAAAAGTTAAAATATCCTAAAACTGAAAAATGGAGAAATCCAAACATCAAAAAATCAAAAATAAAAATAAAAATCTAAAATTTAATAATCGAAAAACTGAAAAATCAACGAATCGAGAAGTCGAGAATTTAAAAATTGGACAATTGAAAAATCGGATAAATCAAAAATCGAAACATCGAAAAATCGAGAAACCGAAAAGCAAAAAATCGAAAAATTAACAAATCAAAAAATCGAAACATTGTAAAATTCAAAAATTGAGACATCGAGAAATCGAAAAATCAAGAGACAAAAAAAATCGAGGAGTCGAAAAATCGAGAAGTCGAAAAATCAAAAAATTGAGAAACCGAAGTAGGCCAAAATCGAAAAATCGAAAATATGGAAAAAAATTGATAAAGCGAGACTGAATAATCAAAACATCGAAACATCCGAATCTCAATGAATTGAGATCTCAAAAAATTTAAACATTCGTAAATTTAAAAAATTAAAATATAGAACTGGAAACTCGAGAAACTGAAAAATCTAGAAATTTAAAAATTAAAATATGAAAAAGTTGAGAAATTAAAATAAAAAACAAAAAACTGAAAATCCAAAAATAAAAAATAGAAAAATCTAGAAGTCGAAAAATGAAAGAATCGAAGTATTGAAAAATATCAAAACTGAAAGAAATATCCAAAAATTGAGAAATCGACAAACCAATAAAGCGAAGTCGAAAAATCGAAGAATTGAAGAACTGAAAAATCGAAACTTTGAGAAGTGGAAAAATCAAAAATAGATTAATTGAGAAATCAGAAAACTGAAAATTTAACGCAAAAATTTGAAAAATTCAAAAATTTAAATACTGAAGAACTGAAAAGTCAAAAAATCGAGAAATCGAAAAAACTAAAATTTAAAACAATGAATAATTAAAATATCGCAAAATTGAAGAATCGAGAGATCCAATTCAATTTGAAAAATTGAAAAATCGAGGCATTGAAAAATTGGAAAATCCAGAAATTGAAAAGCTCAAAAGAAAAAAATTGAAAAACCGAGAAATCCAAAAATCGAAACATCGGAGGATCGAGAAATTGAGGAGTCGGAAGCCGAAAAGGAAAGTCAAAAATTGAAAACTTGAGAAATCGAACAATCAAAACAACGAAACATTTGAATTCGATAAATTGAGAAATTAAAAAATTGAATAATCGAAAAATTTTAAAAAAGAAAAACTGGAAATTCAAAAATTAAAATTCAAAAAATCGAAAAATGAAAAATTGAAAAATAGAAGAACTGAAAACTCGAGATATCGAAAAACCTAGAATTTTAAAAAATGAAATATTAAAACATCGAAAAGTTTAAAAATTGAGAAATCGAGGCATTAAACAGTCCCAGAATTGAAAAATCTAAAGTTTACAATAAATGAAAATCCAAAAAGGAAAAAAGCGAGAAATCAAAAAAAAATACATCAATTCAAAAATCGAAAAGTCGAAAAATTGAAATATTGAAAAATTTCATAACTGAAAGAAATATTCAAAAAATTGAGAAATTAAAAAATTGGAAAATTGAGAAATCGAAAATCTAAAAAAGCAAAATTGAAAAATCGTAATCTTATAAAAAATCGAAAAATTGAGGAATTGAAGATGTGAAAAATCAAAACTTTAGGAAATCCAGAAATGGACAAATAAAAAAAATACTTTAGAAATCGGCAAACTGAAAATTTAGAAACGTGAAAATTTGAAAAATTGAAAAATCGAAATATTTAAAAACCGTAAAATTGAAGAGGATAAAAATTGAGAAATCGTATCATTGAAACATCGTAAGATTGAGAAATCGAAAAATAAAAAAATCGAGAAATAGAAAATTTAAGGAATGGAGGAATCGGAAAAGCCCAAAATTGAAATATTGAAAAATTGAGACATTTAAATTTCTCATGCCTTAGAAAATTAAAAAGTAAAAAATACAATAACAAAAATTTTAAAATGCGGTTTACGAAAAATTAGTTGACCTGTGCAAAGAAGAAAATTTTGGAAACGCTGACAAATATGACATTTTAAAAAAAATAACACTTGAAGAAGTGCTTTCGGCATAATGTTTTTGATGCTCGCGTGAACAAAATACTCTATGTCAGTGTGCAGTGCGCAAAGAGTTAACTGTGCAGATCTAGCCGAAAATCCGAAAACCAAATCGCTGTGTGTAGGGCCAGCATAACGGAAGTAATAAATCATCCCATCGGTTGAAGAACGTTGGGTCGGTGCACTGATGTCGGTGTTGTGTCCCGAGAGGTGCCCAATACACCAAATAAAATGGAACAGACAAAATAAAGCTTCAAACATGATTATTTTTATACTAAAATTCTGAAGTTTATAAACTGCACATTTTATTTATTTATTTATTTATTTTATCTTGTTTTCGAACTATAATAAACATTTCAAACAATGTCTGTAACTTATTTTAATGTAAATTATATTCATGTGGTTAACAAAATCAGATGTAATATTAGTGTGATTTTGACCTTATTCTAGATTTTATTATAGCAGAACGGCGTATCCTTTTTAAATTTTAGAAGTTACGGAAACTAGTTCAAGAAACAATTAGTTATCTCGGATTTTTGGAACAAAATCTACCAAAATGTCCGATAACAGCAATTGTTTTTCATAGAAACAAACAGTCTTCAAAGCAGCCTTTAACAACTCGATATTACAAACATGCCTCTTAAGTTGTTTATGCGTTTTTTTCTCTCTTGTAATTATTTGTAATGTTAACGCCGAAAGTTTATGTCATTCTGTTATTTACTTTGAACATATATTTTCATTTTGTGTTAATATTTTTGTAACACCACGAATCTAAATTTTACTTAAAATCTTATTTTACTTTAATCTTGTAAAACTAAACAATTATACCAGTTTAAAAACCCTTGGAAAGTTTCTGTCAGTCTTCAGATATAGTCAAATAAAAATATGCGTCAAATTCATTTAAATTCAATTCTTTCTTATCACGTTACAACGCGTTGCTTCATATTTTTTATGTCAAGTATATTTTCATATTTTGTACATATATGTTTATACACATTACTGTTTACGGAACAATGTTAATTATGGATTTATGGATAACTCCTCGTATAAGAGCAGAGTGAAGGGTGTTTGTCTTTGCTAATGTTTGATGGCGCCATCTGATTTAGAGTAAAATAAACCTAATACGTTGGCTCACTGTAGTGAAAATGCGCGTTGACGAAAAATTTGTCCCACGCCCCCTGGATTCCTTGTCCTAAAGCTCACTATTTAGGCGAAGTAAAATTTGTATTAGGTTGTCCAACTATAATATACTTAAACAATGGTTACACTCACCGGATCCACCACCCCGCCTTTCAGCGAACGAAACGTCAAAGTACTGTAGTTGCTGGCGGAATCGCACAGGGCGATCAAGGGCCGGGACGCCGCGAACAAGTCCACGTTGTCTTCGCCGGTCTTGAAGGGCGTAGGGATGAGGCGCAGCACGCGTAGCGTGCTGTGGCGCCACGACAGGATCTCAGTGGCTTCACCCGTCGCAGGCACAGCCCAAATCTACAAACAAACAAAACACACTAAATCCATCCCACCGACTGCGCCAAAAACGCAACCTGTATGCCCGTGGTGTACCCCAAAACGAGGATCAGCGGCGGCGGGATGACGTTGTCGCCGTCGAACGCCGCCCCCCAGCTCTCGTCCTGGTCGAGCTGCTCGAAGTGCGCCCATTGGATCTTGTCGTCCAATTCCGTGGGCAGGTTGTACGCCGTGGGGACCACGTCGTTGATGAATCCGGCGACGCTGTCTAGGATCGTGGGGTCCGTGACTTGCTGAGGTGTGACTGTGGCGGCGCTCCCCCCGCCTCCTCTCGTCTGAGATCTTGATCGGCGAGGCGATTCAGCAGACATTGTTCCGTTTTCGTCGTGTCTGGAAACGAGGTGCAAAAAAGGGCGGTTAGTGGAAGGTCGATAATGGGGAGACGGGCGAAGTTTTTGTCGAATGTTTGATAACGTGTAGGGGCTTCGTTAAAGTTTGAGCGGTACGGTGTTTTGTGTTGAAGTTTGAATTGATTGAGAGCGAGAAAGCGGAGTACGGGAGGTCGAAGAAAAAAAAAAGGCAAAAAAAGTATTGACCAAATTGGTGTGGCGTGCACGACGGTAAATTCGTGTAACGCCAATTGGTTGCACGAATTTGACAAAAAAAAAACATAAAACTATGATTTTTTTAATTATTAAGTCACAAATAATTACCCACTTTCATGTAACCTACTATGTAGTTGGCTGTGTATCATCCTGTCGATTATTTTAAGGTTAAAACCGATATTTTTGACAAATCGTACGTAATGTTTACATGTAGAAGTGTCAATTTAAATTAACCTAAAATTGATTACTAACTCAAATTTCGTTTTAATACAGAATCAAGTCCAACTCATTTTTTTTTCAATCACACGTTTTAGAACGCAAATAATGTCCTGAGATCACACGTCAACTGCAGGTTGAATTTTTAATTGTCAACCCAGGTCACGTCAGGTCAGGCCAGGTCAGGTCAGAGTCGTGATACTTTTTGTTACCAAACTTATCACGCTGTCGAAATTAAAAAAATGTTGTTTCGTGTTAAAAAAAAATAAATAAACGTACTTCGTTTGAAAACAGTTAAACCCTGACGAACTAACCGTTTTATGTCGCATGCATTCATTTTTCCATTATGATACATCAATAATTCAAACATCTAAGTTCTATTATTTTAATGGAGGAACAACCAATTCATTTTTAGAGTGAATCATTAATCAAAAATATAACTGACACAATGATGGCAAAACACTTTACTCTCGACGAATGTAAATACATCTTTATAAAGGGTCTTTCACCTCAATTGATGTCCAAATTATTTTCAAAACTACTACCTGTAGTGAAAATAAATTTGGCAAACATTCTAACTTCGTCGTGGCCACTTCCAGTTTCGTCGGAAATGAAACCAACTGTTGTTTTCCCAACCTTTTTTAACTAGAATATCAGAATACGGTGCGATTGACACCTGAACAACGAATCTAGAGTTGCCATTAGTTAGAGAACACGCAACACGATATTATACATATTATGGCAGATTAACTCTTCAGCACGTTATGTACGGGGGTTTCGGGAGTCCGAAAAAAATAATAAAAAAATTCTTTATAATGTACATTACGAAAAAAACGTACATATAGCAAATGACATATTCTCTAAGAAAAGAGAGGGTGGGTGGGTGGGGCTAGTACCTGATAAGATAAGGCTGAGTTTGGCAGATGACATACCCTCTAAGAAAAGAGAGGGTGGGTGGGCGGGGCTAATATCTTCTAAGATAAAACTGATTTTGGCAGATGATATACTCTCTAAGAAAAGAGAGGGTGGGTGGGCGGGGCTAATATCTTCTAAGATAAAACTGATTTTGGCAGATGATATACTCTCTAAGAAAAGAGAGGGTGGGTGGGTGGGTGGGGCTAGTACCTGCTAAGGCTGATTTTGGCAGATGAAATACCCTCCAAGAAAAGAGAGGGTGGGTGGGCGGGGCTAGTATCTTCTCAAATAAAACTGTTGTTGGCAGATGACATACTTTCTAAGAAAAGAGAGGGTGGGTGGGCGGGGCTAATACCTGCTAAAAGAAGAGTAATTTGGCAGATGACTTATCCTCTAAGAAATTTAATTAAATTATTATAAGAAAAGACACCAGAGGCTCCAAAGCACTTTCAAATTCTCTCCAAACAGGAATACCTAGAACCTCAAAATTGTTTTAAATTTCAAAAAAAAGGGGTCCCAAAATTAACTCGAAAACAAGTCAGGTCAGAATTTTCCAAAAATAGGACACCAAAGTCCCCAAAAAATTATTTAAATAATTTACAAAAAAAAAATCTCCATGGGCTTCCAAAAGAAAACACCATGGGTATTCCAGAGTCTCCCGAATTAAAAAAAAATACCACTGCGGCACAAAATTTTTTTCAATTTCATCCAGCAACAAAACACCAAATTCCTTTGGATTTATCCGAAAATAAAATACTAGGGGTCGGTTTATAAAAAGCGAATTAAATATTTAATCCTCATTTACAAGTTTCTATAAACTGGATCCAGAGGAACTAAAATTAACTAAGAACATTTTAGACGTTTCGAAAACTTTAGACAATTTTTGAGAAGGGATTTTTTACTATTTTCCCCGGACTCACCAGTTGATTGTTGCCATTTTCCAGACACTCGGTATAATATACCTGCTTCTTTAAAAAAATTATAAAATTTGAGTTTACGGTTTTCAACGCAGAGGAAAGGACTGATTAAATAATTAACCACACTCAGTTTTTTTTTCCAAAAACAGCCATAAATTTGAACATGTATTCGGCAAAATTGTATATTGACGGTCACATTTTCATTAATGATCTACCACGCTTCCAATTTTTGCAATTTCAAAGTTAAATTTCTTCGAGTATCTTCGATTTTTTCCCAAAAATCTGGATACTACTTTACAAAATTTAAATAATATTTACTAATGTAAATTTCAGAGATCACGTCATCCTATTTCTGGTGGGGACTATTAGCCAAATTTTGGTTAGATTTTTACCATTTGCACTATATTTCTAATACACATATAAAGTATGACAACAATCAGTCCAGTATTATAATTCGGACAGAGGCCAGACAGACAAACAGACAGACGGAAATGTGAGACATAATTTCTCGTACTCTAGACCACTCATCCTCAGGAAGTAAAAATTTAACCACGTAAATCTAACTATATTTTCCACATTGATTGGTTAATTCGATTATAATATTAAAACAATGACATTTATGAATAAATAAGGACACAAGGAACTGACATAATACAAATCAGCCATTAACATTCTGGTACCGAAATTTTAATAAACAGAAACAGTCACCTTTGAAATTAAAAAATGTTGCAGATTTGCCACTTCTTAGACATTTTTCTAGTTTTAATTAATATGATTGACATACCGAGAGTGCAATAAAAACACGATCAAACCCGGCCGTAGATTTGACAGAATTTTCGCCTTGTCAAATTACCGTCAATTGGTAAGCATCAATCAAAGACAAACTTTCGAAATTCATGGCCGTCTTTGATTATGTTTTGAATTATAATTATACTAAACCGTGGACACTGTATACATTTTACGCATAATATACAAATTGCTTAAGAAGCGAAACAAACAAAAAAACGTAAACAAATAGGAATCCGCATGTGAATTACGACTTGGGTGGTTGCCTGAATCTCAGCTACTGAAATACAGTTTTTTTTTTGTTTGTTTTCAAACAATAAAGCCACCAACACTAAACAACAGCAAAAAATGGGCCAATAAACCACGAAACGAGAATGACGAAGAACCAAAAGATGGAAAATGTAAAAAGAGGCAGGAATGCCAAGGCCAACCAAACGATAAGAGCTCAAGTTTCAAATAAGCTGCCAATACACTACATAACACAGAACATCAAAATAATCGAACTGAAATAACTACCACACAATCCAACGGAATCCACAGTTCGAACCACTACCACGTCCCCTCAATAAAACCCGAAGAAGTATGATCGCAGCTAATTAAAAAACTTTCACTATGTTTACAAAAACATCGTGACATCACAACTAGACTAGAAATAGACCGTCCCGAAGTCACCACAATAAAATCGTACCGTTGGAAGTTATCGTTTTCGTTCACAATGGCTCCAAAGCAGCCCTCCCGCACCCCCAACCCCCGCGGGTACCCCACGCCCGCGACCATCTCGGGCAGCGAATTTCTTCGTCCTTGAGCCCACAGCACCTGGCCTGCACAAAGGGTGTGGGTACACGATGAAGGACAAAGGGTTAAGCCCATCCGCGCCCGCTGACAACCTCTCACCTCTCTTATTTATAGCCCGACGTATAAATAGCCCGCGTTTCCGCAAAAATCTCCACCACTTACCTTGTTTTCGATGCAAGTCAACATTTCAACTCCCGAACTGCGTCATTTCTCTGGTGGAGATCTAAACAATGAATGACGTCATTTTCGGGGCGAATCTCGCGGGTGGGGCTGTGGGGCTGTCCGGGGGCACACTCACCATGAAAGTCGCCGCAGAGCGTCTGGATAGTTTTCAAAACACTATCAATCAATATGCATCAGTACAAAGAACTTGGTGAGTGCGAGAACTGTCACTGTCACAACATAACAGAAATCAGCTGATTGGACATTGCATTGGCTGAGCGCAAGCGGTCGATTTAATTTTAGACTGGTGGGGTCATGGTACACCACAAACAGTTAGAGATAGCGTAAATATTTGTTTAAATTATTAATATTATTGGGTTTTGGTGCGATGGTGTGTGAGACGGTCTTTGGGTTGCTGGTGGCGGGGCTGCTGCAGCTGGGGGCGGCGAAGACGCCGGACGTGCTGATGGTGGTGGTGGACGACCTGAGACCAGCGCTGGGGGTGTACGGGGACCCCAATGCCCATACTCCGAACATCGATAAACTGGCCAGCAAGAGTTTCGTCTTCACGAATGCATATGCACAAGTATGTTTTCTTCTATTTATTTATTTATGTAACTTATTTATTATTTATCGATGTGTATCTTGAAAATAATGTTCAGTAAATAGTCTGAACGAATATTAAAAGGGAGTGTGGGGTGTTTTCGTGGAAAAAACTAATAATAAATTCGTTTTTAGTACATAAATTTATCTGGTGTATTGTTGGTTGCTTATATCAGACGCTCTATTAAAAATTACACTGGACAAACATGACAATTGGCACCATTGATGCAAAAATGTCACTACGTCAATTTCAAATCGGCCACAGAATTTTTTTTCTGAGAAATATGTTTTTACAAATTTTCTCCATAAAACAGATCTTTTTCTGGGTTCGTTCACAATTACGTATACGATAAATCTATGGTATAACCCATGATACAAGTGGATAACTTTCCGGGAAGTGGATATCAGGGTCAACCACTATCAACCTAAGGCAGTGGCGTAGCTGTAACTCGGAATTGTTGGGGCTAAAATCATATCTATCATACCCAAGTGTTAATAAATATGCATATGAAACAAGCCAAAACTAAGTACCATATTATCGAAAAAAAGTGGTCTTACTCTCTATGCATGCATAGAAGACTTTCACGAACAGTGTCCCATAACCTCAAAAACGAACAGTGTACTATTTTTGGTACTATATTCGCAAAAATGCGGTATTTAGCAGTGACGCCACTGAATTTTAATAAAGTGGGGACGACCGATGAAACTAAAATAGTAAGTGATGACAGAAGTAGTAGAAACACAGATAAAAAAAATTATATTTTTTTTTAGTCAGATCTTATTAGCTACAATCAACATGATTTCAAATCGTTTAATTCAAGCTATCGCCAGAATTGTTGTCGTTTATGAAGCCGTCAACGAAATTGTAAGTTTTTTTTCCTTGGTCTCAGAATATTAAATCCTCTTTGCAGATTGTAGGAACATTTGCCACAATCGTGTCAGGGTTTAATATTTATGCACAAAGCATGGCACAAGAAAATATCCACCCATTTTTACTTCCCGAGCGTAAGCAAAGGAAGTATTGTAATCGAGTCCGTCGGCCGACTCTCTACTTTTACGTTTTCTCGATCTTTCATGACCCCTAGAAGACGAAGAAATAGGTCTCCCATTTCCGTCTGTCTGTCCGTCTGTCCTTCTGTCCGTCTGTCCGTCTGTCCGTCTGTCCGTCTGTCCGTCTGTCCGTCTGTTGTCACGGATTTTTATTAGACAGATAATCTCCGAAAGTACTCGACCGATTGTTGTGAAATTTTGTACGTATATTAAGAATATCATGTAGATGGTAAAACGCTAACCAAAATTTGTCGAATCATCCCCACCACTAAAGCGATGACGTCACTTCAAAATTGTACATAGTAAATGGGTTTTCAATTGTATAAAATAACATAGTCCTACACATGTAGTTTACAACTCTGAATCGACTTTTCACCCGAAACGTCCAGATTTTTGGAAAAAAAATCAAAATTATAAAACAACATTTTGAAATTTAATTTTTAATCTGCTAACCAGAATGCTTTGAAATGTTGCAGATGTTTTAAGGCTATAAAGAGCATCATAAATCTTTAGTCAAAAAATATTTGCTTATCCCCTCCAAAAACTTGATGACGTCAGCTCAAAAGTTTGTGGAATAAATCATATATAAAATGTACAAAATATGATGAGTCTGTACTTGTGAACTATCACTCCATTCATATTTTTTGGATTTGCATATACAGGGTGACTCAAAAAATTAATGAATGCGTAAATATATTTTATTGATTTAATCAGGAACTACAAAACCGAATGCTCTGAAATCTTGCAGATGTTTTAAGGTCATAAAGAGCATAATAAATGTTTAGTCAAAATATATTTGCTTATCCCCTCCAAAAACTTTATGACGTCAGCTCGAAAGTTTGCCGAATAAATCATATCTAAAATGTACAAAATATGATGAGCCTGTACTTGTCATTTATCACTCCATTCATATTTTTTGGATTTGCATATACAGAGTGACTCAAAAAAATTAATGAATGCGTAAATTTATTTTATTGATTTAATCAGGAACTACAAAACCGAATGCTTTGAAATCTTGCAGATGTTTTAAGGTTATAAAGAGCATAATAAATTTTTAGTCAAAATATATTTGGTTATCTTCTACAAAAAACTGATGACGTCAGCTCAAAAGTTTTCCGAATAAATCGCATCTAAAATGTACAAAATATGATGAGTCTGTACTTGTGATTTATCATTCCATTCATATTTTTGGATTTGCATATGCAGGGTGACTGAAAAAAATTAATGAAGGCGTGAATTTATTTTATCGATTTAATCAGGAATTACAAAACCGAATGCTTTGAAATCTTGGGAATATTTTAAAGTTATTATAAGCATGGTAAACTTTTGTTCAAAATGTATTTGTTCATCCCTCCTAAAAAAATTGATGACGTCACCCTTAAATTTTGCTGAATAAATCCTATCTAAAATGCAAAAAATATGATGAGTTTGTACTTGTGATTTATCATTCCATTCATATTTTTTAGATTTTCTTAAGAGGTAGTTCAAAAAAATTAATGAAGTCAATTTATTTTATTGATTAAATTAAAGGCAACACTTATTATTAGTATTACACCCCAACCAACCCAATTTGGTAGACACAAAATTTGTTAAAGGAAAAACTCGGTTGAAACATAAGGGTAGCACGCTTATTTACATCGACTTTAACATTACAGACCTGCATTTGTTTTATGCGCTCACTTGGTTCCGCGAATGTGAAATAGACATGTTTATAATCAACCAATTGTGAATTTCACCGTCAAGAATTAAAATAAAACCCAATGTTTTATATAATAAGCGGAAGTCGAAGCAATAAAACCGACGGTCGTTTTGTTTACAGTTTCTGTGTTTGGCTCTCACGTATGCTGTTACGCCTGTCATCTTAAATTAACAATGTTTATACATACACGATTTTTAGTTGCCTCTGATACGTAGGTATACGTGAGTAAATTGTTTCGTTATTTTATTGATTATTACAAATCAATATTCAAACGACCCAATTCATTTTCCCGAAAATTTGAGAATATAATAATTTTATTCTTAGTATTACACTACATCTATCCCAACTGATATACGTGTCCTTGCAAAAATGTTGATGACGTCATCGCAATTTTTTTTTAAATTCCTACTACAAAAATGTAATGAGAAAAAAAACACAATAGGCATGCAGTCGTCAAGTTTCCGACAGCGAGGGAAGTACTGTCTAAACTCTTTAGACCAATTTTTTTGTTTTATGATAGTAGCTTCCATATTGTGCATTTTCAAAGGATCTCTTTTCCTACACAGTATAAAACAGGTTAGTTAAAATGGTGATTCAAGTTTTTGGTGTAGGTAATCTTTTAATCTTTAATTTTTCAGAGGAAGAAACAGGGAATTTTGATTTATTTTGTCCTAACTGCGGTGCTTTTATTAATCGCTAAAGGATTTATCTTTAGTGAAGGAATCTACGCGATACAACAATTGCAAGGATCCGATGATGAGCGGGCGTTAATTTATAAATTCCGGTATTTCCTTTTCTTTCCTTTAATTTTTCTCACTGCCTGGTTTTTCCAACTATGTGTGCTTGTGTTCTATCGAGAAGTGGCAAGCAGTCGTCCCGAAAATGAAACTTTTCCACACGAAATGGACTTTTTATGAGCAAATGCGTAGCCAACGGGACTACTACTCTGTATACTCTGTCACTGCCAATTAAACAATAAAATATTTACAAAATTTGACAATAATCCGTCCAGTAGTTTCGGAAATTTAATATGTCTCACTTAAATTTTTCTTTTTTCTTTTTATGTACTTTTTTTGTTTATTTAATATTGATTACTAAAGGAGTGTTTGACGCGGTTTCGTTAAAAAAACTTAACATAAATTCGTTTTGCAGATTTGGTGTACTGTTGGTTGCATATGTCACCAGGGCAATTATATAACAACGTGTAACAACTATTTAAGTTGCATTAAACCTTTATAAACGTCATACGGTTGGCATCACTGATTTAAAAATGATATTACGCGTTTTTTCTGTTCAAAACCCACAAATATTCGTCATAAAATAGAACATTTTCTTAATTGTTTTCATTATTTTTCCATTTCATTTGAAAATCTGAGCAACTTCATAATCAAATTCTTATTAGAACGAAGTATTTCTCCGTGTGCTTATTTCCGTAAAAAAACGTATCAAATAGCCTCTGAACCTAAGGCCCACAACACCAAAAACAGACAAAATATTAAAAATTCGTTGAAAAAAATATTCACTCAATTATGGTGTATTGTTGGTTGCATTTGTGATGCTAGGTATTAAAAAATGTTTAAATTGCGCTTGATTATAACAAAGGCCGTATCGTTGGCATCATTGACCTGGAGTTGGCATTAGATGAAGCCAAATCTTCCCAATTGTCTACGTAAACCTGCCCTGCCCCAATACCACAACAGATACAATAAGCACAACAAAATATTACAACATTCGTGGAAAACCGATCAGATAGCGTTTGAACTTAAGGCTATTACGCAGTTGTACAACAAGTGCCAAAATCGCGGAATAACCTTGACTTTCCGGGAGGGCAAATAACTGAAGCAGTGGCGTAGCCACAACTTGTGACAAGGGGGGGAATGGAATCATAAGTGCCACCAAGTGCCACAAATAGATAAACAGCGCTTACCTCGTGAAAAACTAAATAGAAAAACAATGTATGTTTCATATGACTTTCGTGCTCGACTGTAAAATATTGTTTAATTGTGATAATTAGAATTAATGACGCCACTGGATAAAAGCAATGGCAGAAGTGGGGAAAATAATACTAAAAGCACTTATATTAAATTGAACTTTACAGTGACAAAGAAGTGTCAATAACCCAAAATATACGTAATAAAGTACCTACTCTTGGAATAAAAAATAAAAAGGTGGAGGGGGTATTCATACTCGCATTTTATTGGCTACGCACTCTTTCTTAACATCTTCGATATTTAAAATATTGTTGCTATTTTAGTAAGAATCGTCGCCTCGCCGATAACCACGATGTTATTGAAACATTTAATTCGAGATGTCGTCAGAACTGTTATCTTTTATGAAGCCGTGAACGAAATTGTAAGATTTACATTTTTTTTTTTTTTTTTGAAATCCACAGTTCACGTTGCAGGTTTTGGGAATATTTGGCGTAATATGGTCAGCTTTTCGGATTCACTTTATAGAATCATTAAAAAACCACAAATATATAGAAGTCGATTCTAGCCCCTTTTATCATTTTTTTGTGGTAGCTGCTACATTGTGCTTTTTTAAAGGATGTCTTTTATTCTACAGTATAAAACAGGTTGGTTAAAATAAAATATCACTGCAAAAATATAGTTATGTATTTTCTAATTTTGTAGAGGAATAGGAAAGGAGTTTTGATTTATTTTATCCTAACTGCTTTGATTTTATTCATCGGCAAAGGGTTTATCATTTATGATGGAATCCGTATGAAACGACAAATACAAAAATCCTCACTATATGAAAGTATACACAATATGAACTATAAATTCTGGTACTATGGTTTCTTTCCGCTAATTTTTATCACTGCTTGGTTTTTCCAATTATGTGTGATTTTGTTCTATCGAGAGATGGCCATCAGTCGCTCCATAAATGAAAACGAGGAAAATTCCCCAGAAGAAGTGGAAATTTACAAGCCAATACATAATCCAAGAGATAATTCAAGCTAAATGCGTAACAGAGTGATTTAAAAATCTGAAATTTTATCTTTTATATTATATATACATATCTTTTAGACTTAAGTTTTTTATACATATATGTATCATGCATATCACTATTAAATTATTATTTCTTTTGTATATTTTAACTCCACTTTTCACCCTCATTCTTTTCTAATTTCATATTTCCCGCGTCTGATTGACAGATATGACAAGTTGCTCGTATGTCATTTATTAACAGTGACACCAACTTTGAAAGTTAACATAAGGACACGTGCAGTTAAAATCTTCATTTAAAATTTAAAAAAAAATCGAAAGGTATATCAAAAAAATTATGTTTTACTTCAATTACGTGCCAAACTGTTTAATAAAATTTTCACTTTCACAAACACGCTGGAATCACCAGCGACCATGAAAACTTCACACACCTATAATTTTTCTAATCTGCAATTACGCAGATTACATAGCTCATTTATTATTTTACCAATGTCAACACTCATTTCAAAATTAAAACCTCGTATTTAGATGGCAAACCTAATGTTGTTCAAGACTTCACCATGCCAAAAAATGCCGACTTTTCGCTCAAAACCCTCTTCGTGCACTACCAAGCCATCGCCGAAATTGTAAGTAAACTCACACCACTTCTGGCTTAAACCTTCCCAGGTTCTAGGAATTTGGTCTTTGTTGTACGCCGTGGAAATATACTTGCTCACTTATGACGACGAGGAGTTTTCCATTCTCTACTACTGGTTTATCGCTGGCGCCGTTCTAGAACTCCTAAAAGGCGCGATTTTACTCCAAGGAATACGAAAAGTGAATTACACAGAAAACGCAAGCCCGATTTGATTTTGATTTTGTCTCATTCTAGGAAAAGAAAATCCACGTCCTGAGTTACCTCCTCCTCACGTCGATACTCCTCTTCGTCGCTAAAGGCTTCATTATACGTTTCGGAGTCGAGCGGTACGACGAAATCGAAGACCTCAAGCGCGACCAAGCCACCGACTCGGAAATCAGACCGACCCTCCGCGGATTTGTTTTCGATTTCGTGATTTTCTACCCCGTGGTGTTTCTTTTCCACTGGTTGGTCCAGTTTTACGTGTTTCAGTTCTACAAAGATTTGGTGGCGGCGGAGGCTGTGAAAACCGCCAACGAGAAAAATTTTAAAGTTGCCATGATTGGCGAGAAGAGTTATTGATTGAAAGAAATAAAATTTTGTGAATAATAAGGTTGTTCTGTTTTGGACCCCACTGTGCGTTTTTAAAATCTTGGGTTATCTTATCGTTATCGAACACTGATTCAAGCTGGATAAAACATTAAAAATCAAAATAAATATTTGTCAACGATAGGGGGACCCTCATTTCGTCATGAGTTACAGTTTGACTATTCATTTTGAACTAATAAAAGCGCAATGTGCCGCAAATTTAACCTCTTTTGCACTAATATCCTTGTAGATTATCAAGCTATTAACGATCTGGTAAGGTGTTGTCTACTTGTGGATGTCTAATGCCGGTTCTAGGTTATAGGGACTATATGTCTAATCTACGCCATTTACTCCCTTGAAGCTTCTAAAAATAGCAGCTTTATTCACAGGAGCTTCAAATTCTTCCTTATAGGACTCAGTCTTTCGATGATAATGAAAAGCACTCTTTTGTTATACGGAATCAAAAAAGTGAGTTGTCGTTGACACGTACCTAACTCTAACGAACTAAACGAAATTCCAGGGTCACAAGAAGTGTATTTTTGTCTATTTAATCCTAACTACGGTAGTTCTACTCATAGCGAAAGGATTCGTGATCAATGAAGGCATTCAAATGAATAAAACCGTCAACGAAATTTCTGAAATTGAAGGGTTTAAAGAGTACAAAGAACCACTGCGGCACAACTTTGTCTTTGTTTATGCTATTTTCTTTCCTTTCATTTTTGCCATGAACTGGTTTATTCAGTTTTATGTGTATTTGTTTTATAGGAGTCTTCATGTGGAGACTCACAAGGAATCGTCATCCGAAGGAAGCGAGGGCTTAATTGATAGTTCAAATGTTTAATTAAAAATAGAACGAAATAAAGAAATAAATATTGTTAGTATACATTAATTTCCGCACCCGTGGCGACCAATCACAACAAAGTACATCAGCGCTAAATTCAAACTGGTCGAAAGTCAAATATTATTGCTTTCGTCTGTGTTTTTTTTAATTCGCATCGATTTTTGAAGTTTTTAAGATTTTTAGCTTTTCGATTTTTATTTTGGAGTTGTTGCTTTTTTTAATTTTTTGTTGTCGATTTTTCAGTTTCTCGATTTTTATTTCGTCAGTTTTTTCGGGTTTCAATGTTATAATTTTTAGATTTGGCAGTTTCTCGTTTTTTCGATTTTTCCATTTTAAGATGTTTTATTTTTTGATTTTTCAATTGTTGATTTTTTCGTTATCCGATTTTTACTTTCGCTATTTTTTCAACATTTCGGTATTTCAATTTTTTTGTATTGTCCAATGTTTCAATTTTTCAGTTTTCGATTTTTTAATTTTACAGTTTTTCGATGTTTATTTTGACATTCTTCAACTTTTGAATTTTACAATTTGTCGATTTTTCTATTCTAGAAAATTTTGTTTTCCGTGTTTTCTATTTCTCGATTTTTAATTATTCAGTTTTTCGATTTTTCAAATTTTCAGTTGTTTTCACTTAACGAAGTTTTCAGTTTCTCAAGTTTTAAGATTACAATTTTTAAATTTCTCGCTGTTTCGAGTTTCGTTTTTTCTATTTTTGAATTTCAATTTGGCAATTGTTCGATTTTTCTGTTTTTTAAATTTTCAGTGTTTTCATTTACAATTTTTCCCTTTCCAATTGTTGATCTCTTAATTATTCGATTCTGAGTTTCTTTATTTTTGCAGTTCTTCGATTTCTCAGTTTTTAAATTGTTCGGTCTTTCAGTGTTTCTTTTTCGATTGTCCAGTTTTTGATTTTTTGATTTTTCAGTTTTACAATTTTCCGATTTTTTGATTTTTTAAAATTTCACTTTTAATAAGTTTGTCTTTTTGTTGAAAAATTAAAAGTAAAGTACTTTCGAGTATGTAATTCCAAGTTGTTTCGTTTCTTCGATTTTTTATTTTCTCAGTTCGAGATTTTTAAATTTTTTTTTTTTTTTTAATTGTCAATTTTTCGATTTTTCCGTGTTTCGTTTTTACATTTTTCGATTTCTCGATTTTTTAATTTTGCGATTTTCCAAGTTGTTTTTTGATTTTTCGATTTTCCATCTTTTTACAATTTTTCGTTTTTTCGATTTTTCAATTTGTCAATTTTTAATATATCACTTTTTCAGGTTTCAATGTTACAAAATTTCGATCTTACGTTTTTATTTTTTTTTCAAATTTAAAATTTTGTAATTTTTCACTTTTTTCAAATAATTATTATTAGGATTTTTTTTCAAGTGTACCTACAATTCTTGGCTTTTCAATTACCCGATTTTTTCGATTTTTAAATTGTTTAATTATTGATTTTGAGATTCTTTATTTTTTCAGTTCTTTGATATCTCAATTTTTGGTTTTTCAGTGTTTCTTCTTCGATTTTTCAGTTTTTAAATTTTTGATTTTTCAATTTTTCAGAATCACAATTTTCCGATTTTCTGATTTTTTAAAATTTCAGTTTTAATAAAATTGTCCTTTTGTTGAAAAATTAAAAAACGAAAAATTGAGAAAATAAAAAATTAAAAATAAAGTACTTCCAAGTAGGTAATTCCAAATTATTTTGTTTCTTCGATTTTTTGATTTCTCAATTATAGATTTTTATATTTTTCGTTTTTTTAATTGATAATTTTTCGATTTTTCCGTGTTTCGATTTCTCCTTTTTTTAGTTTTTGTTTTTGTATTTTTTTAATTTGTAGATAATTTAATTTTCCGATTTTCTAATTCGCTTTTTAATTTTTCGATTTTCTATCTGTTGAATTTTATAATTTTTCGTTTTTTCGATTTTTCAATTCCTAGGTTTTCCATTTATCACTTTTTCAGGTTTCAATGTTAGAAATTTTCGATTTTACAGTTTCTTTTTTTTCTCAGTTCTCCCATTTTTTAATTGTTTTTTCGTTCGCCAATTTTTTCAATTTTTCATTTCTTCAATTTTTCGTTTTTAATTTTTTTTTTTCAAATTTACAATTTTGTAATTGTTTCATTTTTAAATTTGCCGATTTTTAATTTTTCACTTTTTTCAAATAATTATTAGGGTTTTTATTATTCAATTTTTGGCTTTTCCATTTTCCGATTTTTCAGTTTCTGGTTTCTGTACTTTTTCAATGCTTCGATTTCTCAACTTTCAAATTTTTCGGTTTTTCAGCGTTTCGTTTTTTCAATTTCTTAATTTTTTAGTTTTCCGGTTTTCATTTTAAATTTTTTTTTTTGTATTTTTGGTTGTTTAATTTATAGAAATTTTTGTTTTTCGATTTTTCAATTTTTAAATTTTCCAGTTTTTAAGTCTCATTTTTTTGGTTTTGCCAATTCTTCGATATCTCAATTTTTTGATTTTTCAATTCAATTCAAAATTTCGGTTTGAATCAATTTGTCCTTTTGTTGAACAATTAAAAAATGACGAATCGAGAAAATGAAGAAATAAAAAATTCGAGAAATTGAAAATTTTTATATCGAAAAATTGCAGAATTGTTTCTTTTTGTCGATTTTTCAATTTCCCAATTTCCGGTTTTTCAAAAGTTCAGTTTGAGTAAATTTGTCCTTTATTGAACAATTAAAAAATGAAAAATCGAGAATTTGAAAAATATATCGAAAAGTTGCAGAATTGCTGCGTTTTGTCGATTTTTCAATTTCTGGATTTTTAATTGTTGCATTTTTTAATGTTTCGGTGTTACAGTTATTCGATTTTTCAAAATTTTATTTTGATTTAGATTGGAAATCAACAAGAACTTGAAAACTTTAAAATTGAAAAATTGCAAAATTGTTTCGTTTTTCGATTTTTTGATGTTTCAATGTCGGGATTTTTTATTTTTTCGTTTTTCCAATTTTTCAATTACTGATTTTGCAGTTTTATTTTTAATTTTTCTGTTTTTACAATTTTTCAATTTTTCGGTGTCTCGATTTTCATTTTGAAATTTTTGGATTTTTGTTTTAAAATTTTTGTATTCTTCATTGTTCAATGATACAATTTTCTGATTTTCCAATATTTTAGTTTGGATAAGTTTGTTCTTTGCTGAAAAATAAAAAAACACAAAATTGAAAAATTAAAAAACTAAAAGAGTAAAACTCAAAAAATTGTAAAATCGGAGAACTAACAAAGCAAAAAATGGAGTAATTGAAAAATCGTAAAATCGAAAACTGAAGAATCTGCAAAACTAATAAATCGGTACCAATTAAAAAAAATGCTCCCACACAATAATAAATACAAAAACAAATCGTATGGTTTTCCCTAGTTCTATGATATTGGAATAAACATTTAAATACACACGATGAATAATATTTTAATTTGGCGTCAGTTCGAATGTGTTTTTGGTGTGATTTAATTTATTTCATTCTCAAGAATAACCCGATCGGACCAGCATCTGCAGTGAACATTCTATCGCAAGCTTCTCTTCACGTTGTATTTTTAAGTGACTGTTTTCTCTTATCTTTTTAACTAAATTTAGTTTGTTCACATTTTATATAAAATATTGACATTTTCTTGGGAGTCTGTCTCCAATATAAATAAATATATGACGTCATTTCAACATAAAAACACATTTCGCTGTGGTTGTTGCAACAGAATTTTGTTGCTCTTCGACAGCAAACATGACGACGAAAATTCTGTCACAAAATTGTCTTGAAGCTATCGTCACTCATACAGCCATCAACGAAATTGTAAGCCCACATTATTTAATAAAATTGTTACAGTTTTCATTCTAGATTTTGGGAACTTTTGTCACGATGGATGCAGGTTTTGTCCTTTATTTTTCTTTAAAGTATGAAGACACTAAATTTGAGTTCCGCTTATATTATTATTATTTCTTATTGGTGGTTGGAATATTATCAGTTTTTACAGGATCACTTTTGTTTCATAGTGTGAGGGAGGTGTGTATAGTGCTAAAATTTGATGTTAATATTGTCATATGATTTCATATTTTAGAAAAAGAAGAAAGGAATTTTGACTTGTTTGCTTATAACTCTAGTGGTTATGTTTGCAGCTAAACTAATTTCGGGAATTTCTGTGGATAAAGTGATCAAGAAATTTTCTAAACAGAATGCTGCACAGTGATATGGCTGTATTTTCTTATTTTATTTTTTATCCTATGATTTTACTGTCTTCGTGGTATATTCAATCATGTGTGTTGTTATTCCATCAAATCACCCGGAATAATGTTTCTGTGGTTGAAAATATGAATCAATAAAGAGTGAATCACGAATTTCAAGAACAAATTAAATGTTGATGTTTTTCTGTTTAAATTTGTATCAAATAATACATATTTTAAAACTTAGAAATACTAACGCTGATTTAGAAAATATAAATATTCAACCCCTCCACAAAGTTAATGACGTCACTTAGAACTGATATTTTGCTGCGTTACGCTTCGGAGTGTTGACAACTTGTAATCAAAATATAACAAGTTCAAATATTATCTTGCACGTAATTAACAAAACACGATATAATTCTTAAAAACAAACATCTTTCCGTGCAGTTGTTTCAGTAATATTAGCCACCCGTCCTTTCCAAACTTGAAAATGAAACTTTTTTCCGAAGACTTTCTTCGAATTATTGTTACGTCTGCCGCCGTCAACGAAATTGTAAGCTTACATTTTTTTTATGAGACAGTAAAATTTTCCTTTTTAGGTTTTGGGAATACTAGGCTCAATGAATTCGAGTTTTTTTATTTATGGTTTTGCAAGGTACGACGACATCTATTCCACATACTACTTTAGACCTTATTACTATTTTTTGTGGACGGCAGAGGTACTGTCAATTTTTAAAGGCAGTCTTTTACTCTATAGTATAAAGCAGGTTTGTTAAAATCTCAATTCAGAGTTTCATATCAACGAATGTTTGATATTTTAGAAGAGAAAAATAGGAGTTTTGCTGTATTTTGTTCTAACGTCGGTGGTTTTGTTTGCTGCTGTAGGAATTATTGCTCAATCGGGAGTACATCTGATGGACGTCGCAAAAAGAACCAAGTGTCAGTTCGAGTCTGCTGGTTCACTCTATAATGACCATGTTGTGTTCTTCTACTTTATTTTTTATCCCGTCGTATTACTTCTGGCATGGTTTGTTCAATTTTGTGTGTTTTTGTACTATCGTCGTATGTGTAGTAGCAGCTTTGAAAATAGAACTCTTTTAAATCAAGTGCAAGAGCAAACAGTTTGATTAATAACTAAATATAATTTTATATATGAGCTTTTTGTTTTCTTGTTTTCTTAGTAATGTTGGTAATGAAGTCACGTGTTCGCTACGGATAAGAGCGGTGTTGGTGGCTCACTTTTTTACCGTAAGAGTACTTCTAACTACTCTGAATTTGTTTCAAACTTTAAAATGCGCTCTTTATCAGTTATGAATACACAAACTGTACCAAATATCAAGTGAACTCTCGGGATCAGTGTAAACTTTCGTTATCACTTCGTTCAGAATGATTGTTTAATAATTCAACGTTTAATAACATTGATATACTGCGAAGTGAACTGATTACATGTAACAACTCGTACGATTTTTTCAGTTCCACCAAACCCAAAGCTTTAAATAATGCGTAGTATTTTAAAAGCTAGTAGTATTAAAACCCTTGTGAATTATTTGGGCATCAACGAAATCGTAAGTCGCTTTTCCTGAAAATTAATCATCCCTATTAAGTATAAGTTTACAAAGATTTTAGGAGCGCTATGCCTAATCCACTCCATTTCGATGATCCGCAACTTTTCAGAGACAGCAGAAGTTCCCCAGAGTGACATCTTCTTCTACGACTTTGGACCCTACTACTATTTCCTGCTAGTGGCTGCCGGGTTGTCGCTGCTTAAGGGACCTCTTTTAATATACAGCGTGAAAAAGGTTGCCGAGAAAATTGTAGTGGCTGTTCTAATATTTTCTTTTTAGGAAAATAAATCAGGTCTTTTAATCTACTTTGTACTCACTGTGTTTATCTTGTTTATAGCGAAGGGCTTCATTATTGAAAGAGGGATCTATACACGAGAGCAAAACGCCAAAATTGTTGACGGAAATTACACTTCTCATTTTATACAACGACGTCAGCGGTCTTTTAATTTTCATTACATATTTTTTTATCCTTTTGTGTTTACGCTTTATTGGTTTTTCCAACTGTGCGTGTTTTTGCATTATAGAAATTTGAGCACAGGAGAGGGTGTGGAAGTGGGAATTCCGCTGGAAATCGTTTAGAAAATAGTGTAATAGGGACGATTATTTATCATTGTGGAATGTGTAAACTCGAACTAAATAAAGCTATTGACATACCATACTTATAATAATTTTTGATTTTCATTTATTATCTTTGGACATTCTGAACAATAGTAGTAACACATTTATTGTGACGTCACAAAACTTGTGTATTGTTTTAGCAAGCCCTTTGCGCCCCCAGCCGCAACTCCTTCCTCACAAGCCGCCGCCCCGACTCCCTCCACCTCTACGACTTCTACAGCTACTGGCGCGACACCGTGGGCAACTTCACCACCCTCCCCCAAGTCTTCAAAGAAAACGGCTACTACACCCACTCCATCGGCAAGATTTTCCACCCAGGCGTCTCCTCCAACTTCACCGACGACGCTAAATACAGCTGGAGTGGGCAACCTTTCCACCCAAAAACCGAAACGTACAAAGAGGCTAAAGTTTGCATGAACTCAGATGGACAACTCGCGCGTAACCTAATTTGCCCAGTTATCCCCGACGCGCAACCTGGAGGCACCCTACCCGACTTGGAGTCACTAGTAGCAGCTCAGGAATTCCTGGAGCACAAAGACCAGATTACAAAAGGGAAACCGTTCTTTCTGGCGGTGGGGTTCCACAAGCCGCACGTTCCATTGAAGTTCCCTGTGGAGTATTTAGGTAACGCGCTTCTGGAATTGTGTCAAGACGCACTGCTTAATTGAGTTTTTGTAGAATTTCATCCCTTGGAGGATGTAGTGTTGCCGAAAATCCGGTGGAAGCCTCCACTCATGCCTTCGGTGGCGTGGAATCCGTGGCTGGATGTCAAAAGTAGGGATGATATCACTAAGTTAAATTTGTCGTTTCCGTTTGGAGTTATGCCGGATAATGTTACCAGACAGGTGATTCGGGGTTATAATGCAGCTACTAGTTACATAGATGACCTAATTGGGTCACTTCTTGGGAAAATTAATTTGAATAACACAGTTGTTGTTTTGACAGGCGATCATGGTAATTTTTGCAGTTTAAATGGTACTTTATACAGTGACTATTGTAGGGTGGTCGCGTGGTGAACACGGCGAGTTTTCAAAATTCAGCAACTTCGACGTCGCCACTCAAGTTCCCCTCATCATCCACGTACCTGGCTTAAGTCATGTGGAAGTCGTTGTGGACCAACTAGTCGAACTTGTTGACTTATTCCCTACTTTGGTGGATCTGACTCAGGTCGCACCGCCTCTACCAACTTGTAGTGAGGATGGCAAAAACTCGAAACTGTGTACCGAGGGGCGCAGCATGGTCCCAATTATGGTTACGAAAAAACAAAAACAGGTCATTTTATGACTAATGTGATGAATTTTGTGCAAATGAGAACGTTTCAGGTGTCACCTGGAAAAAGTGCGGTTTTTTCACAATACCCAAGACCTGGTGCTTTCCCTACTCAACAACCTGATAGTGATAGACCTAGACTTAACCAGATCACTGTGATGGGCTACAGTATAAGGACGCAGCAACACAGATATACAGAGTGGATTAAATTTAATCATACGTCTTTTCTGGCTGATTGGTCCACAGTGTACGGCAAGGAGTTGTACGATCATTTGATCGATCCTCTGGAGAATATGAATTTGGCACTGAGGCCTGAATTGAGTTATGTTGTAAGTTCTTTAAGAAAAAAGTTAATTGCGGGTTGGAGATACGCATAATGTGATGATTGTTTGTAATGTGATCAAACCAATAAATTTGTTTCCACTATTGTTGGTCTGTATTTTTTTTTGAACCTGGACTCCACAAAAAAAATAGGGAGAAGAAATCAGTCTTTAAACAATCTAGGGACTTTGGTTACTACATGTTTTTGATGGTGGGTTTTATTATTAAAAAATAACGCAGACGAGAGTTTATTTCTCTAGTTTTTTGGTATTAAAAACCGTAATAAAATAAATAAGCACAACTGAAAGCCGAAGTCCGCATCAATTAACGCAGCCGCGGGTTTACATTGGCAGCCTTGCCCCCCGTCACCTGTCACTCTCCGTACGTCGTCTGTCAAAGTCGCGAATCCACAAAAAATAAATAAATAAATGCCCGCATTTAATTTTAATCAATCACGCCGACATGCTGCTACGGTGCCCCACCAGACCGTAATTCCTTGTCTCGGACCCTGCCAGCAGTGAAAGGCCGCAATGTCGGAAGACCGGCGAAAAATGAACCGCCCCAGCACCGGAACGGTGCCCAAAGTCAAGTGCAGGAACAATAGCTCGTACATGAACGAACGCGACAGCCCCCGAAGCTGGACCAACAATTTGGTAAGTGCGTCAAACTCGGCCACACGCCCGTGTCCTTATTCTAAAAATAGGTTTTATATATAGCCGAGTTGTTCCCTATTTCTGGCATGTTCTTTCTAGGCGGGCGACTTCCACCGCCTCAATCTCTCCGACTACTTGAGGAATTCCAGGCGCAATTTGCCCCCGCACTGCGCCATGAACACCACCGTGGAAGAACAGAGACACAACACCACCGGTAAGTCACCGTGTGACTTTAGCAAATTACAACCTAACTGCTAATTGTACGACTTGTTAGTGCGCCATTATTCACTCACGGTCGATTTATTAAAGTAAGGCATGAAAATTGACAGTTGTGGCTGTGTAAACTTGCTTTTGTGCTGCAAATTCAACCATTCAGAGTTGATAATTTAGCACAAAAAGTCTCTACATAGTTACACCATTGACTTCAAAATAAAGGAGTGAGTGTGAATCCACCTTGCAACTGACCTTGAAAAATTTAACCAAAACGCTTTAAAAAAAGCAGTTCTATTACTTTTTTTTTATTGAATGCGTGTTAACTACGTTTCATTCAAGTCTTAAATATAGCCTAACACTAAGTATAAGTTGGTGCTTGGTCGCTTGTAGTGAACGGCTCCATCACCCCGAACACCAGTTCGTCGACGTCCCGCCGCAACTCCTCAGGGACCGTGCCAAAATGCGACAACATCACCAAGTACCCGGACAAGAAACAAATCGAAGACAAGCTCACCCAGATCAGGGAGTATTTACAGATCACGACGTCGCTCATGTCGAGCATGAAGAACACGGACGATCAGGTGAGTACGGGGATGGTGTCGCTTATTCTCTGATAGTTGATGGGGATTTCGTGTGTCCAGTTGGACGACGCCGCCGAGAGAAATAACTTGATTCAGATGATTAGTGATTTGCGGGACAGTGAGGCCAAATTAGTCAACATTTTAGAGAGTATTGAGGCCGATGATGCGGGGGGCATAAGTGACCAGGTGACGGTGTGTTGTGTTTCAGTGTTGTCATAACTCCCACGCTTGAGGTTGTGTCTTCCACTCTGCGCTTTCGCTTTGACAGCACGATCAAAGTGGCTGTGGAAGAAATAGCTGGCGCGTGATTGGTTAGGTTGTTCTTGAGTCTGTCATAACTGTCATCTCGGTGACTCACCTTGACTTAAAAATAGGCGACGTTACTGAATCATTGTGTGACTGACTAATCAGAAATTTCCAACGTCGGAAATTGCTTTACTGCGTCTTTCCTACTTACTTAAATTCGAAAAGTCGTTCAACTGGTTGTCTGAAATGGCGGTTTTCTAGGTGGACAGAAACGATAATTACTCAGAGGCCACTACTTCCAACTCGCACCGCAATGACCTCGACGATAAAGTTGATCACACTAACCGTGAGATGGAGCTACTTCGAGATCAACAAATGTCGTTTTTGAGCTTGCAACAAAAAGCTGAGAATAAGTTGAAAGACGCACGACAGTTGCAAGAAAAACTGATGATGTCCCAATGTAAGTTTAGTTAGTTGTCGTTGTAACCGCGAGAGGGCGCAAACCCACTTAAGTAATACCATTGTTTAACTATATTATAGTTGGACAACCTATACGGACAATCACTTTCCCATGTAGAAAAGAATGAATATATATTTTACATCTCACTCGCTTCACTATGAAGTGGTGGTACCTTACGAAAGGGGGTAAAAATAGTCCGTAAGCACGTGATGTCGATAAGGTAGTAAACGGACGTATTAATCAGTACGTTGTACGGGGAGCAGTCACAAAATAAGCAAACGTACGTGTTGAAGACTCTACTGTAATATATGCGTCCCTTCGTCCACTTTAAAGGTATACGAAATTAAACGACCACTACTTTAATTAATAAGTAACAAGTCATCTATTTGCCTCCAGAATAACTATGGATTATCATCAAACTATGAACACCAAATTAATTCAATATGAACATCTTCTTACGTATTTTTTTTATTAACAGTAGTCAAATCATTAAATACATATTATTTTTGAAACTAAAATGCATTTTATCCTAAGATTGTATCACAAAATATTCATCACCATTTAAATATATACGATTTAGACATCAAGAAATAAATTTAAAATTGCAAAAATTATACCAAAACAGCCTTAAATGTGTCTTGTATGTACGTGCTTATCAGTATCTAAGGCATTTTAACGCACAGCAATAATCGTTCTTGATGAGTAATGACTGATGACTACTGTAACACAGTAAATCCTCGAAATCGAAAATTTAAAACACTGAAAAATTCAAATATGGGAAAATTGTAAAATCGAGAAATCGAAACATAAAAAAATCAAAAAAATTAAAATTGGAAAATCTAAAATTTAAAAATCGAGAAATTGAACAGTCGGTTAATTCAAAAACCGAAACATCGAAAATTGGAAAATCGAAAAAAAAATGGGACAATCGAAAATTTAAAAATTCCGAAAATTGAAAAATTGAAATATAGAAGAACTGAAAACTCAAAAAATCGAAAAAAAATAATAATTTAAAAATTGAAAAGCTAAAATTGAGAAATCGAAAAACTGAAAAATCACAAAATTGAACGAAATATCCAAAAATTAGGAAATTAAAAAATTGAGAAACAGAAAAGTCAAAAAATTGGTCTAAAGAGTTTAGACAGTACTTCCCTCGCTGTCGGAAATTTGACGACTGCATGCCTATTGTGTTTTTTTTCTCATTACATTTTTGTAGTGGGAATTTAAAAAAAAATTGCGATGACGTCATCAACATTTTTGCAAGGACACGTATATCAGTTGGGATAGATGTAGTGTAATACTAAGAATAAAATTATTATATTCTCAAATTTTCGGGAAAATGAATTGGGTCGTTTGAATATTGATTTGTAATAATCAATAAAATAACGAAACAATTTACTCACGTATACCTACGTATCAGAGGCAACTGAAAATCGTGTATGTATAAACATTGTTAATTTAAGATGACAGGCGTAACAGCATACGTGAGAGCCAAACACAGAAACTGTAAACAAAACGACCGTCGGTTTTATTGCTTCGACTTCCGCTTATTATATAAAACATTGGGTTTTATTTTAATTCTTGACGGTGAAATTCACAATTGGTTGATTATAAACATGTCTATTTCACATTCGCGGAATCAAGTGAACGCATAAAACAAATGCAGGTCTGTAATGTTAAAGTCGATGTAAATAAGCGTGCTACCCTTATGTTTCAACCGAGTTTTTCCTTTAACAAATTTTGTGTCTACCAAATTGGGTTGGTTGGGGTGTAATACTAATAATAAGTGTTGCCTTTAATTTAATCAATAAAATAAATTGACTTCATTAATTTTTTTGAACCACCTCTTAAGAAAATCTAAAAAATATGAATGGAATGATAAATCACAAGTACAAACTCATCATATTTTTTGCATTTTAGATAGGATTTATTCAGCAAAATTTAAGGGTGACGTCATCAATTTTTTTAGGAGGGATGAACAAATACATTTTGAACAAAAGTTTACCATGGTTATAATAACTTTAAAATATTCCCAAGATTTCAAAGCATTCGGTTTTGTAATTCCTGATTAAATCGATAAAATAAATTCACGCCTTCATTAATTTTTTTGAGTCACCCTGCATATGCAAATCCAAAAATATGAATGGAATGATAAATCACAAGTACAGACTCATCATATTTTGTACATTTTAGATACGATTTATTCGGAAAACTTTTGAGCTGACGTCATCAGTTTTTTGTAGAAGATAACCAAATATATTTTGACTAAAAATTTATTATGCTCTTTATAACCTTAAAACATCTGCAAGATTTCAAAGCATTCGGTTTTGTAGTTCCTGATTAAATCAATAAAATAAATTTACGCATTCATTAATTTTTTTGAGTCACTCTGTATATGCAAATCCAAAAAATATGAATGGAGTGATAAATGACAAGTACAGGCTCATCATATTTTGTACATTTTAGATATGATTTATTCGGCAAACTTTCGAGCTGACGTCATCAAGTTTTTGGAGGGGATAAGCAAATATATTTTGACTAAACATTTATTATGCCCTTTATAACCTTAAAACATCTGCAAGATTTCAGAGCATTCGGTTTTGTAGTTCCTGATGAAATCAATAAAATATATTTACGCATTCATTAATTTTTTTGAGTCACCCTGTATATGCAAATCCAAAAAATATTAATGGAGTGATAGTTCACAAGTACAGACTCATCATATTTTGTACATTTTAGATATGATTTATTCCACAAACTTTTGAGCTGACGTCATCAAGTTTTTGGAGGGGATAAGCAAATATTTTTTGACTAAAGATTTATGATGCTCTTTATAGCCTTAAAACATCTGCAACATTTCAAAGCATTCTGGTTAGCAGATTAAAAATTAAATTTCAAAATGTTTTATAATTTTGATTTTTTTTCCAAAAATCTGGACGTTTCGGGTGAAAAGTCGATTCAGAATTGTAAACTACATGTGTAGGACTATGTTATTTTATACAATTGAAAACCCATTTACTATGTACAATTTTGAAGTGACGTCATCGCTTTAGTGGTGGGGATGATTCGACAAATTTTGGTTAGCGTTTTACCATCTACATGATATTCTTAATATAAGTACAAAATTTCACAACAATCGGTCGAGTACTTTCGGAGATTATCTGTCTAATAAAAATCCGTGACAACAGACGGACAGACGGACAGACGGACGGACAGACGGACAGACGGACAGACGGACAGACGGACAGACGGACAGACAGACGGAAATGGGAGACCTATTTCTTCGTCTTCTAGGGGTCATGAAAGATCGAGAAAACGTAAAAGTAGAGAGTCGACCGACGGACTCGATTACAATACTTCCTTTGCTTACGCTCGGGAAGTAAAAAGCAGAGTCGAAAAATCGCAAACTTAAAAAATTGAAAAATTGAAAAATCGAAACTTTAGGAAGTGGAGAAATGGGAATATAAAAAAATAGATTAATTGAGAAATCCGAAAACTAGAAATTCAGAAACGCCAAATTTGAAAAATTAAAAAATATTAAGAAGAACTGAAAAATCGAAAAATCTAATATTTAAAACATTGAAAAGTTAAAATATCCTAAAACTGAAAAATGGAGAAATCCAAACATAAAAAATTCGAAAATCTAAAATTTAAAAATCGAAAAACTGAAAAATCAACGAATCGAGAAGTCGAAAATTTAAAAAATTGGAAAATTGAAATATCGGATAAATCAAAAATCGAAACATCGAAAAATCGAGAAACCGAGGAGCAAAAAATCGAAAAACCAACAAATCGAAAAATCGAAACATTGTAAAATTCAAAAATTGAGACATCGAGAAATCGAAAAATCAAAAGACAAAAAAATCGAGGAGTCGAACAATCGAGAAGTCGAAAAATCGAAAAATTGAGAAACCGAAATAGGCCAAAATCGAAAAATCGAAAACTGAAATATGGAGAAATTGATAAAGCGAGAGATTGAATAATCAAAACATCGAAACATCCGAATCTCAATAAATTGAGATCTCAAAAAATTTAAAAATTCGGAAATTTGAAGAATTAAAATATAGAAGTGGAAACTCGAGAAACCGAAAAATCTAGAAATTTAAAAATTAAAATATGGAAAAGTTGAAAAATTGGGAAATTGAAATATAAAACAATCGGAAAATTGAAAAATCTAAAGTATAAAAAACGAAAAACTGAAAATCCAAAAATAAAAAATAGAAAAATCTAGAAGTCGAAAAATCAAAGGATCGAAGTATTGAAAAATATCAAAACTGAAAGAAATATCCAAAAATTTTCTATTTTTCAATTTTTTGAGTTTTCTTACATTTTTCAATTTTTCATTTTTCAGTTACATATTTCAAATCTTGGGCTTATAATTTTTCCGTTTTGCGATTTTTCAGTCATTTCATTTCCCGATTTATTTTTCGATTTTTCAATCTCTTAATTTTTCGATTTTTCTACTTCTCGATTTTGAATTTCTCAACTTTTGATTTCTCGGTTTCTCAATTTTAATTCCCAGTGTGCCGTTTCCTCGAACATTTGATTTTTCGATTTTTTGGTTTTTTTGTTTTTCGATTTTCCAATTTTTTGATTTCTCGATTCCTCGATTACTCAGTTTTCAATTTCTCGATTTTTTGATTTCCCTATTTTTCAGTTTTTCGATTTTTCTGTTTACTCATTTTTCGAATTTTCGTTTTTTTGACTTTTCGACTTGGAATTTTCAGCTTTTTGTTTTTTCGGTTGTTCGATTGTCGAGTATTCAGATTTTTCGATCATTCGATTTCTCCATTTTGCTGATTCTCAGTTTTTCGTTTTTTTCATTTTTCCATTTCTCGGTTTTTCGATTTTTTATTTTTTGTCGATTTTTCGTATTTTTCATTTTCTTATATTTAGATTTTCCGACTTTTCGATTATGTGGTATTTTGAGTTATCAACCGTTTGTTCCCGAATTTTTAGATCTTCCGATTTTTTGGATTTTTAAAATTTACAATCTTTCAATGTGTGGAATTTTGATTTTTTTTTTAATTTTTTCATAATTAGATTTTTCGAGTTTTCAATAAAATTCTATGATTATGTATGATCTTTTAATTTTTCGATTTTTCTACTTCTCGATTTTGAATGTCTCAACTTTTGATTTTTCAATTTTTCGAATTTTCAATTTTTACATTTTTAGATGCTTCGATTTTTCGAATACTCAATTCAATTGATCGATTTTTCAATTTTACAATTTCCGTATTTTCCGATTTTTCGATTTTTCTATTTTGTCGATTATCAGTTTTTTAATTTTTCAAATTTTTGACCTTTTGATGTTTCGATTTTTCAATTATTCGAATTTAAGATTTCTGGACTTTTTGATTCTTCGGTCTTTCGATTTGCCGATTCGTCGGCGTTTCGATTTTTGGATTTCTGGAGTTTTCAATTTTTCAGTTTTTACATGCTAAGATAAAACTAATTTTGGCAAATCACATACCCTCTAAGAAAAGAGAGGGTGGGTGGGCGGGCCTAGTACATGCTAAGATAAAACTAATTTTGGCAAATCACATACCCTCTAAGAAAATAGGGGTGGGTGGGCGGGGCTAGCACTTGCCAAGATAAGACTGAATAATAATAAGAGTAGACAAAGTAAAAAGGTGCCCCTCCCACCCACCCTTATTCCGTTTTCATCATTCATTTTTATTAGCTCTGAAAGAATTTCACGAGTTTTCAACTTTTGATTATTCAATGTTTAGATTTTTCAATTTTAAAATTATAAAATCGAAAGAAATGCTTAATAAATAAAGGAATTGTAAAATGGAAGACATCGAGAAATCGAAAAATCAAAAGACAAAAAAATCGAGGAGTCGAACAATCGAGAAGTCGAAAAATCGAAAAATTGAGAAACCGAAATAGGCCAAAATCGAAAAATCGAAAACTTAAATATGGAGAAATTGATAAAGCGAGAGATTGAATAATCAGAACATCGAAACATCCGAATCTCAATAAATTGAGATCTCAAAAAATTTAAAAATTCGGAAATTTGAAGAATTAAAATATAGAAGTGGAAACTCGAGAAACCGAAAAATCTAGAAATTTAAAAATTAAAATATGGAAAAGTTGAAAAATTGGGAAATTGAAATATAAAACAATCGGAAAATTGAAAAATCCAAAGTATAAAAAACGAAAAACTGAAAATCCAAAAATAAAAAATAGAAAAATCTAGAAGTCGAAAAATCAAAGAATCGAAGTATTGAAAAATATCAAAACTGAAAGAAATATCCAAAAATTGAGAAATCTAAAAACCAATAAAGCGAAGTCGAAAAATCGAAGAATTGAAGAACTGAAAAATCGAAACTTTGAGAAGTGGGAAAATCAAAAATAGAATAATTGAGAAATCAGAAAATTGAAAATTTAACGCAAAAATTTGAAAAATTGAAAAATTTAAATACTGAAGAACTGAAAAGTCAAAAATCGAGAAATCGAAAAATCTAAAATTTAAAACATGAAATAATTAAAATATCGCAAAATGGAAGAATCGAGAAATCCAATTCAGTTTGAAAAATTGAAAAATCGGGACATCGAAAAATTGGAAAATCCAGAAATTGAAAAGCTCAAAAGAAAAAAATCGAAAAACCGAAAAATCCAAAAAATATAAACATCGAAAAATTCAAACACTGAGACTTCGAGAAATCGAAAAATTGGAGGATCGAGAAATTGAGGAGTCGGAAGCCGAAAAGGAAAGTTAAAAATTGAAAAATTGAGAAATTGAACAATCAAAACCACGAAACATCTGAATTCGATAAATTGAGAAATTAAAAAATTGAATAATCGAAAAATTTTAAAAAAGAAAAACTGGAAAATCGAAAATTAAAATTAAAAAAATCGAAAAATTGAAAAATTGAAATATAGAAGAATTGAAAACTCGAGATATCGAAAAACCTAGAATTTTAAAAAATGAAATATTAAAACACCGAAAAGTTGAAAAATTGAGAAATCGAAGCATTAAACAGTCGCAGAATTGAAAAATCTAAAGTTTACAATAAATTGAAAATCCAAAAAGTAAAAAATCGAGAAATCAAAAAAAAACCATCAATTCAAAAATCGAAAAGTCGAAAAATTGAAATATTGAAAAATCTCATAACTGAAAGAAATATTCAAAAAATTGAGAAAGTAAAAAATTGGAAAATTGAGAAATCGAAAATCTAAAACAGCAAAATCGAAAAATCGTAATCTTAAAAAATCGAAAAATTGAAGAATTGAAGGTGTGAAAAATCGAAACTTTGGGAAGTCCAGAAATGGGCAAATAAAAAAAATACTTTAGAAATCGGCAAACTGAAAATTTAGAAACGTGAAAATTTGAAAAATTGAAAAATCGAAATATTTAAAAACCGTAAAATTAAAGGGGACAAAAATTGAGAAATCGTATCATTGAAACATCGAAAGATTGAGAAATCGAAAAATAAAAAAATCGAGAAATAGAAAATTTGAAGAATGGAAGAATCGGAGAAACCCAAAATTGAAATATTGAAAAATTGAGAGATTTAAAGTTGAAAAATCGAGAAATCGACAAGCCGAAAAATCCCAATAGCGTATTTATAAATCAGGACTATGCTACTTTTTAAAATTTAAATAACATTATAAATTGGAAAATGTTGATTTTTTTCCAAAAATCTTGATGTCTAAGGTGAAAATTCGACACGGATGCACATTTTATTTATTTATTTATTTTATCTTGTTTTCGAAATATAATAAACATTTCAAACAATGTCTGTAACGTATTTTAATGCAAATTATATTCATGTGGTTAACAAAATCAGATGTAATATTAGTGTGATTTTGACCTTAATCTAGATTTTATTACAGCAGAACGGCGTGTCCTTTTTAAATTTTAGAAGTTACGGAAACTAGTTCAACAAACAATTAGTTATCTCGTATTTTTGAAACAAAATCTACCAAAACGTCGGATAACAGCAACTGATTTTCATTGAAACAAACAGTCTTCAAAGCAACCTTTAACAACTCGATATTACAAACATGCCTCTTAAGCTCTTCATGCGTTTTTTTCTGTCTTGTAATTATTTGTAATGTCAACGCCGAAAGTTTATGTCGTTCTGTTATTTACTTTGAATATATATTTTCATTTTGTGTTAATATTTTTGTAACACCACGAATCTAAATTTTACTTTAATCTTGTAAAACTAAACAATTATACCAGTTTAAAAACCCTTGGTAAGTTTCTGTCAGTCTTCAGATATAGTCAAATAAAAATAGGCGTCAAATTCATTTAAATACAATTCTTTCGTATCACGTTACAACGCGTTGCTTCATATTTTTTATGGCAAGTATATTTTCGTATTTTGTACATATATGTTTATACACATTACTGTTTACGGAACAATGTTAATTATGGATTTATGGATAACTCCTCGTATAAGAGCAGAGTGAAGGGTGTTTGCCTTTGCTAATGTTTGATGGCGCCATCTGATGTAGAGTAAAATAAATCTAATAATCTAAACAATGGTAATACATTGCGTATTTTTGGGTCAGATGACGTAAACAGCAGCATGAACCAGCGCGACAAGAACCTAACCAGCGTCCAAGACTTCGACGCCGCCATCAAAGAACTGGAAGAGAGAACCAAAAGACTGAACGAACCTCGCGGGTCTAACGCCAACCTCCAGGACCGACTGATCGCAGACGTGGACAGTTTACAAAATCAGATTCTCAGTCTCCACAACATCAACGAAGACAGGAGTCAGATGTTGCAGATGTTGGACAACCGAGACAGCGAACTGAGGGCCCAACACATCGAGCTCCAGAGCAAACTCAGCGAGTTGCAAACCAAAAAATTGCAAATCGATCAGTTAGTTACGCAGCTGCAAACAATGGAAGACGCGGAGGAGGACGACGTTGGTAAGTTGTTCCACAAAAAAAGTACCCCGGTACTAACGCCGAGTAGGGATGCAAGTGAGACGCATCGTCACCATGAAGGATCAACTATCGAAACTGAAGGACATGTTGGAGATCGTGAAAACGACGGAGACGATGGTGCAGAACTCGAACTCGCAGGAAGAACAAGAGCAAGCTTGCGAGATCTGCACGAAAGCCGAGAACTTCCTCCAGAAGGACATGGAGAAGAGGAGGACCCCGGTGCAGATCCAGCACGAGAACGTACCACGCCGGTACGACAATACGGGCTTGAACGAGAGTAGACCGAAGCAGGTGAACAAGAACGCGATCACGTACGACAGACAGAGCGGCTACGGAGGCGCGAAACCCAAAAGCCGCAGCAACAGCAACAAGATGGCGCTGCAAGTCGAGCTCGAGGCGAAGAAGCGCGAACTCGAAGAAATCATGGGGAAACACAAAGGTAAGTCAGTCGTTTTCCGAACGCAAACCAAACTAAGTCTCCCTAAGCTGGGACTTCCAATTTGAATCATGACGTCGGCACCGACAACAAGTCCGAGTTCAGTTGTTCGAGCAACGCGTACTTTGACGGGGCCCCGAGTTGGGCGCCGATCATGTCAGACCATAACAGGTTCGAGTCGAGCGAAAGCGAAGAGGAGTGTCCCGAAGACCAGAACGAATACTCGGAGTTGAATCACCCCAACCAGGCTTTTACTCTTCCGGTGTTGAACTATCCGCCTAAAGCGGAAAAGAGTAGGTCGATGCATAGCGCGGATTATGTTCAAGTTCCAGATCCTGACCGCTTGTCTAGCATGCCGCGGACGCCTGAGCGGTCGCCACGCGAGAGGGCGCGCTCGAATAGTGAGCAAAGTGGTAAGACGCAGGTGCAGAAGCAACTGGAGCTCATTCGGAGCGTGTGCGATTCGATGTTGGAACAGCAGACGCAGAGCGTCAACGTGAGGAATAACCTCACTCCGAGTAGTTTGTATTCGGAGCCGCGACGCTTCGCGTCGCCTAATCCTCATTCGATGAACGCGCTGGTGGAGTCTCCGTGGGCGCCACCTGACCCAGCGGGCTACCAAGGATGGTTAGTTAGTTAGTTAGTTGGTTAAGTTTGGGTTTTTGTCACTAAAAAGGGTTACAGGTTGGCTACAAACACTCTCCAGACGCAGGCTTTCATGCTGAACACGTTGAACCAGTGTTGTCAGATGTTGTGGCTGCAACAGCGCGAGTTGATCGCGCTGAGGCAAGCCGTGAGTCAGTTACAAGAGAGGGATAACCCGCATTACGAGAATCACAGCCATCTGGCGTCACCTATGCAAAACCCGGAGAGTCGACGGTCCAACCAGAAGGTTAACCAGGTTCCGGCGGCTTGTTCAATGCCCAACTTGAACCAGTACAACATCCCTTCCGTCAATTTAGACCCCTCCTATCAGAATAACGCCCGATTGCTCGATCAGTGTTTGAATAACACGAGTGGTGACCACATTAACAACAGTGTGCTGCATGCTGTTAATGCTAACATTAACCAAATGTCCGGCCAGATGTGGAATGGACAGGCGCTGAATAACCAGGTCGCGCCAGGCAATAGAGCTAACAATTACTGGGACAATTTTAGAAGGTAATCTAGTTTTTCGTTTGTTTTTAATCCCCTTCCCTTCTCCCTCCTAGCGTTTCTCCCCTCCCTTCATCCCTTCCACGCGCGCGGGACGACTCTCGACCGATCAAGTGAGGATCGCTGCGGACTCCATTCCGAACGATGTCACCCTTTTTCTTGCAGTTACTCCCGCCAGAACCTCCTTTCGACGAAGAGCAACGAAGGCTTCCAGTCGAGCTTAGAACGCTCGAATAACCCCTTCGCGATAGTTTCGTTGTCCAAAAGCAACTCCGATCACACCTCGTCGCAAGAAAACACTCCTCTGAGGCGAGCGCGCACGAGGAACTCCGAACGCAACAACTCGGCAGTTCCTCCAGATGTTTTGAACGTTAATCACAACATTAATAAAACGATAGACTTGGCAAGCAATCGGAATGTGAACGAAAACGACTATGCTTTCGCCTACAACGAGATCAGCTCGAATAACTCGAATATATCGGAGGAGCAGATTTTTAAAGAGGGGATTTCGGAGAACGCGAGCAGGAGGAACGAGTGGCACGAGGAACAGTCAGAGGAACACCATCCAAAGTAAACAACACGCGAAACGAGAACAGAGAACTAAGCATGTAGTTGTAGGTCGAAACTGTTCGAGGAACTCCGCGAACACGTCTACAAAGAAGTCGTCACTTTGATTTCGGCGAATGAGACGCGACCGCACTTCTTGATACAGCTGTTTAGAGACTTACAGATGATCAGCTCTGACCCGTTAAGACTGAAAATTTTGCAGAGCATCCAGACTATAATCACGCATTCGCTGATTTCGGCGAACCACACCAACAGACAAGTATGAAACTCGGGTCGGTTTAACCGAAACCGTCGGCAGTTCGGTATAATGTGGTTTTCTAGGTTCCGGAGCCGCAGCAAACCGATCCGGTTATAACCGACGGCGGTTTCTCCTTACAGTCGACAGTATGGTCCAAGTCACTCAAAAATCCGGCAGTCACGTCAAGAAACACCCTCCATATGGTACTTCGTCGCGTTTCCACTAACCCGTTCTAGTGTGTTTTTTTCAGGAGAACGAATCCGAGACGGAATCCGTCATCAAAGAGATCATCCCCTACTTAAACGACCATGAGGATGACGTCATGACTCAGCCCTTTTTGTTAGCTCTTAAGCAGGTTCTGCTCGATTCTGATTCGTTTCAGGAGACAGTTCGGGACTCAGTATTCAAGAAGCATTTCTCGAATGTTCTAGACGAGGTTCTGGCGCAGTATCACGGCAAAAAGTGAGTTTGGGGTGTAGAGTTCGTTGAATAATTTTGTGTTTGAAGAGTCCGAGACGTGAAGATGCACTTGATCCAAACCATCAACGACTTGCTCAAAGGTGAGCTTTCTTTTATTCAGTTGATACAGGATACGTGTCCGGAAAACTGCGAAAATAGCGAGATCGGGGCTTTCGATTCGCCGCCGAGCGCCGCCACTAACGGGCAAGTCGAGAGCGTGCAGAACGGAGATTTGGCGGAGGCGGATCAAGGGAGGGTGGAGGATGACGACGTGGAGGAGGAAGGGGCGGTGGGGGGGTTTTGGGACTTGCAGATGGAGGCTTCGGCGGTGAACGAAGAGGTGGATGTTGGAGGGATCGAGTTCCAGAATAACGCTGAAGTAAGTGGTTTTGGTGTCAGTAGTGCGATTGAGTTTTTTGTTGTAGTCTCAGACGCAGTTTATTAAGCAAGGTTTGGATCAAGTACCGACTCGGTTGCCCACAAAGTCGCGTTCTAACACTCCCAGTAAAGGTGGGTTGCGTCCGAGTGATTGATATGTGTTAACTGGTGTGTTTCCAGATCGGTCGACTTCGTCGCGTTCAGACCACCCAGACCAGTTCTAATTTATTCAGTTGTCACATACTCACTTATTTTACTTAAGAAAATAAACAATCAAAACTGACTCAAACTTTATTACTCACGAACATATACAAAAATACAAACTTGTCTAATCGTACAAAAGCCTTAACAGCTACGAGCATTTCCTAACCAGAGACGCGGAGAAACTTTTAGCGCTAAGTCAACCGAGTTTCTCACTTCTGTGGCCTGAAAATGTACAAAGAAATGTGTAGTCGCTTATACAAAAAACGGTTAGGCGTGAGACAATTTCCTCACAAAAAATTGATTTACAAGCCATCGCTATTCCAATGATACAGTGTACAACCGTGCGTTTCTTTAAGCAGTTCTTCGAACAAGTCTTCGCTCGGATCGGTTTTTTTCTTCGCGTTGGCACTTATTTTTTCTGAGGAAAAAAACCGAAGTTGAGAGGGTGCAACGTAAATTCGACTATTATATTAATCTAGGCTATTGATTTATATGTAATGACCCATGATGCATCGCGGCATGTCGGGGATATTATGGGTTGGTTTTCGTAACTTTGCGTCTCTATTTGGGCTTGCTGAGAGTTGTTGACAGGCGAAAGGATTACATTCTGAAATGATTTCAGAATTAAAAAGAGTTGCACAGCGTGTTTCTAAGCAAGCGGGGGCGCAGCAACAACTTTGATATGCACATCAACTGTCACTGATAAGGAGAAATATCAATAACAAATATTAGCTCGATGAACTAGTCGTAGACAGGAGTGCCAATGGACTTTCCCGCCGTCGCAACACCTGCAGTAATAATGTTTATCTTTCATGAATATTAAAAAAAGACAGATTAACACTCAAAGAGCAGTTGCCAGAGTAGAAAGTGACACTGTTTCTATATACATTGCTGAAATATGAAGGTACTAAGTGTTATACTACGTCGTTTACACTGAAGCCTTTTAATTAAGATTATAAATCGGAGTAGATGGTGTGCAATAAATAAGTCTGACACGCGCAATAACTCGTTTTCAGTCTTGAAATGTTTAAATATAACTTCAACACTTCAACTATGTAGAGTTCGCTTTTAAGAATAAATTTGAATTCCAATTTTGAATTCTTATGCTAATAGGACATAACTGGCTACAAATCTATGAAGAAACTTGTGTTACAGACGTCGAAACACTTTGCTTTACTGCTACGCCGGGAAACCCGGTGTCAAAGTTGTATCCGCTTGACGACAGAGGGCGCAGCTGCCCACGGCTCGCTTTTTGCGCCAACTGTACGCGTCGCTTGATTTATGGAACACGCTGTACACAAAGCACCCAAAGCCCCTATTTGCAGACCACAGCCCGTTAAACGAGGCCACCTCTGTTGCTACGCGGGCCAATCGATAATATACAGGGCGTCAAACAATCCCATTCATTCTATTTCCAGCCACCCACAAAGCTGTCGCAACCTCTATTTACATCGCGCCCACCTCATCGAACAAGCAATTTTCCGGCAACTCTAAAAATAACCCATTACAACAAACAAGCGACTCACCGTTTTGGCGCCGTTTTTTGAAGTCCCTCAAATCGTTGCAAAAGTCCCAAGCGCGTTTCCGGCTTCCGGAGTTGTTCTGTGCGACGCTCTCGAACTGCACTTCCATAAAGCACGCGTGGGGCGCCGGCGGCTCCTCTCTGTCTTTCTCCAGCAAGGGGGGCTGGTAGCCGTAGTAGCCGTTGGAGGAGAGGTTCGTCAGGCTTCTAACCCCCGGTATGTAGTTCATGTTGTCTTGGACGATCGGTAACATGCTGAAGTTGAAGTTGTCTCGCATTGCAAGCTTTTCTAACCGTGTTCAAGCGTCAGCTGCTCGCTTCCTAGTGAGATTGCGTAGCACACGCTAAATAAATTCCGGCTACCGGTAAAGCGGCTGCCGCATGCGAACTTTCACTTTAGGCGGAACGGAACGTGGTGGCGCAAGGGGGAACGGCAGCGTGGGGGGGCCTCGAAACATAACCAAAAAGCCGTTAGAAAATGACAATTTTGCGAAAATTTGAGTTTTAAAGATCGGCTGGGATCGGCCGAAAACGAACGTGCACGAGTAGTTTTCCACGAAAGTTTTTCTTGGCAAGCGCTGTGGAAAAACATCGCTTGCTTTAAAATTAACCGAAATGATCTAATTTTCGCGATTTAGTGCTTTCCCACACGATCGCGGACCAACCAGACGCACTTTTCCAGAAAACAGCGGCTGATTTTGGCCGGTTTGAACTGACGTTTGCGCAGTGTTACCAATGTCGACTGCAAATAAATATCATCGAATAAATACAAGAAATATTACACTAGTGTGCGTTAAAGCGAGCCTTGTTGTTGCGATTAAAGATTAAAGAAAGTTCGTTGCGAAACATTATTACTTGTTTTATGAAAGAGGGGCTCCGTTCGCTTTCAAACCCAACGCAACGAATTCCCCTAAGCGATCGGTGTCAGTGACATTGCACCGTCGACAGCACCTAACCTCTCTTTGTAATTTCTAATTCTAATGATATTTTAAGTTTTTAATTGCACAAATAACTCCAAAATGATTGAAACAACGCCGTATAGTATCTTCAAGGTCGTGTTTTTTTACTGTGCGATTATTTTGTTTGCACCTATTACGACGTTCTTTGGAATGAAATATTTCTTTTTTGAAGGTAAAGCAAGTGAAATCTTGGGTATTTATGACAGTGTGAACGTTTCAGGACTTATTGGGACTGGAAATTTAGCGAGTAACGTCTGGTCTGCCGTTTTGGCTGTCGTCGTTCTGCATATTGCGTTAGGCTGCTTCATTTATAGAGCCTATTTTGACGGTGGGAAGGCAAAGTTGGACGAGAAAGTAGACTAGATTGTATATTTATCATGTCATGTTCCGTTTTGTAAAATAGTACCTTTGTATAAGTATTAAGAATGTAAATGTAAGTTGAATATATTTTAACGGGAGTAGGTCACGAATGTGATTAACTTCAGGTGCATAGATAAATAATACTACGTAAAATAGAATGCAAACTCGGCTGTAATGCGTGTCCCAGGTTTGTGTCTAGGCTTATGTACCGGCCACATAATAAGAGATAGCACTGATAGCAGTGAAGTATTTTTTTCCAAAAATTACTTGGCGACAACTTCCACAGCCAATTTTAAGAAACAATAAAAAAACTAATGTCATTTATGATTAGTATAAAAGTGTCATTTGTGTGATTATACGTGATAACAAAGCGTAAAATATGAAACTATGCAGTGTTTTGAAATGTCTAAACACTAAAATTAGCAAACGCCATCGTTTTCCCAACCCCTACAAATACAACGAGCGTTTTAAAATTTGGTTGGAACGGACAGCAAAGGCAAATTAGATCCCATGAAAATATATAAAAATGGATATTTTCTTTGCGATGTACATTTTAAAGAAACGGATTTTGGCCCCAATCAAAAACTTAAAAATACTGCTATTTCTACAATTCAAATTATGCATGGTAAATATTTGTGTGCAAGTGAATCCCATAGATAATTTTTACAATAATTTCAGATAATATGAACTACTCCGAAAGACACACCCATGATCCCGTAAACCCTATTTCTATACTGGATTCTCAAAAATTTTGTACTGAAGTATCTCGAAATTCCAGAGAAACCCTAAACGAAACTTTAAACCAAGAATCTTCTCGAATACTAAATTTACATTCAAATTCTAGGAATATTTCGCGTACAGCCCGTAGAAACAAAATTAAGGTAGCTTCGTATCGCCAACGATTGAAATTATACTCCAAATTTGAAGTAAAATTAGAAAGCAAAATTTTAAGTCAGGATGCTATAAATTTTTGTTTATCACAATTAAAAAGACGAAATGTCAAACCAAAGGGTCGCAGGTTTACCACTGAAGATAAATTATTTGCATTAATGTTTTATAAACAGTCTGGGAGATGTTGTAGAAAAATGAGACAGATTTTTGCACTGCCTTCACGTCAAACAATTATGTCTATGTTGAACAAAATTCCAGTAGACGTTGGTATAAACAAAATAATTTTCGACAATCTTAAAGAATCTGCTTCAAAATTAAATAACCAAGATAGAATATGTGCATTAATTTTTGATGAAATGTCCATAATGCTCCACATAGACTGTGACAAATATACGGATACATTTTTCGGATTTCAAAATTTTGGATTTGAACAAAATTTACAGATAGCAGATCATGTTCTTGTTTTTTTCATTCGCGGAGTGTTTAAAAAATGGCAACAGCCAATATAATTTGCATTTTCTTTTTCGTCTACAAAATCTTACATATTGACAACTATTATAAAAACTCTGGTTGAAAAAATACAAAATTGTGGATTCAAAATTCTGGTTACAATTTGTGATCAAGGCCAACCAAACCAAGCAGCTATAAATTCTCTGCTAAATGAGTCGAAACAACGTTATATACATAAAGGGATGGAACCTAAAAGAAGAATTTTATTAGGGGATCAAGAAATTATTCCATTATATGACACGCCTCATTTAATTAAATGTATTAGGAACAATCTGCTTACTAAAAATTTAGTGTGGAAAACAAGCGAGGAAATTTTGGTTGCAAATTGGAAACATATAATCGATGCGTACTACAGTGATCAACCATGTGGAGAATTACGGGCTCTATACAAAATTACGGATCTCCACGTAATTCCGGAAAAAATTCAAAAGATGAAGGTGTGCTATGCGACACAAGTTTTGAGTCACTCAATGGCATCGACTATTACGCTATTGGTGAAATCTAGTAAATACAAATTTAAAAATAATTAACTGATTCATTTACAATTTAATTTTACAGCCGAATGCAGTTTAACACACGAGGCAATGGGAACAGCACGAATTATAAAATTTTTTGACAAGCTCTTCGACAGTGTAAATGGCCGTACTTTTCAACCATGGTGCAGAAAATCATTTTCTGGGGGCGTATTTAAATATTCTGGTCATAAACATTTTTGGAAGGAAGCTATCAAAATTTTGGGTGATATGTATTTCGTCGATGAGGCCGGAAAAATGGTAGTACCTCCGTGTATAAAAAACTGGATTGCAACGTTAGAAGGTTTTGTGGATTTACATACAATTTTAGTAGAACAGAGCAGGTGCAAATATTTTTTACCTAGATGTTTAAATCAAGATGTTATTGAAAACTATTTTGGCAAAATCAGAAGTCAAAGAAATCGAGCAACTAATCTAACGGCAGCCCAATTTAAGGAAAGTTTCAAATCTCTATTATTACGGAATTTTTATAGTTCAAATTCAGTGGGCGCAAACTGCGAGAAAACGAACATACCGGATTTATTTCATATTAAAGGACTTGTGGATAAAAACATAAATCAACCTTCAGTAAATGAAACGAGTTACGAAATTTTAAACGTGAATATGTACATTTCAAAACTGTCTCCATATAATTTAGAAAAAGATCTACATAAAAGTATTGTTGGTTATGTGTCTGGCTGGGTTGCGAAAACATTAAGAAATTTGAAGTGTGAATATTGTAAAACCCAAATTTTAAACAATTTTTCGGAAGACGAATAATGTTACAAATTAATACGTATAAGAGAATACAATTGTAATAACAGAAAATTGCAATATTGTAAGTTAGATTTTATAAAAAACATTAACAGAATTTATAATATTTCAAGAATCATTTTAAACAATTGTACATCTTTCGACAACATCAAAAACAAAATTTCGTTTATAGTATCTCATCATGTCAAATTTTCGTTTCATTGTGAACATAAGGAATTAATTGAAAGTGAAATATGTAATAAAATTATATATTTAACAATTTTTACGTTTGTAAAAGGTTTGAATTTAATTTTAAGCGGTCGCGATACAAGAGTTTCCACACATAAAAATGCATTATATCAAAATGCTTGTATAATGTACCAAAAAAAATTAAAGTCAAAAAATCGTAGACAATACTAATAAATTGTATATTATTCTACTCTGTGTTTTTGATATTATTAGTGATAATAAAAATAAAATATTAATTATAAAATATGCAGCAATGAGGCATCTAGTAGTTCATGCTTTAGCACCGGCCACAAGGCACCAGCTGCAGGGAGCGTTTATTGGGACCAAAAATCAAGTGGGAGTTTGCATTCTATTTACGTAGTATTATTTATCTATGTTCAGGTGGGAATAGAGGTGGCATCTATTGTTGTGGTTTGTAACTAATCTGACACATGTAGAAACACTTGTGATTGGCTGATCAATATGTAGAGGGGGAAATGGCGGACAAAAGTTTAATCAAATGTAAATAAATTCCGTAATCCTTGTCAATTTTTAGCTGAGATGTTTTGATCAGTATTATATGTTAATGTAAATATAAAAGAAATTGTTTTTACAATATCTTCAATGGCACGTCAGAAATAAATTCTGTCTTCTACTATGAGATTATCGATCATCCTGGAACCGATTTCTTTGAAATTAAAAATGTACTTTAATTATTACGAAAATGTAAAACCAACAGTAACAACTTTCACACACATTTTTAAGCCAATGTGGTCCTTATTAGGGAGTTTGTAGGCGAAAACTGCATTCGGTGCTAATAAGTCATGAAATAATTAATAATTGTAATTAAATTGCGAATTCTAGTGCCATCTATGGTTGTTTTATTATAACCTCCTACAGTCACCATTTCGTAATTTGATTGGTTCATTGACCGGTGATAGTGGCGGCAAAATTAATCATTCAAATTAAATGTATGCTTTCACTCCAGTATCGATTGAAATAGCTTCAGTACTTATCACTTCTTATCAACATAATATTGATTAGTATTTCCCAAACACGAATGTTCATACAAAAAAACCGCACTATAATCAAACACCGAGTAATTATAACGGTACAAATTCCACGACGCTACGTGTTAAGTTGGAGGTTCACAGAGTTCACTAGTTTTCGATGAAGAAGATAAAGAATAAAAGAAACGTGAATAAAATATGAGGCAAATGGTATTTCCGCGATGAATTGCCTCAATACCCGCGTTGTCAAGGTTGGGAGATAAGATATTTAACCGATAGTTTAAAAAAAACTCATTAGTACAACTTACAACTCTTGTGATTGTCACCAAAATGAGGGACTTAAGCTCGCTGAGTAAAGTCGAACTGGAAGAGTTTTTCAGTTCTTTTGATCGCGTTTTATCAGACGTGGACGGTGAGTTTTTCTTCTTTTGTTTTTTTTTTTAATGTTTTATGATCGTATTTTAGGTGTATTGTGGTTGTTCTTGGAAAGCATACCAGGCACACCCGACGGCATAAAAGCCTTCAAAAAACTAGGAAAAAAAGTCGTCTTCGTTTCCAACAATTGCACAAAAACCATAGAAGTCTACCACGGCCAGTTAAAAAAAGCCGGTTTTGACATAGAACCAGACGAAATCATCACCCCGGCCCTCGCCATGATTTCCTACTTGAAAAAAATCAACTTCACCAAAGAGATCTACGTGATCGGGATGTCCGCCATCCGCAAAGAACTCCAACAAGCCGGGTTCACACTAGCCGAAACTGGCGTACGTAAAAACTCACAAATAAAAAAACCCTAACCACAACAATTCCAGCCAGACCAAATCAAAGAAACCCTCCAGGATTTCGCCGCCAATACCATCATCACCAACGAAAACGTCGGCTGCGTGGTGGCAGACGCAGACATCAATCTTAACTACCTCAAGCTACAAAGAGCGGCCACGTTCCTGAAGGACCCGGCCGTGATTTTTATCACCGGGGCGACGGACAGGAAGTTGCCAATAGGTTTAAACCACATCCTGGTCGGGCCTGGGTATTTCCACCGAATCTTGGAAGACATATCTGGGAGGAAACCATACGCACTGGCCAAGCCCAGTTCACACCTAAACGAATACATTGTGGAAAGGCTGAAAATCGAAGATAAGGCGAGGGTGTTGTTCATCGGAGATTCGTAAGCAGATAGGTTTGGTTTAACCGGTTAATCGGTTTATAGAATTTCAGAAGATATGGCTTTTGCAACTACCGCGGGGTACAAGAAGTTGCTGGTTTTGAGCGGACTGGCGAAGAAGGAGGCGGTTTTGGATTGGAAGTTCCCGGAGGAGTTCAAGCCGGATTTTTACGTGGATAGTTTGAAGACGGTGCACGATTTAGTGGAAAAGCACTTTGGGGCTTGTTAGAACTTATTTATTTGTTGTACGTTATAATTTATAATAAACTGGTGTATTGAGAGTTGTCTATTTATTGTTTGCTCTAGAATGGGTGTTAATGCGATAAACTGTGAGTAGTCAGATTAAATCAAGGTTATTCCCATGAGCGTGTTCTGACTCAACAGTTCGTTCAGAATGATAAGAAATCGTGATTGTGATCGATTTTTGTGAAAATGAAGAACCTAAGTTCTGTCACTAAGCTAGCACAACAAGCTTTTTTTAGTTCGTTTGATTATGTCTTCTGCGATGTTGACGGTAAGCATAATCGTAGCCTTGACTCATCAGGGTCAACAATTCTTATGTAAATTAATAAAGTCGGTGTCATATTTGCTTTAGCCTAAATTTTAAGACAAAGTAACGTGTTCTCAAAACCCAAAATCTGTTGATTTTGAAGGATTGTTATCACAATTCCATTTCCATATAAAAAATTACAAGGGTCAATTTAAAAATAAACCCCGTTTCCTCAGGAGTCTTATGGCACTCCCACGAGCTCATCCCCGGTTCCCGCGACGCCATCGCCGCCCTCAAATCCCTCGGTAAAAAAGTCTTCTTTGTCTCCAACAACAGCACGAAAAACCAAGACGTATACTACGCCCAGCTAAAAACCGCCGGCTTCGACCTCCAAAAATCCGAACTCATCCGGCCGCCCATCGTCATGATCGACTTCCTCAAGAAGCGCAACTTCACCAAAGAAATCTACCTAATCGGGATGGCGTCACTGCGCGGCGAACTCGAGAACGCCGGTTTCAAAATCTCCCGCTTCAACCTAGACAACCCCGAAGAGTCCGTTCCGAAGTACCTCAAAACGTGTATCACGGTTGACGAGAACGTGGGGGCGGTCATTGCCGATTTGGACCTGAACATGAATGTGGCGCAGCTGCAGAAGGCTGCGACGTACTTGAACGACCCGGAGGTCATTTTTATCACGGGGGGGTCCGACAGGAAGTTGTTTTTCGGGCCGGGGCAGCTTGTGATAGGGCCGGGGAAGTTCCACGAGATTTTGGAGGAGATGAGTGGGAGGAAGCCGCATTGTTTGGCGAAGCCGAGTCCGGAGTTGAATGATTATATTAGGGGGAAGTTGGGGGTGGAGGATGCTTCGAGGGTGCTTTTTATTGGAGATTCGTGAGTATGGAGGGGTGAGTTGGTGGGTATTGAAGGGGGTGTTGTAGGATTCCGGAGGATATGGGGTTTGCGACGAATTGTGGGTATCAGAAGTTGTTGGTGTTGAGCGGGTTGACTTCGAGGGAGACCATGGAGAAGTGGGAGTTTCCTGAGGAGTTTAAGCCGGAGTATTACGTGGAGAGTTTGAAGGTTGTCTGGGAGAGTCTATCGGGGAGTACATAAGTCGACTTATACCCCCAAGGTGCTAATTCATGTGATATAATGGCAACAGTTATATTTGTTCAAGTTGTTGTTAACGCATTTAACGCAAGCTAGTTATTTATTAAAGGAAAACATGCAGTCGTAAATTTTCTTACCAATGCCATTTTTTTTTTTTTATTTGATAAGACACAACTAAAAAATTCCCGTTCCGAAGGTTAGGAAAAGGTTATCATCATATACTACGTTCTAGTACCGTTGGTGGTAGTACAAAGATCACCATGAGAGACCTAACCACCCTCACCATCCACGAACTTGAAAACTTCTTCAACTCTTTCGACCAAGTCCTCTGCGACATGGATGGTAACTTTAAACTTTTCAAGTTTCCTTCACCTGAATTTTTAGGAGTTCTTTGGAATATCGTCCAGAACATACCCGGAGCGTCAGACGCCATCTCCTCCTTACAAAAATTGGGTAAACAGATCATCACCCTCTCCAACAATACAACCAAATCGATAGATGCGTACCACAAACAACTACAAGAAGCCAATTTTGACATAGAAAAAAGCCACGTGGTGACTCCAACTCCAGTCACGATCTCCTACCTACGAAAAAACAATTTCGCCAACAAAAAAATCTTCGTCCTTGGTACCACTGTGTTGAAAGACTCTCTTAAAGAAGCAGGCTTCGTTTTGGCCGACAATGGAGTAAAGAACTTTTTTCTTGACACTTAGACCCTAACAACCACTTTGTAGCCCGACCGAATCGAAGAAACGTGTCACCAGTTTGCCTCTTTATCTTCGGATGACGACGACGATGTGGCTGCGGTGATAGTCGATCTTGATTTAAACATAAACTACGTAAATTTGCAAAAAGGGGTAAGTTACATATTTGCAAAAGCCGGAAGTCGAGTTTCTTTGTGGAGCCAGAGATGAGAAAAATACCTTCGGGAAGAAGAACCACTTTGTGTTAGGACCTGGGAATTTTGTTAAAATTTTGGAAAATGCGACTGGACGGGACGCCATAGGGATGGCAAAACGTAGCCGCTGTATGAACGAGTACCTAATGGAGAAGTTCCAAATGGGCAAGGACCCTTCCAGAGTACTACTCATTGGTGATTCGTAAGTGACACCACAGCCAAAAACGCTAATTAGGTGCAGAATTTCAGAAGACATGGTTTTTGCAGCACAGTGTACATACCAAAAGTTGTTGGTTTTAAGTGGTTTGTCTACGGTGAGCGATTTAGAAAAGTGGGCGTTTCCTGAAGAGTACAAACCCGACTTCTACGTGGACAGCTTGAAAACTGTCCACGAATTAATAGAGAAAGTTTTTGGAACGAAGTTGTAACGTTGTTTTTGACAATAAATCATAAAAGAGGGGCGTTTGTCACTTGGAGGGGCGGAGTCAGTTACATTATTTAAAAGTTAAATAACGATTGTTCTAACGATTAGGAAAGGAGGTTATCACTGTATAAACAAGTGCGCACTCAAACACCACTTGTATAAAAAGCAGAAACATATTATTGATGTTAAATAGTGCGAAATCACCATGCGTGACCTAACCACTCTTAACGTACAAGAACTTGAAGCCTTCTTCAACTCTTTTGATACAGTTTTATGCGATATTGATGGTAATGTCGCGTCGTTTGAACAATTTTCACTAGACCCATGTTGTAGGGGTTTTATGGAATGTCCTTCACAGCATACCCGGTGCTACTGATGCAATCTCTTCGTTAAAAAAAATAAACAAACAAGTTATCTTGGTCACTAACAACACAATCCGAACTACCTCTACTTTATACAAAGAACTAAAAGACGCCGGTTTCGACATCGAGGAAAGCAGTTTGGTGACACCAGCACTAGCCATGGTGTCCTACTTGCGCAAACACAACATCACCGACAAAAAAATCTACGTCATAGGAATGACTCCACTTAAAGACCTTTTGAGACAAGCAGGCTTCGAGATAGTTGACATTCCAGTACACAACCATTTTCCGATTACTCTTGTTTGACGATCACTTTGTAGGCCGGGCGCATCGAGGAGTCAGCTCAAACACTAATCGCTCTCACTACCGTCGACGACGAAGACGTCGGCGTCGTCATAGCCGACGCCGACGTCAACAGAAATTACGTGAAACTCCAGAAAGCTGTGACTTTTTTGCAGAGGAAGGACGTGGTGTTTCTGAGTGGCGCCACCGATGAGAAGCTATCACTAGGAAAGGGCTACATTTTACTCGGTCCTGGGTACTTTTTGAAAATTTTGGAAGACATGACAGGACGAAAAGCCATCGCTTTGGCAAAACCGAACGCTAACTTGAACGACTACGTGGTGGATGAGTTTAAAATAAAGGATCTTTCCAGGGTTTTGTTTATCGGGGATTCGTAAGTAGGTTGGAGGTTAAGTGCTAAGGTGGTTCTAGAATTGCAGAGGATATGGGGTTTGCGGCGACTTGTGGGTATAAGAAGTTGCTGGTTTTGAGTGGGCTGGCGAAAAAGAGTGCTTTGGAAAAGTGGGAGTTTCCGGAGGAGTACAAGCCTGATTTTTACGTGGATAGTTTGAAAAGTGTACACGATTTGATTGTACGTGTTTTGGAAACGAAGATGACAACTACAAAAAAATAAAAACGTGTTTCAAACTTTGGCTTCTTCTTTCAAATAAACTTTCATACTATATTTCGACGTAAACGCATCAAAAACAAGAACAAATTTATTGTAATACGAAAACAATGAATTTTGTTAAAATGCATGTTGTGAACATTGTCAAGGTCTAACTATCAACAGAATTTACATTGTTCTTAAAATTAACAACGCTTAAGTGGATTTCCATTGTCTAGCATGTTAACATGCACATATTATTTTTTTGTAACAGTCGTAACTAAATCGCAGCCATAAAAGCTCAAATCTGATGATGTACTGTTGACTCAAACTAATAAATAGTTGTCTGCCGCTGCACATGCACTCTGTTTAGTGTTTACAAGATGCAAGACTTGACTAAACTCACGAACCAAGAACTTGAAGAGTTCTTCAACTCTTTTGATATCATTTTATCAGATATCGACGGTGGTTTACCTTTTTTTGTTGTTCTACGGTATATTGTACATTTTTCAGGAGTACTCCGAAACGTCCTTCAGCCAATATCAGGGTCCGTAAACGCGGTAAAATTTTTGCAAAAAATGGGTAAACGATTCGTCCTTGTAACAAACAACACGTCAAAATCCATCGAAACAACATACCAAGAACTAAAAGTAGCAGGTTTTGAAATCGAAAAAAGCGAAATAGTGTCACCCATAGCACCCATAGTTGCCTACTTGCAGAAACAGAATTTGGTTAACAAAAAAGTGTTTGTAATTGGAATGGGTGTACTCAAGCAGGCAATAAAAGACGCTGGATTTATTTTGGCACCATATGGGGTATATATCCATTTTGTGTTTGTTTAGTATAACACAGACCTTGCAGCCGGACCGGATTAAAGATTCAACAGAGATGTTTTATTCTTTGGCCATTGAAGACGACACCACTGTTGAGGCGGTTATTTGCGACGTAGATTTTAACCTGAATTATCTAAATCTGCAGAAAGCAGAAACTTTTTTAAAAAGACCAGAAGTCATTTTCATTGGTGGGGCTCCAGATGTAAAGTTCCCGGTAGGAACAGGTGGGCGGATTTTGCTAGGGCCGGGAATTTTTTTGAGGATTCTGGAAGGAATGTCCAAACGAACGTCCATCCACATGTCAAAACCTAGCCCCTTTTTGAATGACTATATTATGGAAAAGTATGGAATAAAAGATCGGTCTCGAGCTTTGTTCATTGGTGACGTGTAAGTAGGAAAGAAGTCCAGATTTGCTAATACGGTTTCAGAATTCCGGTAGATATGGCGTTCGCTGGTAATTGTGGCTACAGGAAGTTGCTGGTTTTGAGTGGTTTGGAAAGCAAAAGTTCGTTGGAAAATTGGGGGTATGAAGAGAAGTGGAAGCCCGAATTCTATGTGGACAGTCTGAAGGAAATGCACGAAATGGCGCTACGAGTGTTTGGAAAATGAATTTAAATAAAATGAGTTTGTATAAGTCTATTAATAAATAAAAATGAACAGAGGTGGTTTTCAAATATTTACGATAAAGAAAAATCTATGAAAAAATTTTACAAGGCAATTGTCTGAATAAGATTGTGTATAAAGTTCAAACAATGATAGCTTAACACATTGTGATATAAGGAGCAATTTCCACATTTAGCAACAGTATACTCCATGAGAGACAGTTGACCCTGAAATCGGGGCAGTGTTGGTGGATCTTTATTGCCTACTTTAAATCCGCAGTCATAAAAAGCTTATACTTCGGAATATATAACTGAATTGCCCACGTCAATTTTTTTGTGTTGACAAGATGCAAGACTTGACTAAACTCACGGACCAAGAACTTGGGGACTTCTTCAACTCTTTTGATACAATTTTAGCGGACATTGATGGTAACTTACTTTTTTTTCATTCCTTCCACTGGATTTTGTACTTGTTTCAGGAGTATTACGAAACGTCCTTCAGCCAATACCAGGGTCTGTAGAGGCAATAAAATCTTTGAAAAAAATGGGCAAACAGTTTACCTTTGTAACAAACAACACGACAAAATCCGTCGATACGTTGTACCAAGAGCTAAAAGCAGCGGGTTTTGATGTGGAAAAAGATAAAATAGTGACGCCACTAGCACCCATGGTCTCCCACTTACAGAAACAGAACTTACCTAGGAAAACAGTGTTTGTAATTGGAATGCCTGTAATCAAACAAGCACTGAAAGATGCTGGATTTACGTTGGCACCAAATGGGGTATACAAAATTTTTTTGTTTACTAAAGTATAACAGATTTTTTAGCCTGACCGGTTTAAAGATGCCATAGAAGTATTCTCTAATCTGGCTATCGAAGACGATGGCTCTGTTGAGGCGGTTATTTGTGACGTAGACATGAACCTAAATTACTTAAACCTGCAGAAAGCGGCAACGTTTCTAGAAAGACCAGAAGTAATTTTTATAGCTGGTGCTACAGATGTAAAATTCCCTGTAGGAAAAGGTAATCGGATTTTGATAGGTCCGGGAATTTTTATCCAGATTCTGGAAAGAATGACAAAACGAACGGCCATCAAGATCGCTAAACCTAGCCCTTTTTTGAACGAGTTCATCGTGGAAAAGTATGGAATAAAGGATCGGTCTCGAGTTTTGTTCATTGGTGACTCGTAAGTAGAAACGAAGTCCAGATTGCTAATGCGGTTGCAGAATTCCAGAAGACATGGGCTTCGCTGGTAACTGCGGCTACAAAAAATTGCTGGTTTTGAGTGGTTTGGCAAAGAAGAGTTCGCTGGAAAACTGGGAGTTTGAAGAGAAGTGCAAACCTGAATTCTACGTGGACAGTCTGAAGGAAGTGCACGAGTTGGCGTTACGACTGTTTGGAAAATAAATAATTTCTGTCATGATATTGACAAATGTTTCAATATTGTTGATCTTGTTTTCCACACTACCTGACACACGTGGGTTAATTACAGGACAACGTGAACAAAGTTCGCACTTTACACTTCAAGGTTACTTTGAAAGCATAAAAATCTGACACTAGGTATTTAAATTCATTTTTATCGCGAAATTAAAACGTGAAGTCCGTGCGTCATCTTCTTGTATCGTTTGTTAATCTTCAAAGAAATTGCAAGCGGTGAGTGATTTTTTCTCGGTCTGATTTTCTAATCTATCGGAATTTAGAGTTAAGTACGTCTAGAGAAAATGTAATGAAACGTTGATAAGCGATCTTAAAAGCTATTGTTTGAAAGACAATTAAATAATTAAGCATTTAAGCAAACTAAATTGATAATACAAACAAACACTATAATACTAAATTAAATAGTAGCATCAAAAAAGGTGCATGTTGAAGCTGTAGTTTTGAATGCGACATGTTAAAAAAAGAATCGAATTTTTCGACTACAGAGGACGCACCTAGTGTGCACTGTGCAGCGTTTGGAGGCGGAGCTAGTGTACAGTGGGCGTGTCTTCACTACAAACGCAGGCGCAATGTGTCGTAGGAGAAAACGCAAATGCGAGAGTGATTTATTAGTTCAAGAACTGAGCAAATTTAGTACACATAAACACACTAATGTGTTCAAGGTAACGACACATCTTAAATCCGGCTTTAAGTGATAAAAACGAGCAAACATTTGTAACAGTAGTTACAAGATTAAGCGAATTACTTCATTTTTGCTACACGTTTCGCTTGTTGGAGGTCATTTAGTAAAATATAGTTCCAGTAATCAAACACCAAAATAAGGTACGTACAAAACACACAAGGACATTACGTCTACTCATTTACAGTGTTATCAGTCGTTACCAGGGATTGCATACTAATTATAGTTTCACGAAGTTTTCAACAAACACTGATAAAACGTCTACTTTTGTGAACCCAAAGGTTGCTCTCCTCAAAATGAAAGACTTAAGCACCCTCACCGTACCAGAACTCGAGGACTTCTTCAACTCATTCGACCACGTGTTGACGGACATTGATGGTAACTCCCCCCCTTATCTAAATTTCTTCTACACGAAAATTTCAGGAGTCGTCTGGAACCTTCTCCACGGCATCCCCGGTGCCAACCACGCCCTCAAATCCCTAGAAAACCTCAACAAACAAATCATTTTCATTTCAAACAACACCACAAGATCCGCCGACGCGCTGGAAACGCGCCTGAAAAACGAAGGTTTTGACTTGCAGACAATCAACCACGTGAGTCCCGCTCCGGCTATGATTGACTACCTCCAGAAGCAAAATTTCACGAAAACTAATAAGAGGATTTTTGTCATCGGGATGACACCACTGAGACAAGCTCTTATCGAAGCCGGTTTCAAACTGGCCGAAAACGGGGTATTCATAAAAATTTTAGTTCGACTCTTGTAACGGTGATTTTCCAGCCGGACCGCGTGAAGGAGTCAGTTGCTGAGTACGCGGCACTTTGTATCGCTGAAGACGATAGTGTTGGTGCCGTCATCGCCGACATTGACATCAACTTAAACTCCGTCAATATGCAAAAAGCGCTAACTTTTCTGCTCAGAAAAGACGTTTTGTTTTTGAGTGGCGCCCCCGATATGAAGTACCCTCTAGACAAGGAGCGGTTTTTGATTGGTCCCGGCGCTTTTGTGACCATTTTGGAGCTCACGAGTGGCCGAAAACCCATATCTATGGCGAAACCCAACACCAATTTGCACGACTTCGTTGCCGAAAAGTACAAGATTGATGATCCTTCGAGGGTTTTGTTCGTGGGGGATACGTAAGTGTGGGGTTGAGGGCTAAATTGATAATGGGGGTGCAGGGTTTTAGAAGATATGGCGTTCGCTGCTAATTGTGGGTACAAGAAGTTGCTGGTTTTTAGCGGCTTGAGTAACAGGAGTTGCGTGGAGGAGTGGACGTTTCCGGAGGAGTATAAACCCGACTTTTATGCCGAGAGCTTGAAGAGTGTCCACGAGGCGGTGTTGCGGGTGTTTGGACGAAAAGATTCTTCTGTACTTTGATATAATAATAATTCCAAAATAATAAAATGTTGAAAATCTAAATAAATTGACTATTTTGATAAGTATGTTGAAAAAAACCTTAGTTTAATGTATCCGGTTCAAAGGACAACATTACCCAAGCAGCAGACTGTCGTCTAATTCACGTCAATTTTTGGTCATAACTCGTCGGCGACGTCATTCGCCCAAAAAATCACGTGAAAATGACGAGATTTTTATTACTTACTTCTGACTTCAATTAATGACGTCAAAAGGCCGTCGTTTCTTCGTCATTTTTTATAGATTATATGATCAATTAGATGTGGGTCGTCGTATTCTTTAAAAAGTGGCCTTCATAATGCTTGATTATATTTAGAGCAAAAAATACAACGGCTTAATTAGAAAGAATTAGAAGAACCAAAGACAAGTTTTTTGATTCTAATAATTTCTAATAAAACAATTATTTCTGAAAACTTGTTTACTCTGGAAGTGTCATTTTGTAAGTACCTGCTTGGCAAATTATAAATAGAACATCTGGGGTTGAGCGAAAAGACCCAACGACACAAAGTCACAAAAATTCTTTGTCCATTGTCCCTAAAACGGGACAAGGTTTTGAAGAATTCCTTCGTCGAGTTTTGATTTTATTAAGACGTTTATAAAGTGATGACGGTTACCAAGAAAATTCGAGAGTGATTAATATTCAGTTTTATTAAATTTATTCTTATCCGTATTTACTATACAATACATCAGATGTTTGGGGTGTGCATTCGGACTTTCCCTTTTTTCGGTATTTATGTTTATTGCACTTCACAGAAAATCATTCCAATATTTCCAGTTGGTTCTCAACCACCGAAACTTTCTGGTGTATCCGTTACTCACTTTATTTTTAACGCAGTTTTGTGCAAATTTATGCCATTCAGTGTGGGTTGTACTTATTTATAGTAGGTAAGTTAATATCTAATAAAGTAATCATTTTAATTTTTACGTGTTTCTGTTATTTTTGATAACTGTACGTAGGTAACAAAAGCAGTTTTTTCAGATAAGCTGGAAAGACCACCATTAATCACTGAAGATACTCCTACTGATTATGAAGAACTTACGGTGATTGTTTTTGAAAATGAGGCGCTATAAAATATTGCAAAGGTATGTTACTGCAATTTTTTATGAACTAATGCTAATGAACATAATTTTATTTTAGATTTGAAACAAATACAAAACACATGTGCGAAACGAAAGAAATGCTAAAGGAAACGAGTGAAAAAATCTTCAACATGGAAACGTCATCAAATCTGACAACTGAAAAAGAAAACAAAAACAGAAATTATGCCGCCAAAACCATACCTAAACAAATTTTGGCGAATTACACGATTATGTTTGCATATTAGAACAAGCAGATTTCTTTGTAAGTTAAAAAAATACAATGAATTAATATATACATATATATAACATTAGAACATAATATTGGATATTATATACCGGTAGATGCCTGTAATACTACGATACTTTTTGGTAACTTACTATTTACACATACACATTTCGCTTCATTGTAAAAAGTATTGACAACGAGATTTTCCTGATAGGCTGTACGTTTTTGTCAATGCAACCATTTTAAAATTATCCGTTAGATTCAAGTAAATTTAGCATTTTTAAAATACAGAATGTGTCTTCTGCTGTAATCCCTTAAATTTAATAATAGTCAAATGCTTGCTATTGCCTATAGATGAAAAAATGATTGCATTTCCATTAATCCATGCACTCTAACGGGTTTTTCTTTTCAGTGCAATAAATTGAGGCAAACTTAAAAAACTTAGGTTATTGATATGATTGTTAAAACAGAATTAATTCTTAACGGTACTTTTTTATGTGTTGAGGACAGTCAAGTCATGGTGAATTAGATAGTTTTACATATACTGTGGTTTTACAGTGTATTTTCAATCAAGTAACTTCAACAATGCGATTCAATTGTCTTTTCCCTTTATTCTAGTTTTTTTTTTTAATATTTTTTGTAAATAGATTTGTTTGTGTTTTTAAGACTGATCTATAGTTTATTATAGTTTTTTTTTTTAATATTCTTTGTAACTAAATAGATTTCTTTGTGTTTTTAAAACTGATTTTTCTTTAAATAGCATATTTTATTGCAACGTTTATTTTTGATTATATATTGTACAATATCCTTTTTTTTGTTTATACTAATTATACTCGTAATTACCTGTATGTAGATTTGTTTGTGTTCTTAGGAGTGGTTTATCTTTAATTTGTTTAATTGACATATTTTTTATTTGTTTATTGAAGTTCATTGTTGGTTGTACAAAATTGTAGTAAATTTAATTTTTTTACACTAATTTGTTTTAACTTTAATTAATATATACTTTGTTTTGGGCTTTACTTGGTGATTATAACGAATTATAATATTTTATTTAAGCTAAACAATATAAAAAAATAAAATTATTTCAGCGTTTTATTTATTGCATATTTTTTTCTAAAAATCAAAATATAAAAAACGTCTTAAAATGGACAATAAATGCCGTCTCTAGGACGTCAGTAAATCACGTCAATAATTCGTTACAAAATGACGACTCTAAGACGTCAGTACATCACGTCAATAGTTCGTGAGAAAATGACGTCATCTAGACGAGACATTTGACCGTCATTGGTACGTCAATATAACGTGAAATCTTTGGTCACTATGACGTAAATGATGACCATTTATTCACGTGAAAAAGACGACATCATGTTGCCTGGGTAACGATGTACTTTAATGTTAATAGACCTGCCTGAAGGTGAAATGATAGTGCTTTACGTATAGAAAATCGATATATTAAAGAAAAGTTATGTGTTAATATTGTGTTTAAAAACCGTACGAATCACTTCCCCCTCCATGCTTGCTACGAAGATGACCGTCATCAAAATTTAATGATAACTCTTATCACAAAAACATCACCCACTCGATAAACATTGTAGTGTAATTAAACCGATTAAAGACGTCCATAAAATGAAAAATTTAGCTAACCTAAATAACCTAGAACTACAGAAGTTCTTCAGTTCCTTTGACTACGTCCTGTCCGACGTCGACGGTAAATATTTCGTCCTAACTTAGCCATTTTGACCACAATTTTCAAGGAGTACTATGGAACTTCCTCGACACCATCCCCGGTACCCAAGAAACCATCAAATCTTTGAAAAAAATCGGAAAAAAGGTCATCTTCGTCTCCAATAACACCTCAAAATCGATCAATTTCTACCACCACGAGCTTACTCGAGCCGGTTTTGACGTCGACAAAGATGAAATAGTGACGCCAACGTTGGCAATAATATCTTACTTGAAGAAGCAAGACCTTAAAGATAAAGAGGTCTTCGTTCTTGGTATGACACCTCTGAAAAGATCACTGGAAAAGGCGGGTTTCAAGCTCGCCCAAAACGAGGTAGGTGAAACGAAATCACTAAAAACCCAAACACGACCTCTTCCAGCCGGACCGTATCAAAGAATCCAACAGCGCCTTCGCCGCCCACACTATACCAGACGACGAAAAAGTGGGTGCCGTGGTCGCAGACGTCGACATAAACCTAAACTACGTCAACCTTCAAAAGGCTGCTACTTATTTGGAACGTCCCGAAGTCCTTTTTGTCAAGGGGGCTGCCGACTGTCACCTTCCTGTAGGCTGGAACAAAAGTCTGATAGGGCCGGGATACTTCACGAAAATTTTGGAAGACAAAACGAATCGGAAGGGTGTACCCATGGCAAAACCTAGCCGTTTTTTGCACGAATACATCGTTGAAAAGTACCAAATTGGGGACCCATCCAGAGTGCTCTTCGTTGGAGACTCGTGAGTGACGATTTTTGGAAAAAGTGTCATTTCTTTGTAGAATTCCTTCAGATATGGGGTTCGCGGCTGAGAGTAAATACCAGAAGTTGTTGGTTTTTAGTGGAGCGACTGGAAAAAACGTCCTTAAGGAGTGGGACTTTCCGCACGAGTACAAGCCTGATTATTATGCTGATAGTTTAAAAAGTCTGAATGATTGTATACTGCGCACTTTTGCTTGCAAATTGTAATAGATATAGTAGAATTAATGACTACGGCGGCTGGTGTTTTAAAAAATGTATACAACTAGGGAATAAAAGTGATTTATGATAACACCGTGCGTGGGTAATGGCTTGCATTATTTAGTTGTTAGTTTAGAATTAATAACACCGATAACCTAAACGACGTCGCTAGGGCGCCTTATTTTGTCCTCCGCGCTTACTTTGTTCGGTGTAGGTGTCTAGTGAATGGAATTCCTGAAGAACTGTTATCTAAAACAATTACTCAGTGAATAAATTATCTTCTCTGCTTAGTTTTATTAAACATTAATCTTTGCGTATTCACCCAAGGTTAGACAAACGCAACCGGTGCATATAAACGAATAAACTGTAAGATTCCTACTATTATCTCCTTTCTATTGTAAAAGTCATGAAAGACTTAAATGCACTCAACACCCACGAACTTCGTGCCTTCTTCGACTCCTTCGACCACGTCCTCTGCGACGTCCACGGTAAATTATCTCCCCATTCTTTCCCCTTCTAACTTCTCCCACAGGTGTTTTATGGAACGTCCTCGAAACCATCCCAGGAGCGTCAGCCGCAGTCGCCTCCTTACAAAACCTAGGCAAGACTTTCATCGTCGTCTCCAACAACACCACCGCCACCCTCGACGACTACCACCACGACTTCACCTCCAAAGGCTTCCCCATCAAACGCGAAAATATAGTCACCCCAATCCAAACCACCATCTCCTACCTGAAGAAGCAAAACTTCTCCAAGGAGGTCTTCGTCCTGGGAACCCACCCCCTGAAGAAATCTCTGCGTGACGCAGGTTTCCGAATCGCGGAGCGTGGGGTAAGCTGTATCCAATTTCTCCCGAATTCTCCGAACGAGTTTTAGCCCCTGGAAATCGAGGAGACGTTCCACGCTCTGGCGGCAGCCTCCACGGAGGACGACGGGAGCGTGGGGGCCGTGGTCGCAGATATCGATTTGAACGTGAACTACGTGAATTTGCAGAAAGCTGTGACGTTTTTGAAGAGGCCGGAGGTTATTTTTATTCGGGGGACGGGGGATGCGAGGTTTGGGGTGGGGTTGGATAGGGTGGTGATGGGGCCGGGGGTGTTTCACGCCATTGTGGAGGAGTGTAGTGGGAGGGAGCCGGTTTCAGTGGCCAAACCGGCGCCTTTTGCGAATGAGTTTATTGTGGAGAAGTACAAGATTGGGGATGCTTCCAGGGTTTTGTTTATTGGGGATTCGTGAGTATTGGTTGAGTGATGGTTTTGAGTGATTACTGTTGTTGTTGCTAGGGTTCCTTCGGATATGGGGTTTGCTACGAAATTCGGGTATAAGAAGTTGCTGGTTTTGAGTGGTTTAACGAAGGAAGGGGCGCTCGAAGACTGGAAGTTCCCGGAGGAGTATAGGCCGGATTATTTCGTCGACAGTTTGAAGTCGGTGCACGACTTGATTGGGCGAATTTGACGTGATTTGTGTGTGGTTTTTAAAGAAAGTGAAAGTTGTTAATACAGTCAATAGTACATGTAATTATAAAGTCCTGTTAGAATGACTTATCAAAACGAAATAAAAATAGATAAAACAACAAAAAATGTATGCATTATCATGCACCGATAAAGAAGAAAAGTGAAACTTAGGTATATTTGTTAAGGCTCTCACTACAATTATATACAAAGCAAACACGAAAAAAATTTCTATTGTGCGAAAAATTATAAAATAGGTCACACGACCACAATTATGTCGTGTTGCATCAGCTCAGGGTTTTTCAATTAGTTACTTACGTAAAACGTTTTCACTCTGTTGGTGGCAATGAGTGAACATTTTGTAACACAAGTTGGACCGGAACGCCGAATTATTAAAAATATATTTTTTTTAACTTAAAGTTGGTAACATTTTCCATCTTCGTCGTTTACAGACCTAACCTAACTTTTTTTTGCAACGTTGTCAGGTGTATTTTCGAATGAGTGCGATGTTGCATAACACAGAGACATGTTTTTTCCTTTCGTCACAATATTAAAACAAGTAGATCAACAAACAAAAAATTTGCATAAGTTTATAATAATTGAATAATTGAAAGCAGTGAATGAAGGTCAGAAAAAATAGCTTGTTTGACAACACAAACGTACTGCATTTTTTGCACTTTTGGTGGTAAAATGTAAATTTTGAAGTTGAATGTAACACGCTTTTTTATATAAATTTGCCAAGGAAATGGATTCGTTGAACTGTCTTACTTCATGGACGAGGAAAGTTCTATCAACATAACTTTGGATCGAACTTTTGTTAAACCACAAATAAGGAAGTACAGAGCAAGTTTCAAATAAGATTCACTCACTAGTGTCTTAACATGACGTCATCAGATGTTTGGTGGGAGCTACAAACAAAAAAATAAATGCGATTTCTTAGTCATAAGAAATTCGGCAACAAGCGTCAGCATCCTGCATTTCCGTATTTTACAAGCTGTGCAACCTCATATACACACGTGAAAATTCAGTTTACGTTTTAGAATTTTTCAAAAAACATGGTTAAAATCTTCGGCTTGACAGAACTTCCCGCGCCCTTGAAGTAAAGCCTATAATAAATCCCGATTCTTTGAAAAATTATCAAATTTGATTTTAAGATTTTTGTTTTGTGATAATCTTTATAAAGTAAAAACCACTGGCGTAAATAATAAATCAAAAAATTTGAATATCGAGAATCGAAAAAAATAGAAAACTCTTCCGTAAAGTCAAAACATCGAAAATTGAAAAATCTAAAAATATAAAAATTGAAAAGTCTAAAAACCCAAGAATGGAAAAATTCAATAAAAAATCGATGATCTGAAAAATTGAGAAATCGAAACCAAATCAAGTTGAATATCGAAAATACGATTATAATCAAATATTAGAAAAACTGAAAATTCGAAAATCAATATTTCGAAAAATCCAAGAATCGGAATATAGAAAAAAACGAAGTCTGGAAAGTAAAAAAATCAAAAATTCTAAAATCGAAAAGTCGAAAAATGAAAAAACTGAAAAATCGAGCAATAGTAATTAAAAAAATTCAAAATTCCAATATTGAAAACTCCAAAAATGGAAAGTCGAAATTTCGAAAAGAGAAAAACCGAAAGTCAAAAAATTGAAAATTTGAAAATTCGAAAAATCGGAAATTCGAAAAATTGAAAATTGGATTTCGAAAAATGAACAAATCGAAAACAAATAGCCGAAAATTGTAAAACAGAAAATCGGAAATTCGGAAATTCCAAAAATCGAAAAATCGATTAATCAAATACATATTCAAAAATCGATAAATGGAAAATTGGAAAATTAAAAACTCAGGAAAATAAAAAAAATAACAAATCGGAAATTCTAAAAATTGAAAATTTGAAAAATTCAAGAATTCAAAAATTGAAAAATCGAGAAATCTAAAAGGAAACAAATTAAAAATTCGAATATCGAAAATTCAATAAATCAGGATTTCGAAAAAATAAAAATCGGAAAACCGAAAATTAGAAAATTTAAAAATCGAAAAACCAAAAAACGAAATATCTAAATTAGAAAAATCGAAAATTTTAAATTCGAAAAGTCGAAAAATTGAAAAATCCAAAAGTCGAAATATTGAAAAAACGAAATATCGAATGTGGAAAAATGGAAAATTCTAAAATCTAAAAGTCGAAAAAATCGAGAAATCGAAATTAAAAAATTGAACACTCGAATATCGAAAATTCGATGAATCAAATACTCCCCTATTGAAAAAGCTAAAATTATAAAACTCGAAAATTCTAATTCAGAAAAACGAAACCGTCGAAAATTGTAAAACCGAAAATCGGAAAATCCAAAAATCGACAAATCGATTAATCAAATATTCAAAAAATAAAAAATCGAAGAAACAAAAAAGTGGACAAACGAAGAATTCAATTAATCAACTGAAAACTGAAGAATGGAAAAATTGAAAAGTTGAAAATTCAAAAAATCACAAATAGGAAATTCCAACATTTGAAAAATCAAAGAATTGAAAAATTGAAAAATCTAGAAATTGAAAAGGAAATAAATTAAAAATTCTAATATTGAAAATTCGATAAATCAGCTTTTCGAAAAAACGAAAATCCGAAAATTCGGAAAACCGAAAATTAGAAAATTTAAAAATCGAAAAACCAAAAAATCAAAAATTTCCAAATCGGGATTTGGATAAATCGAGAAATCCAAAAATCGAAATTGGAAAAAAAGAAATATCTAAAGTGGGAAAGTCGAAAAGTTGAAAAATTCAAAAACCCAAAAATCGAAATATTGAAAAAACGAAATATCGAAAGTCCAAAATTGGAAACTTCTAAAATCTAAAAGTCGAAAAAATCGAGAAATCGAAATAAAAAAAATGAAAACTGGAATATCAAAAATTCGAAAGTGGAAAAGTTGAAAATTCGATGAATCAAATATTTGAAACATGTAAAATTGAAAATAAACGAAAATTCGAAAAATAAGAAAGTCGAAAAACTGAAAAATCGGGAAATTAAAAAAGCGGAAAGTACAGAAAACGAAAATTCTAATTTAGAAAAAGCAATAGTCGAAAATTGTAAAACCGAAAATCGAAAAATCGATTAATCAAATATTTAAAAAAAGCAAATCGAAAAAACAAAAATTCGATGAATCAAATGTTCGAAAAATCATTAACCAAATATTCGAAAATCGAAAAACTGAAGAATGGAAAAACTGAAAAAAAGAAAATTCAAAAAATCACAAATCGAAAATTTCAAAATCCAATAATTGAAAAATCGAAAAGGAAACATTAAAAATTCGAAAAATCGAAAATTCAATGAATCAAATACTCCCCTATTGAAAAATCTAAAATTGAAAAAACGAAAATTCGAAAAATAGGAAAGTCGAAAAATTAAAAACTCTGGAAATTAAAAAAACGAAAACTATAAAACTCGAAAATTCTAATTCAGAAAAACGAAACCGTCGAAAATTGTAAAACCGAAAATCGGAAAATCCAAAAATCGACAAATCGATTAATCAAATATTCAAAAAATAAAAAATCGAAGAAACAAAAGAGTGGACAAGTGAAGAATTCAATTAATCAACTGAAAAACTGAAGAATGGAAGAATTGAAAAGTTGAAAATTCAAAAAATCACAAATAGGAAATTCGAACATTTGAAAAATCAAAGAATTGAAAAATTGAAAAATCTAGAAATTGAAAAGGAAATAAATTAAAAATTCTAATATTGAAAATTCGATAAATCAGCTTTTCGAAAAAACGAAAATCCGAAAATTCGGAAAACCGAAAATTAGAAAATTTAAAAATCGAAAAACCAAAAAATCAAAAATTTCCAAATCGGGATTTGGATAAATCGAGAAATCCAAAAATCGAAATTCGAAAAAAAGAAATATCTAAAGTGGGAAAGTCGAAAAGTTGAAAAATTGAAAAACCCAAAAATCGAAATATTGAAAAGACGAAATATCGAAAGTCCAAAAATGGCAACTGCTAAAATCTAAAAGTCGAAAAAAATCGAGAAATCGAAATTAAAAAATTGAAAACTGGAAAATCAAAAATTCGAAAGTCGAAAAGTTAAAAATTCGATGAATCAAATATTTGAAACATCTAAAATTGAAAATAAACGAAAATTCGAAAAATAAGAAAGTCGAAAAACTGAAAAATCGGGAAATTAAAAAAGCGGAAAGTACAGAAAACGAAAATTCTAATTTAGAAAAAGCAATAGTCGAAAATTGTAAAACCGAAAATCGAAAAATCGATTAATCAAATATTTAAAAAAAGCAAATCGAAAAAACAAAAATTCGATGAATCAAATGTTCGAAAAATCATTAACCAAATATTCGAAAATCGAAAAACTGAAGAATGGAAAAACTGAAAAAAAGAAAATTCAAAAAATCACAAATCGAAAATTTCAAAATCCAATAATTGAAAAATCGAAAATTCAATGAATCAAATACTCCCCTATTGAAAAATCTAAAATTGAAAAAACGAAAATTCGAAAAATAGGAAAGTCGAAAAATTAAAAACTCTGGAAATTAAAAAAACGAAAACTATAAAACTCGAAAATTCTAATTCAGAAAAACGAAACCGTCGAAAATTGTAAAACCGAAAATCGGAAAATCCAAAAATCGACAAATCGATTAATCAAATATTCAAAAAATAAAAAATCGAAGAAACAAAAGAGTGGACAAATGAAGAATTCAATTAATCAACTGAAAAACTGAAGAATGGAAGAATTGAAAAGTTGAAAATTCAAAAAATCACAAATAGGAAATTCGAACATTTGAAAAATCAAAGAATTGAAAAATTGAAAAATCTAGAAATTGAAAAGGAAATAAATTAAAAATTCTAATATTGAAAATTCGATAAATCAGCTTTTCGAAAAAACGAAAATCCGAAAATTCGGAAAACCGAAAATTAGAAAATTTAAAAATCGAAAAACCAAAAAATCAAAAATTTCCAAATCGGGATTTGGATAAATCGAGAAATCCAAAAATCGAAATTGGAAAAAAAGAAATATCTAAAGTGGGAAAGTCGAAAAGTTGAAAAATTGAAAAACCCAAAAATCGAAATATTGAAAAAACGAAATATCGAAAGTCCAAAATTGGAAACTTCTAAAATCTAAAAGTCGAAAAAATCGAGAAATCGTAATAAAAAAAATGAAAACTGGAATATCAAAAATTCGAAAGTGGAAAAGTTGAAAATTCGATGAATCAAATATTTGAAACATGTAAAATTGAAAATAAACGAAAATTCGAAAAATAAGAAAGTCGAAAAACTGAAAAATCGGAAAATTAAAAAAGCGGAAAGCACAAAAATCGAAAATTCTAATTTAAAAAATGAACAAATGAAAAAGAACTAGTCGAAAATTGTAAAACCGAAAATCGAATCGATTAATCAAATATTCTAAAAAAAGAAAATCGAAAAAACAAAAACTCGACAAATCAAAAATTCGATGAATCAAATATTCGAAAATCGAAAAACTGAAGAATGGAAAAACTGAAAAATCGAAAAGGAAACAAATTAAAAATTCGAATATCGAAAAATCGAAAATTCAATGAATCAGATTTTCGAATAATCAAAAATCCGAGAATCTGAAAACCGAAAATTAGAAAATTTAAAAATCGAAAAACCAAAAAATCAAAAATTTGAAAAAACAAAAATTCGAAAAATAGGAAAGTCGAAAAATTGAAAAAGCGGAAAGTACCATAACTGAAAATTCGAATTTTCCAAAATGAACAAGTCGAAAATCGAAAAACCGAAAATCGGAAATTCGAAAAACCGATTAATCAATCAATATTCAAAAAATCGAAAATCGGAAAATTCTTAATTCTTGTAAAATGTTATACAATTTTGACTTTTTTCCAAAAATATGGATATTTAGGGTAAAATCTCAACCCGGATTCATAAACCACTTGTGCAGGAGTGTCTTATGCTATCTATCTCTTCTTGGTGGGGATCTTGACCAAATTTTGATTAGGGTTTTACCTTCCACTCTACACGATGATCCTAATACCTATATAAAATTCGCTCTCAGTATACGAAAATTATTTATAACAATAAAGTGATTGTATTGAATTAAACACAACTATCCTTGACTATTATTATCATTATTATTATTCATTAATAATCCCGTGTTTTTTCTGTATAAATTAGCTGACTTCATGCTTAATCATCACGATGTAAATTAATACATTTCTGAAATGCTACAATCTTGCAATAACGTTGGTATCAGTGTGATTTGGGTACTTTCTTATGCCATTTTCTTCACCTGCGAAAAACAAAGTCCCTGAAGGCCACACGAGCGAACCTCCAGCGATGTATAACTGGTTGCCTACCCCGATTATGCAACACTCTTGTGGCCACAATTTTTTAAACGCTGTCACATGCCTAAACTTTCTCGACTATCACACAGCGCAGCAGCCCGATTCGGTAAGAAGTAAATAAATATTGACTTTCAATTCTAGCAGCCGAATTACAAGTGGGATCTTTATCTCGTTCCTTCCAGATAAGTTTTTGTGCCGGTGCATCGTTATTAATTTGACCTCTTGCGCGCTCCATTAGCTAGCTTGTGATGGCTCGCTCTGAATAATTCATGATCGATTTTTAATGACACGTAAGTAATAATCGTAACAATAATCTAGCATTGTGCGCATAAAAACAAACTTGTTTATGTTTTTTCCATTATTATCCACTCCTGCGGTTATCGGTATAGAACCTCGCAAATAATTCGAGCAAAATGACGCAACCGTATCCAAATAAATCACGAGGATTGTTTGTTGACGAGAAGTGACTATATTAATTTACAACCAATTATGATAAGAACGCTGGCATATTTTACACAGTGAAAAATTTCAGTCTCTTGAAATGGGTCTCTCCAGTGTGACGCAAACCGTTCTTGTGACAACTGTAGTGACCGCTGTTACCGTCGTCGGGGCGTTCATCTACAAGAAGTGGAAGCAGGTGAAAATTCCTTCCAACTGGGAGCGAGTGGGAAGCGTGAAGAAACTCCACCTTTATCCACTGAAGAGCGGACACCGGGTGGAACTACAAAGGGCCGAAGTAACGGAAGTCGGGATAAAGCAAACACAGGATGACGAAAAAGCCTTCCAGTTGAGGGACAGGTGAGACTTGCATAACCCCGCCATAAATCAAAATGTCAGACGATAAATTTTTCCGAGATTATATAACGAATTTTTGCGCTATATCAGTTTCATTATCAATAAATTGATTACGAACAATCCAATTAACGAATTTATATTACTAACATTGGAGTTGTCGTTGCTGCGCAAAAACAGTGACGATAATTTCCAAATGTGACGTCATAGCGCAAAAACCGCTACTAACTAACGCATTGTTAGGGTCCTTGTCGTGTACGGCGCCAAAGACAATGAGTTCCGCACCGCCCGGACCTACCCAAAAATGGTCTTCATCGACGTCTCCGTCCATGACGAGAACCATTTTGCCATCGACGCCCCGACCATGAGGACCCTCTACGTGAAAATCCCGAGCCGAGAGGACAGCAAAGTCGCCAACGTTAAGTACGTCTGCGCTACTTAAGTCGCTCTATACTGACTTAACTTGACTAGGTGGTGGCAGGACGAGAGAGTCCAAGCTATCGACTGTGGGGACGAGGCGGCGAGTTGGTTCTCACGGTACATCATTGAAAGAGACTCCGGCCTAAGACTGGGTTATAACGATGCTAGTCAAAAACGCGACATTACGAAGGCCCACGCGAAACTCCTGGACTACTACAAGAACCTCTCAAACAAGTCTACAGTTAGTTATTATGGGTGTAGTAGTCGCTGGGTTTAACTAATAAGTGTTTCAGGGTCTATTCGCAGATCTGACGAGCGTTTCTCTGGTTAATCAACACTCCGTCAACGACTTGAACAAGCGAGTCGGGAATTCGGACATCACGGTTGAGCAGTTTAGGCACAATATTGTGGTTGATGGCCCGGATTTGCAGCCTTATGATGAGGATACCTGGGATTGGATTAAGATTGGGGATAATGTGATTCTGAGGAACGTGAAGGACTGCACTAGGTGCATTTTGACTACTATTGATCCCGAAAATGGGATCAGGCACCCGGATAGAGAACCTTTGAAGACTTTAGAGCAGTAAGTGGTTTCTTGGTGGTGCGAAGGTCACATTAAGTATTATTTGTTTGATTTTTAGGTACCGCAAACATTCGGGTCCTGAAAAATCCCCCAGGTTGGGGAACAACCTAGAAGTGACCAGAACAGGATTCATAAGTATTGGAGACCCGGTTTACATTGCCAGATATGAAACGAAATAAAGACGTTAGGATTTAACTTTTGAGACCCTTGTTCATTAGGTGTACTTATTTTTGTTTCCTGTATAGATGTATAGATTTTCCGTCTAAATGTACAATATTGAAGTGTAATACGTATCTACCGATATTTGGGAATAAATGGAATACCCCTATTTTTTTTTATAGTTTGAATCTGAATTTTTCGGGTTTTCAATAATCCCTTCCAGTTTGTAAAGATAAGGTTACATCAAATAATACCCGTGATACATACAAAATTTTATGTCTTACCGTTTTGTTTTCAATACATATCGACAAAAAGTCATTTTTCTACGTTCTTTTATTGGTTGCATTTACTCCACAAGAACTAATTTGATTCCTTAGATTTTTGGAATTTTGCGTTATTTCGATTTTTTCATTTTTTAGTATATTCGATTTTTGTTTTTTTGGATTTATTCCATTTTTTGGATTCTTGGGATATTTTCGACTTTTTGGATTTTTGGAATAATATTCCCAAGGTTTTTTGATGTTCATCCTTGTGTTTTTCAGATTTTCTAAATTTTTTGGATATTTTCTATTTTTTTTATTGGATTTCTTTAGTTTCTTGGCTTTTTAGATTTCTTCATTTTTTGGGGTTTTTTGGGTTGTTTTTTTTGGAATTGGATCATTTTTAATTTTTGTTTTTTTTTTATTTTCTCCTTTTTGGATTTTTAGGATATTTTCGATTTTTTGGTTTCATGGAAGTTCTTGAGTTTCTTGGATTTTTCAGATTTTTTAAATTTTTTGGATATTTTCCATTTTTTTATTCCTTATTCGATTTCTTAAGTTTCTTGGGTTTTTGAATTTATTTGTTTTTGGGGTTTTCTAAGTTGTTTAGATTTTTTAGATTTTTTTTTATGCATTTGGATAACTTTCATTTTTTGGTTTATTTTCTAATTTTTTTAATTTTTGGGATATTTTCGATTTTTTGTTTTTTGGAAATATTGAAGTATGTACTTGAGTTGCTTGGATATTTAGATTTTTATTTTTTTTCATATATTCGCTTTTTTGATTTATTGAATTGCTTGAGTTTCTTTGGTTTTTGGGTTTTTTTTAATTTATTACATTTTTTTTTTAATTTTTGGGATATTTTCGATTTTTTTGATGTTTGGAATTCTTGGAGTTCTTGAGACTTTTTTATTTTCTTCGGTTTCTTGGATTTTTAATTATTTGGAAAATATTCGATTTTTGAATTTTTTGAATTACTAAATTTCTTGAGTTTCTTTGTTTTTTTTGGATTTGTTTGGATTATTTGGATATCTTGTTGTTTTGTAATTATTCCATTTTTTTGATTTTTGGTATGTTTCCAATTTTTTTTATTATTTGAATTTCTAAGGTTTTTTGGATTTCCTTTTTGAGATTTTCTGGGTTGTTTAGATATTTTAGAAAGTTTGGGTTTTTGTTTTTTTTTAATTTTTGGATTTTTTTAATTATTTGGATAATTTTTATTTTTCTTTTTTTTTGGGATGTTTTTGGTTTTTTGGGATTATTGAAATTTTTTAATTTCTTGGAATTTTAGATTTTTTATTTTTGATAAATTCGATTTTTGGATTTTTAGAATTATTGAATTTCTTGAATTTCTTTGGTTTTTTGTATTTTTTTGGATAATTTGGCGGATTATTTTGATTTCTTGTTTTTTTGGATTCATTCCATTTTTTTTATTGTTTAGATATTTTCGATTTTTGGATGTTTGGAATTCTTGGACTTCCTGAGATTTCTAGATTTTCTTGGGTTTCTTGGATTTTTCAGATTTTTTAAATTTTTTGGAAATTTTCCTTTTCTTTTATTGGATTTCTTGAGTTTATTGGGTGTTTTGGATCTCTGTTTTTAGGGGTTTTCTGGGTTGCTTAGATTTTTTAGATTTCTATGTTTTTTTTTTTGGATTTTTTTTAAACCATTTGGATAATTCTTATTTTTTGGTTTTTTATTTTCTAATTTTTTGGATTTCTGGGATATTTTCTGTTTTTTTGATTTTTTGGGATTATTGAAATTTTTGAGTGTCTTGGCTTTTTAATTTTTTTGGGTATATGTATTTGATTTTTGAATTTTTTGAATTATTGAATTTCTTTTTGTTTTTTTGGATTATTTGGATTTCTTCTTTTTTCGGATTATTTGCATTTCTTGTTTTTTGGATTTATTCCATTTTTTTTATTTTTGGGATATTTTCAAATTTTTGGATGTTTTGGAGTTTCTTGGACTTTTTAAAGTTTTTAGATATTCCGATTTTTTTTTTATTATTTGAGTTTCTTTGGTTTTTTGGATTTCTTAGTTTTTTGAGGTTTTCTGGGTTGTTTAGATTTTTTAGAATTCTTAATTCTTAATAATTTGGATAATTTTTCTTTTTCTTTTTTGGATTTTTGGGATATTTTCAGTTTTTGGTTTTTTGGAATTATTGAAATTTTTGAATTTCTTGGATTTTTAAATTTTTTTTTTTTGATATATGTATTCGATTTTTGGTTTTTTGGATTTTTTTGGATAATTTGGTTTTCTTGTTTTTTTTTTGGATTTATTCCTTTTTTTTTAATTTTCGGATATTTTTGACTTTTTGGATTTTTGGAATTATTGGAGTTCCTGAGATTTTTTATTTTCAGATTTTTTAAATTTTTTGGAGATTTTCGATTTTTTTTATTATTGGATTTCTTTAATTTTTTGGCTTTTTGGATGTCTTCGTTTTTTTTTGGGGGGGTTGTTTGGGTTGTATAGATTGTTTAGACTTAGGGTTTTTGTTTTTTTTTGACTTGGATCATTTTTATTTATTGGTTTTTTATTTTCTACTTTTTTGGATTTTTGGGATATTTTAAATTTTTTGGATGTTTGGAATTCTTGGAGTTCTTGAGATTTTTTTATTTTCTTGGGTTTCTTGGATTTTGAATTTTTTGGATATCTTATTCGATTTTTGGATTGTTTGAATTACTAAATTTCTTGAGTTTCTTTGTTTTTTTGGATCATTTGATATCTTGTTTTTTTTGGAATTATTCCATTTTTTTAATTTTTTGGGAGTTTCTTGGACTTTTTAAACTTTTTAGGTACATATTTCCGATGTTTTTTTTATTATTTGAGTTTCTTGGGTTTTTTGGATTTCTTCGTTTTTTGAGGTTTTCTGGGTTGTTTAGATTTTTTTTTAGAATTCTTAGGGTTTTTTTTAATTTTTGGATTTTTTTTAATCATTTGGAAAAATTTTATTTTTTTTTTTCAATTTTTTTGATTTTTGGGATATTTTCGTTTTTTAGATTATAGAATTTTTTAAGTTCTTAATTTTCTTGAATTTTTAGATTTTTTGGATTTTTTAAATTTTTCGGTTTTTTGGATATTTTCGATTTTTTGAATTATTGGATTTCTAGAGTTTCTTGGATCTTTTGTAGCCATCGAAACATCGGAAAATTGAAAAATTCCAAAAACATAAAACTTCCAAAATTGAAATATTGAAAACTTGAGAAATTGGAAACTTGAAAAATTGAAAAAATTTTAAAATCGAAAACCTAAGATGTCAAAAAATGGCAAATTCGAAAAAATGAATCGAAAAATTGAATCTGAAATGTCGTAAAATTGGGAAATGGAAAAATTCGAAGAGTCGAAACATCAAAAAATTGAAACAGTCCAAAATCGAAAAATACGAGAAACTAAACAATCGAACATGGAAATCTCTATAGATCGAGCTATTTAGAAACTGAAAAACCAAAAAATTGAAAAATCGGAAAATTTAAAATTTTGAAAATCGGAAAATAAATAACCAGGAATCGAGATCTCTAAAATTAAAAACTTGAAAGGTTAATGTGGAAAAATTGTAGAAACCTAAAATTGAGACATCGAAAAATTAAAAATTGAAGAACTGAAGAATCGAAAAACTGAAAAATTCCAAAAATTAAAAAAAAAATCAAAATCAAAGAACCGAAAGTCGCAAAATTGAATACATTCGAAAATTCAAAAACCATAATCCTGAAAAAACGAAAAATTCAAGAATTGAATAACAGAAAAATCGAGAAATCGAAGAGTCCACAAGTCGAAAAATCGAAAATTTGAAGAATGAAAAAAATTGAGCAATGGTTAAACTGGAAAATAAGAAATCGTGAAATACAATTCAGGGCTTTCTAAAATGAAAATAAAACTCAGGATAATATACGTAATTTATTATAAAACTTTTTGACATAACACGATATAATTTGATCTAATTTGATTATGCAACCAACAATTCACACTACTCATAAAATGCTTTGCATCGAAATAAATCACACTCTCTCACACCAACTACCACTAATGTATCACACTACACATTATCTAAATCCTAATCAAACTTCCTCCGCCTTTACTAACGCTACTTGTTCGCTCTGTCTAACCTTAGACGGATTCGACACCGGATTCTGGGAATACAAATACACCGCAAACATAACCGTACCGATAGCGAGAACCGTATTCAAGTAAATAGGAATACTAAAAAATAAGTAACTTAACACAGCCGTGAGGATTAGTTCCAAGGCACTAGCAAAAGTTTTCAAAATAGAGTTTAGAGTTTTCAAAAAAAAACTAGTGACGATCCCGATCGCCGCATTGTTAAACATGACAAGTAAGACTTTGTAGTGGAAAACTTTAGACAGGCTAGAGTAGGTGAAAGCCGTCTCTAGATTTCCTCTGATCACTAGGAGAACAACGTTACAGACTATAGAATCTAAGTACATGAAAATATTCTGGATAAATATGTTTACATCGGCGCCTTGCTTTTTTAAAAGATACTCGTTGTAAACGCCCGCTAGACACGAGCAGAAAATTTGGATCAGGATAAAAATACCGTTGAGGCCGATGTCCAAAGAGGGGGTTTTTTGGTCGTGGGAGGCTTCAGTGAAGTTGATTTGCTTCAACATGCATCCAAACGTTAAAATGACGAGCGATAGCCATTGTTTGCGGCTTAAAGTTTTACTAAATATCACCTAGAATTACATGATTACATCTGTTTCTTGCTAGATTGGTTACTCACTTGGAATAATATTCCAGTTACTACTACTCTCAACTGAAGTAGTAGATAGTACGTTGTGGGGTCAAATACTGATAAGTTAATAAACGAGAGATTGTTATAGAAGCAATAAAGAAGAGCAGGTACAAAATAAAGGGCTAAGATTTTCTTATTATCGATTACATTTTGGACTAGAGATTGTGGCGAGTTGCTGCAATCCTTTCATTAAATCGTTACTTTACACAAAAAACACTTACTCCTTGCAGTAAAGTACTGACGACAGCCCCAATTTGAGTACCTCAGTTAGCAGAACTACCGTAACTATATTATAGTCATACTGGTTATCAGACTTTTGTGACGCCGTCACTAAAATACCTAAAAATAACTCGTTAATACCTAATTACGATAAGTAAATAGAAGTGGGCGTACCTTGTCCTACAAACAACAAAATATATGCCACAAAAATGACAAAACTGAGTTTTGTAGGAAATAATTCCTTCCACGATAAAGCTGACATTTTCACATTATTTGCTACGTGGAGAACACGATTTAAACTATTCCAACGTCAAATAATTGTGCAAATACCATTTTGTTATCATTTCTGTCTCCATCCAGGGAGAATTAGGTTATGTCACTTGTCGGAACCGAAATCGTATAAATCCCCATGATTTATTGCTATAATTACTAAAAATCGTTATCTTCGCTCAAGTGAGCGTACAATACTTTATTATAATTCGCAGAATATAATTAATATTTTAAATTTTAGATTATTTAGAATCGGTGACGTCACTTGAGGCACAACCACAACTGTCACTTGTCACTTGTCACTTGTCAAAAGTCATATGAAAGAGTAGTTGTCTCGAACCGGAATCTCGAAAATCCATAATCATCCGTTAAGTTACGCCTAGTTGAGAGTGAATTTTTGACGAAAGTGATAAAATGACGATTCAAGCTTCGATGGGTGACGGAAATAAAGTAAAAGGATTGGTCTACAAAGACAAAAGTAAACCGACTGATGTCCGCCACAGTAACATCAATGCCGCTAAAGGTAAACATTAGCCATTCGGTAAAAATACCCCCCAAATCTGGAAACCGACAATTGGGGTTAAAAATTTGTCAATCGTAGCACCCCAATGACCATTCACGGTCACCCGATTTTTTCGATTTTTCCTAATATTTGGACTTCAATTTTCAGCTGTGTGCGATGCGATTCGTACGAGTTTGGGGCCCAGGGGCATGGACAAGATGGTAAGTCGGGACTAGTGGCCCCCTTGTCGCTAACTGCGTGTTTTAGATCCAAGCTGGCAATGGAGAAGTCACGATTACCAACGATGGGGCGACTATTCTCAAACAAATGAATGTGGTGCACCCAGCAGCAAAAATGGTACGTCGTTTTTTGTTTTTACGGTGTTTGTATGTCGCTGTTTTAGTTGGTGGAGTTGTCGCGGGCGCAGGATGTGGAAGCCGGTGATGGTACCACCACCGTGGTGGTAGTAGCCGGGGCTTTGTTGGACGCCGCAGAAAAACTTCTGTCGCGCGGAATTCACCCAACCGCTGTTTCCGAGTCTTTCCAGAGAGCCGCAAGTCACGCTGTCGAGGTTGTGTTTATTTTTCACCCACTTGTGTTTGCTAATTTTATAGTTTTAGATTTTGACGGGAATCGCCACTCCCATCCAGTTGGACAACCGCGAACAGTTGGTCAAGAGCGCTTCCACTTCCCTAAACTCGAAAGTCGTTTCTCAACACTCTAGTTCTTTGGCGCCGCTAGCCGTCGACGCCGTGCTCAAAGTGGTGGAGCCCGGCCGCGAGCAAGTCGTTTCTTTGTCAGACATCAAAGTAATCAAGCAGCTGGGGGGCACCGTCGAAGACACGGAGCTCATCGACGGCCTCGTTTTCCCCCAGAGAGTCGCCAACGTCAACGGCCCCAAACGCATCGAAAAAGCCAAGATCGGTTTCATCCAGTTCTGTATCTCCCCCCCGAAAACCGACATGGACCACAACGTCGTAGTGTCCGACTACGCCGCCATGGACCGCGTGCTCAAAGAAGAACGCACCTACATCCTCAACATCGTCAAACAAATCAAGAAGGCCGGATGCAATGTCCTTCTGGTACTTCACACTAGTCACACTTTTATTTATCACCACTAACTGATTGTCAACTCTAGATCCAGAAATCCATCCTGCGTGACGCCGTCTCCGACCTGGCGCTCCACTTCCTCGACAAAATCAAGTGCATGGTCATCAAGGACGTCGAACGCGAGGACGTCGAATTCGTGTGCAAATCGCTAGGTTGTCGCCCCATCGCCTCGTTGGACCACTTCACCGCAGAGAATCTCGTCACAGCCGAACTGGTCGAAGAAGTGGGAGTCGGAGGCAACCGCATGGTGAAGATCACGGGTGCCCAAAACGCCGGCAAAACGGTCACTTTGTTGGTCCGGGGCTCGAATAAACTGGTGCTGGCGGAGGCGGACAGGTCGCTGCACGACGCTCTGTGCGTCATCCGCTGCCTGGTCAGGAAGCGGGCGGTCATCGCCGGGGGCGGCGCCCCCGAGATCGAGCTGGCCTTGAAGTTGGCGGCGCGCGCGGACACGATGGAGGGCATCGATGCCATTTGTCTGAGGGCGTACGCCAACGCTCTGGAGATCATTCCGTTCACGTTGGCCGAAAACGCCGGGCTTAATCCGATCCAGGTAGGGGCAGTTTCGAGCATGCGCGGGTAAATGAAAATGAGAATTTTGGCTTATAGAATGAGATACTCGTGCACAAACTTTTTAGGTTATCGTAATTATGGTAAATCGTGAATCAAAATTTATTCCTTTATCTCCTCCCAAAGAATTGATGACTTGATGTCAAAATTTTGACTTACCAATTTTTCTATTTTTCAGTTTCTCAATTTTTGGGTTTCCAATTATCCGTTTTTCCGATTTTTAAGTTTTTCAATTTATATCTTTCGACTTCATTTTCGTTTATTGTATTTTTCAAGTTCTTGATTTCCATTTTTTAGGTTTTACAAAGTTTTCATTTTAATTTTTTCGTTTTTTCGTTTTTGATTTTGCAGTTTTAAAAAAATCTTAAAATTGAAAAAACGAAAAATATGTAGTGGAAAATCGAAAAACTTAAAAATCGAACAATTGAATGAATGACAAAATTGGAAAGAAGAAAAAACGAATCGAATCGAAAAATTGGAGAACCCAACAATTGTAAAATCGAAAAATTGAACAATCGTGAAACTGATTTTTTTTTTTTTTTAATTATAATTACAATTACAGTTATTGCATATTTAAAATGAAAACTAGAAAAATTGCGATCCGAAAAATTAACACATATAAAAGTTGGAAAATCAAAAAACTGAAATCGAAAAATTACAAAATATAGCAACTGAAAAGTTCAAAAGTTGGAAAATTGAAAAATTTAAACTCGAAAACTCAAACATTACATATCTAAAAACTGAAGGAACAAAAAAACTGAAAATTGAAAAAATAAAGAAGTAAAGTAGTAAAAAAAGAGAAACCGAATCGAAAAATTGAAGAATGAAAAACTAGGGAATTAAAAAAACTGAAAACTCGGGAAATCATAAATCTAAGGATTGCAAAATCTAGACATTGAAAAAACAAGAAAAATGAAAAATTGAAAAATCGCAAAGAAAAAATATTGAAGAAATGGAAAATTGAAAAAATTAAATTAAAAAAACAAAAATTATACAAAAATTATAAAATCGAAACATTAAAAACCGAAAAATGGAAAAAATAAAAAAAAATGAAAAACTAAAAACTCATGAAATTGCAAATTTAAAAATGAAAATTTGAAAAATTCAAATCAAAAAAATTGGGAAAATTGTACAAATTAAGAAAATAAAAAAGCGAAAGAAAAATTCTAAAATCTCAAAATTGAAAAATTGAGATATTTTAAAAATTATTATTGTATATGTATTTAAAACGAAAACTAAAAAAATGGCAAATCAAAAATTGAAGAAAAGGAAAATTAAGGAATTAAAAAACTCGAGAAATTTTCAATCTAAAAATTGCAAAATCTAGACATGAAGAAGCAAGAAAAATTAAAAATTGAAAAATCGGAAATCGAAAAATTGAAAAAATAAATTAAATTAAGCCGCAAGGAAAAATTACAAATTGGAAAATTGAAGTATGAACATTTGAAAAATTAAAAAGAAAACTCATGAAATTGCAAATCTAAAAATTGAAACTTCCAAAAGTTGGAAAGTGGAAAATTTGAAAAATTTAAAAATGAAATTTTGAAAAATTGAAGAATCGAAAATTTGAAAAATTAAAAATTGAAATTGAAAAAATTCTAAAATTCTAAAATTGAAAAAATTAAATATGTATTTAAAAAATTTTTGTTGTATATTTAAAACGAAAACTAGAAAAATTGCAAATCAAGTATTAAAGAAATGAAAAACTAAGGAACTAAAAAAACTGAAAACTCGGGAAATCATAAATCTAAAGATTGCAAAATCTAGACATTGAAAAAACAAGAAAAATGAAAAATTGAAAAATCGCAAAGAAAAAATATTGAAGAAATGGAAAATTAAAAAAATTAAATTAAAAAAAAAACAAAAATTATAAAATCGAAACATTAAAAACCGGAAAATGGAAAAAATAAAAAAAATGAAAAACTGAAAACTCATGAAATTGCAAATTTAAAAATGAAAATTTGAAAAATTCAAATCAAAAAATTTGAGAAAATTGTACAAATAAAGAAAATAAAAAAGCGAAACAAAAAATTGCTAATCAAAAATTTGAAGAAATGAAAAATTCTAAAATCCCAAAATTGAAAAATTGAGATATTTTAAAAATTATTGTTGTATATGTATTTAAAACGAAAACTAAAAAAATCGCAAATCAAAAATTGAAGAAAAGGAAAATTAAGGAATTAAAAAACTGAAAAATTAAAATTAAGGAATTAAAAAACTCGAGAAATTTTCAATAAAAAAATTGCAAAATCTAGACGTGAAGAAACAAGAAAAATTAAAAATTGAAAAATCGGAAATCGAAAAATTGAAAAAATAAATAAAATTAAACCGGAAGGAAAAATTACAAATTGGAAAATTGAAGTATGAACATTTGAAAAATTAAAAAGAAAACTCATGAAATTGCTAATCTAAAAATTGAAACATCCAAAAGTTGGAAAGTGGAAAAACTGAAAAATTTAAAAATGAAATTTTGAAAAATTGCAAATCGAAACATTTTTTAAAATTGTAAAAATAAAGAAATAAAAAATTGAAGAATCGAAAATTTGAAAAATTAAAAATTGAAAAAATTCTAAAATCCCAAAATTGAAAAAATGAAATATGTATTTAAAAAATTATTGTTGTATATTTAAAACGAAAACTAGAAAAATTGCAAATCAAATATTAAAGAAATGAAAAATTAAGGAATTGAAAAATTTAAAACTCAAAAAATTTAAATCCAAAAAATGAAAAATCGAAAAATTGAAAACTCGGGAAACTGCTAATCGAAAAATTGACACATCCAAAAGTTCGAAAAATAAGGAAAATAAAAAGCCAAAATTAATAAATATAAAAACTGAAAAGTTTAAAAGTTGAAAAACTGAAAAATTTAAACTTGAAAACTCAAAAAATTGCAAATCGAAAAACTGAAGGGAAAAAAATAAAAATTGAAAGACAGAAATATTCCAAGTAAAAAAAACTGAAAAATTTTATAGTAAAAAAAGAAAAATTATAAAATCAAACCATTGAAAAATCGAAAAATTAAAAAAATTAAGAAAACAAGAAGCCGAAACGAAAAATTGCAAATCTAAAAATTGAAACGTCCAAAAGTTGGAAAGTCGAAAAACTGAAAAATGTATATTTAAAACAAAAACTAGAAAAATTGCAAATCAAAAATAGAAAAAATTAAAAATTAAAAACTCGAGAAATTTTAAATCCAAAAATTACAAAATTTAGAAATTGAAGAAACGAAAAATCTGAAAAATAAAGAAAATTGAAACACTGAAAAATTAAAAATCGAAAAAACTATTGAACCGAAAAATTGGAAAGAGGAAAAAACGAATCGAATCGAAAAATTGGAAAATCCAAAAATTATAGATTCGTCAAAATTATAAAATCGTAAAATTGATTTTTTTTTTTAATTACAATTACATATTTAAAATGAAAACTGGGAAAATTGAAAAACTATCAAATTTAAACTTGAAAACTCAAAAAACTGCAAATCGAAAAACTGAAGAAACAAAAAAAAATGAAAATTAAAAAATAAAGACAGTAAAGTAGTAAAAAAAAATGAGAAACCGAATCGAAAAATGAAGAATGAAAAATTAAAAATTGCAAATCGAAAAATTCAAAACTAATGAAGAAAATAAAAAGCGAAAATTTGAAAAAATAAAAAATTGAATTGAAAAATGAAAAAATTCTAAAATCGTAAAATTGAAAAAGTTAAATATTAAAAAAAAACTGAAAACTCGAGAAATCATAAATCTAAAGATTGCAAAATCTAGATGTTGCGTGTGCTACAATGTCGTCGGTACGCCTATGTCTTTAGTACGCCTATGTCGTCGGTGTGTCAAAGAAATGTTGCAGCTGCAGGTCTGCAGCCACCCCTTTGACCCGGTTGACCCGTAAAAAATCATTGGGTTTCGAGTCGGGGGCGACTTCTTATGTTACACCGACACAGTTAGTTTTTAAGTCAGTCGCTATTAAGTTTTGTCCGGAACATCTAGCACACGGGTGCTCTGATGTAATAATCAATTTTCAATAAACCTGTGTGCCTAACACAATTGTTTATAATCTCCCCTCACCGCTACACACCATTTTGGTCCTTCGAGCCGGATTTTTATAAATTCCGGTAAAAAACAGTGGAGAGTAGTGACCAGTGAGCAGCAGGAGAAGAAACACAAAAAAAAAGGGAACAAACAGTTCTCGCAGCAGCACGGCAGCAGTGGTTCGTCAATTAAGTCACCACCCCGTGTTAACAATCTAAAAAATCTCCGGAAGCGACGCATACAACTCCGGTGAAATCATCCAGAGGATCCACAGCAGATCCCACTTCCCACATCGCCGTCGCCGAGGGCCCGAGACCTGCAGCACGGAGTAAGACGCCTGCGAGGAGTTCGGCCGCCAGCAGCACGGGAGTCATAGGTCAGATCCCATTTTCCTTCATTCGTACCATTTCCGCCTCTGTTCAAGTACTTATTGTGTGTGTTTTCCACATAAATTAAAATTAAAATGGGCAAAAGGGTTAACAAATCGTCCAAAATCAGAGATGCCGAATCCGATTCGGAAGGTGAAACAGCTAATTTATTAAGATCGTGGATAAATAAGCGCAACCAAATTGTTTCAGAGTTGGATCGAATTTTAGAATTTGTCAGGAATTTTCCGTCTGGCAGCAATATCGGTTTAATAATCGCGCGAAGACCAATCGCTCTTAACGCAATTAACGATTTCAAAGAAGTGCAATTTAAAATCGAGGAAAATGTTCCACCTGCATTGCTTGACGATGAGGTAGACCACCGGATTAATTTCGAGGCAAAATATTACGAAACCATAGCCGAAATTGATACAATTATTAAAAGCGAAGGCAATTCGAAACATACTAGTATAAACAATCGTGAAAATCCAACTCCAAAAATAACGCTTCCGGCATTAAAACTTCCGGAATTTAGCGGAGCTTATTCTGACTGGACTTCTTTCCGGGATACTTTCAAATCTGTTATACATGAA